CCCCTCCCCCACCAAGACACACGCCTCCATCCACTTCAGCTCCGGATTACTCGTCTCGACAACCGGGTTCGCAAACCACTCGTGGTCCCCAAACCGCGTGCTCTCCGCCTTCGGGTCAAACCCCATCGGACCCGCGCACTTCTCGTCGATCTTGATGACGCCCGTGTAGTGGATCGAGAGGCTGTGGGAGGTTGAGGTGCGCGCGCTGAGGCGGACGTCGAGGTGGGCGGTGGAGGTTGTGGGGTCGATCTGTTGATTCAATGATCGTTGGCATGATTCTTTTCATTATAATGGGGATGGGAGGTGGCTCTTACGAGCATCCAATCCGCGCCTCCAGGAACGATTTCCGCCTCGAAATCTTTGCCCTTCACAAAGCCCTTCCCTATAGGCGCCACGACTCTCTGCGGCCCTCCTTTAACGGTCTGCAATTGAAGAACATGTTCCTTCTGGATCATGCCATGGATGGTGAAGACGTGTTCGAGAGAAGGTGGCATTTGGGAAGTCTAGTCGTCAAAGGACCATCCTTGTGAAGACTCGTGATGTTCCCGCTTGTTATATCTTTCCTCTCGCCTTGCTGATCAAGTGCTGATGTAACGCCCTTATTTGATGCGAGTAGCAGCTCACCGGGCTAATGCTGTTCAGCTCGGGTTCCTCGCGTGCTAATGATCCATAGGGCAGACTCAACCTACAAGGTATACGCTTGTTGCTGTCAAATCAGCCTTACAGTCAGGGCAAGGACGTGATGATTCAGGCTCGAGGACATGCTCTCAAGCAATAGCTTCATTCGAAACTATTCAACACGCTTCGCAATACATCCCAGCCCGCGCGGAGCAGCGATAGGCGCTCATTTCCCATGCAGATAGCAGAATCCAGTCCGTTCAAGGAATAGTGTACATTGCCTCTTCGCCCCAGACACGAGTGGTCATGGGGTCATTTGTTGACGCTCAAAAGTCCCAAACCAAAACACGCTACAATGCAAAAGCAACAACGATGTGCTGTCTGGTAGCGGCATCTCAAAAACGCCTGTGCAAAGCGCAGGGTATGCCTGTCACGCACAGTCCACCACGACATTGCGAAGGCATGTCTCCAGACTGCCGTGCGTAATCGAACGAGCGTGAGTAGTACTAAGACGTGGACTTGTTGTTTTCGCCGCCCTCCTTTTCAGCAACGATCGTGTTGCGCCGTTTGTCCTGGCGGGCTTGGTCCACTGCGTGGCGCTGGGTGATGCTCTCGTCATGACTGCGCCATTGGAGGTTCGTGTCTCCCGGCAGTGAGAGAACCCGCTTGATCGTCTCGCGGATCTTGACGTTCCTACCGCCGTCGTTCTTGGTCCAGATTGAGAAGACGTCCTCGCCGGACCGGACGCTGACGACAGCGCCGCACACCTCCTCGCTGGCCTCAGCGAACTGGTCGCCAATCATCGCGAGCAGGAGATCCTCCCAGTATCTGTCCGCCACGCCCTTCTTCAGGCGCATTGTCCACTTGCCTCCCTTCTTGTTCTCCTCATCTTCCCATACCGGTCGAATCCCCTCTTTAAAGAAGTGGTAGTCACTCACTGTAGGCAAGTTGCTTGGCCTCTTGAGGTGGCTGTACACCGTCCAGAAAGATTGCGCAGTGTGAATCCTACAGAGAGGTTTGATAGACTTCTCGTAGTCACTATTCTTGCTCGTTGGTGGTCGGTAGTATACTATCCAGGTATTCCTGAGAGGCCACGCTCCCGCAGGCTCTTTCGCAGAAGGTAGAGGAGGCTCCGCAACCGCACTAGGAGTGCGAAGGGTAGAAAGCGACTTGCGCGCAGGCGGTCTCCTGCTGTCCTTTGTGTTCTCGTCTGAGGAGTCCTTCTTGTCGCTGCTTGACCTGCTCGACTCGAAGGTCGCGCCAGGTGTCTTGGGAGTCTTACTCGCGCTGCCGAAACCAAAAGCGCCTGAGCCTAGGCCAAAGGCCGAAGAGGCCCCAGAGCCTGTCGGGGAAGCGACAGAGGATGTGGATATGGGACCGATCGAGTTGAAAGGGTTGTTCTTCCCGTGGCTACTTAAGCTGCCGAATCGTTTGCTAGAGGGTGTGTCGTGGCTGTCTCGAGAGTCGTGGCGATCGTTCTTGTTAACGGAGAGGGAGGGTTTCGAGCTGCTGTTGCTCGCGTGCCGGTTAGCTATGCCAATGACAGGGCATGTGGGATTGCATACTTGGATCGACGAGACCACAGATTCGATGGGCTGTTGTCGTTGTTCTTGTCCATTTGAAATGCCCCAAAGGCTACAGTATGCGCGGTGCGGATGCCCTCGAGGACAGGAAGTGGGAGGAAGAGTGAACGGACCCCCGAATGGCGGGATGCTGCAGGTCGGAGACGGGAGTGAGTGATTAAGTCGATGGAACGGGTTCGAGGCTGGTTGCAAGAGGCGATGAGCAGAGGAGCTTTCAATAATACAATAGCGGGTAGCAGTAATGAATTGGGCGGTGGGATTGAAGGTGAATGGGCGAGAGCTGGTTGATGCTCTCATGCAAATCCCAAATCGCAGCTCCTCCTCTCTTTCTCCAACCCAAGCTTCCGAACCTTAGCCGCCGCGCTAGGAGATGGCCCGACACGAAAATCCGACCTCACGATTTTCTCTCCGCCCTCTTTCTTCCTTACAATCACCGACCACCATACTCAAATCATCGCTATTCGCCGGGCGCGCCTTTTTCACGATTGTCGTCGCTGTGCAGTGGTTTTTGGCGATTCCGAATGTGGCCGAGAAAGACACGCCACTTCTAAAACCGTCATCACGAGGGTAGTCCTTTGCGGGACGGCGCCCATGATGCGTTGACGACCTGATAGATGGGACATACCAGAATCATCGCCTGGAGTAGTCTGGGATTGAGCCCTCCGAGACGCTGTCAAGAAGAGCTACATCGTGGCTGCTGGCTGCGTCTTGTGAGCATTCTCCTCTCGGTAAGCGTTTGCCGGAGCCCTCACTCACACGCACAATGATGAATATAATATCCATCTGGTAAATCGAACATGCCCAGCCGCTCTTTACATCTGCTCTTGCAGGTTGCTGGTTGGTCTTGAGAAGAACTGGCAATGTCTGACCACCTATACGCCAAGGCTCATTTTCAAATCACTCATGCAAGAAGAGTTCGGCAAACTGACAGGTCATCTAGTGAGTGCATATCTTCTTCTATAGACATTATAATCATTACGCTTCACGAGCATTACCATCATCCCTTTCACATCAAACACATCACGAACGCCACACTGCATATCGCCACGCACATTGCATCCAACAGTCCAACGCCCTTCGAAGCACCACTCGTACTGGTCGCACTGGGTGCATCTGCTGCAGTAGCGGAGTCTGAGCCATCTGTTGACGTAACCGTGGGCGAACTGGTCCGCCCTGAAGATGTACGTCTCGTGGATGTCGCAGTAGCCTCAAAGTCATCCACATCTTGGGTATATGTGGTCGAGGCGGCAGCAACAATGACTTCTGAGCCACCAAGGGAGTACGTTGTGCCCGAGATTGTGACCGCAGAGCCTCCAGGCACAAGAGTCTGCGATCCAATGACAACATCAGATACTGCTGTCGGCGTAGCCACGACACCGTTCGGCAGCGTGATGGGCGAGCCGGGTGATGCCGTGGGCAGCGCAGAAGATGCGCCATTGATGTAGATACCACCGCCAGTCGCTGGCAATGAGTATGTCGTGCCATCAATGACCGCGCTGGAACCTGGCGAGAGCGTTGTTCCCGAAAGAACGAGCTCTGGTATGCCGGTGATCGTACCATCAGCGACTGGAAGAGCTGAAGTTACGCCATTGACCACCACACTGCCTGACGGCGCGAGCGAATAAGTAGTGCCATCTACAGTGACTGCAGAGCCACCAGGCGAGATCGTCTGGCCGCCTGGAAGCACATACGCGCCCGACGCTATTGGGGTGGCAAGCTCTCCACCGATTGTGACGGGTGAACCCTCCGGTATGGCAATCTCAGACGTCTGCCCGTTCACCACCAAAGCAGTTCCAGAAGGCGCCAAAGAGTACGTAGAGCCATCCACCGTGATAGCAGATCCTCCTGGCGCAAGCGTCTGAGAGCCCACCACGAAGTTTCCACTGCTGTCCGCACCAACAGTACTGCCACCAACTGTGATTTGAGGGGCAGGAGTCTGCGCTGTTTGGACATTCGCGACGTTGATAGGGCTGGTTACGCCGTTCGTCACGATAGCTGAGCCTCCGGATGGTATAGCGTATGTGGTTCCGTCTGCTGTGATGGCTGGACCACCTGGTGCCAAAGTCTGGCTACCAACAACGAATTCTGACGCTCTGTTGGCGGTGACAACATTGTTGCCAATGGTGACAGCAGGAGTGGCAGGTTGTCCTTGAGGTTGCGGCGTATTGAGGTTGATCGGGCTCGTGTTTCCGTTGACGACAATGGCAGTGCCGCCAGAAGGTATCTCGATCGTTGTACCAGCAGCGGTAATGGCTGGTCCACCGGGAGATAGAGTCTGGCCGCCGATTGCGAACTCCGACGCAGTGTTCGCAGTCACGACGCTGTCGCCGATGGTGATGGCGGGAGGAGCAGCCGGTTGGCCATTCTGCTGCTGCTCCGGCTGTGTATTAGAGCCTGTGACTGGCGACGATGACCCTTCTGTTTGTTGTGGCTGATCGTTGACGGTTGTATCTGGTGAAGTTCCCTCTTGCTGCTGGCCAGAGCCTGCTCCTGGCACGAGACCAATGACGCTGGCGACGATGTCTCCGATGGGTGCAGAAGTTGGCTCGGCGGCGGGCGCTGAGTTGTCATTCTGGGCTGGAGGAGCAGTCGTTCCCGCATCGTTGGAATTGTCTGGTTCGTCGCCATTCTCGACTGGCAGAGCAGTCGGCTGTTGAGCAGGTTGATCCGGCGAACTAGTGTTCGAGGGCTCATCATTCGACGGACTGGTCTGCTCGGGTTCAGGCTCAGGCTGGGGCACGTCCGCAGTCTCTGCTGGCGTATCCGGGGACGTTGTAGGCTCCGGCTCGTCAAGAGTAGTGCCCGCCGTCGGTTGAACAATAGGCTCTTTTGCGGTGGTTTCAACTGTCGGTGCAGCCGTCGTTGGTTTGGGTAACGTGCCAGCTGATGTTATCGTTTTGTGATCAGTCGCAATCAGCTGGTTCACAGGAACATGTACACTGGGCTCTCCGCCACCCAGCAGAGGCTGACAGGTTGCAATGTCCACGTCGGTGAACATCTCGCTCACCCAGGGAATGGCAGCGAAGAACTCGGCAAGATCCTCGTCCAGATAGAACGTGTAGGCGTCAACGGTACCAGCGGTTGGTCCGGTCACAATGCCCTCCATCCAAGCAGTGAAGTTGAAGTTGCTATAATCGCCATCGGGAAACGGCCTGACGACTGTCGCATTGTCGGCCAACACGTTCCCGCCTTCGAAATACACACCGCTGGGAAGTGGAGTTGATGTATACGTCGGCAAAAGAGATGTCGTCTTCACCAAAGTCCCATTGATAGTCGTCCTGATGTATTGACTCGTGCTGGTATACACTTCAGGCTGGACGCACTCTTTAGATGTGTAAAGTCCAATCCCACGGAACTGGAAGAAGGGTGTGGGGGACTGGATGGTGAGGGTTTGTGATGGGAAGGTGGCTGCAGTGGCATTACTGATGTATGTGCTCCCATATAGCTGATCGGCCGCTATTGGTAGCAGTCCACCGGGAAGTCCAGATATGGAAGTTGTCTGATATGCATATGTGGAATGCGATCGCAAAGTCACAGCTCTGGTCGTTGATTGTGTGCATGGATCATGCACATTCTCGTATGCACATCCGCTAACCGTCGTAGTCAGGATAGGAGGGCCGACCTCAGTGTACGTTGGCGTTAAGCCTCCGCCCATCGCTCCGTAGAAGCTTGTCGCATTGGAAACGTAGATCGTTGTAGAGTTGCCGGGCACAATGGTATCATTATATTGTATCCATGTCGTGATGACGGTCGCGGTCGTGAGATTGATGCTGCTCGACCACCACGTATTCACTCCAACCGCTCCAGGCCAAAGATAGCAGCATGTAGGCAACGATGCTGAAGACGTGGTTTCTGATGTCCTTGTCCTAGTGGCGTTTGCAGAGTTTGTCACCGTCGCTGTGCCTGCCGAAGCGATGCTGACTGGGCTGTGAGAGCTGCTGGAAATGCTCGCGCCCGATGAAGGTATCGAACTTGAGCTATTCCCAGCATATGGAGCTAATGAATAAAGTCAGTATGCATTGTTTGCGACTCGAACTCTTCACCAACCTTGACGATACACATGGCCTGCCTCACTCAGCGCAGCCACTGCGAGAGCAAGCAGTCCATACCGCATGATTGTGGTGCAAGCAAGAAGACCGGACTAAGGCACACCCCTGTAGATGAAGAAAAAGTCGATCTTCTCGTAGAAACGACCGGCCAAAGGGAAAACGATTGACTCTCTTCTCAAACGAAAGTCCAAAGCCGCAGCACAATGCGTCAAAGTACTGAAGAGATTGAAGAACCGGAAGAAGTACCTACTGACCCATCTCTTCGGCTGGAAAGAGACCTGAAGCCCAGCACCTTGGCACCTCGCTAGTTCGCTAGCTGTATGTCGTGCAACGTGCGGCTGAAGACATGAGTCGTGCGTGCCTGGGAAAAGCCCTTCGCTAAAGCACATTTCGGCCCTAAGCTGCGAATTTGCTGGAAGCCTTAAATGCCATGGTCCAAACAAGTGCTTTCTAGGTTTGTTGAAGAGCTTGGGGCGAAATTGCTTGCCAGGGGATCACGTATGCGAATCATGGTCCCGTTGGCAGAACAAGAAATCCTTCCGGAGACTCGGTCCAATAGACACATGCTGTGCTTCTGTGGCGGCGTGATGGCTCAATAAAAATATGGAGATCAGATGCAACGCGTTGAAGGGGTTGAAAGCAGAAGACGACGTCTCCCAGGCACGAACCTAAATTTGGACGGAAGGATTCTCCCAACCGGCCCGCTCCTCGAGCCATGTGCTAAGCTCACAATTTCGCAAGGAACGTTAAGCCGCCACCCCCTTAGACATTATCATTCCGAGCATCGGGAAATCCGGTATGCATGTCAGAAAGTGTCAGAAAGTGACCAACCGGTCGTCAGACATCACGTCCAGCCTGTCCGGCTTGTCATCTCCACCTACACACACTATCCGGGAGCCTCACAAATCGGCAGAATGAAGGAAGTCTGGGATGTCTACAAGAGGTCACCCAAGGACGACTGGACCGACATCGCGGATCCTGCTGAACGAAAGCGTGTACAGAATAGACTCGCGCAACGAGCAAGACGTAGAGCTCTGGTCCCGTCTCATAGAGCGACCGCTAATCGTAGCTAGGCTCGCGACTCAGTGCGGTCCGCAAAGGAGGCTCAAAACGTGCATCTCCGGCGTCGACAGGTCCATCCACCCAGGATGAAGAGGATCACAGTTCGTCGCCCTTCGACGAGGAGCTATGTAGTCTGCTTCTCCCGGATACTGATCTGGGAGTGATACCGTTTTCGCCGCCTGCCCCGGATACGGATACTAGGTTCATCGTGATGCAAGCCATGACTACGTCTTCAGCCTTTTGGTCAATCGGCCAGATGCTCGAGCTCAAGTGCTCACAGGAGAGTGGCTTCAACATCGGCACGAAAGCCTCGTGCTTGCCGCCATCTTTGCGCCCAACGTCTCGTCAGCTGACCCAACCTCATAGACCCTACATAGACATGATGCCTTGGGCTTCTCTGCGAGATCGAATTCTGGCCAACATCTCGGTGATCAACGAGATGGAGTTCATCAACGATATGCTATCAGAGAACTTGAAAGTCTGGGGTCCAATGCCATGGGATCCAAAGTCGTGGGAGTTCGATGGTGAGATGCTTCGAAAGTGGTGGTTTCTGATGGACGAGGACATTATCCGAACCACGAATTTCTGGCGAGCGCAAAGAGGCGAGCAGGGCCTTATTTTGGGAGAGATCACCGCGCAATGAGAAAGAATGGCTCATCGAATGACAGCTTACAAAATCGGGAGGGTCACTTTCTGACATGGCCTTGCCACATCGGCCGAAGCTTCACGGGTACATAAGGCCGAGCCACGCAGCCTTGTCTGAGCCCTGAACTATGTGTTAGTCGACAAGCACCACATCTGCATACCATCATATCACCATGGGTGGCGTTTTGGCACAGCTTTTCCCCGGCCGCCCACACTTCACCGAAGCCAACGTTGGCTCACTCCAGGGCAAGGTCTTCATCGTCACCGGCGGCAATGCTGGTGTCGGTCTCGAACTGGTCAAAATACTGTACACGAAAGGAGCCAGGATCTATCTCGCCGGACGCTCGCCGATCAAGATCACCCAAGCCATTGAACGCATCGAGAAGATTCCGACCGAAACAGCTGGCGAACTGAAGAGCTTGATCGTCGACTTCAACGACCTCACAACAATAGCCGCATGCGCATGCGACTTCAGGGCCCAAGAGTCTCGCCTCGATGCCCTTTGGAACAACGCAGGTGTATCTCAACAGCCTCCAGGCAGTACGAGCGTTCAAGGCTACGAACGTCACATGGCGGTCAACTGTCTAGGTCCATATCTTCTCACCGAGCTCCTTCTCCCAGTCCTCAAGCAGACGGCCCAGACCTCGCCTAAAGCAACCGTACGAGTCGTCTGGGCAACCTCTGGCATTGTAGACATGATTGGAGTTCCAGGCGGTCTCTCCCTCAAAGAACAGCAACCAGGCAAACACTCGCAAGACATGAACCACAACTACAGCGCCTCTAAGACAGGCAACTGGTTTCTCGCCTCCGAGCTAGACAACCGGATTCGCTCGGCAGGAATCGTGAGCGTTGCACAGAGCCCTGGTACGCTGAGGACTACTGGCATGGACAAAGCCCCGTTCCTAATGCGTGCAATGTTGAGCATCTTCATGCACCCACCTATCCGAGGTGCTTACACCGAACTCTGGGCGGGTCTGTCTCCAGACGTCAAGGCTGAGGACAGCGGCCGGTTTATCATTCCTTGGGGACGATGGCATCCGGCTCCGAGGAAAGACTGCTTGGAGAGTTTGAAGTCGAAGGAAGAAGGTGGGACTGGTCTTGCAGCAGAGTTCTGGGACTGGTGTGATGAGCAGACGAAAGGCTATGTGTAGAGGATCTCTAGTATACGACACCTTACTATTTAGCCTTCATACTATAAGCTACCGTATCTAGAATAGGTAGACTAATTGATTAGCGTCCCATAGTACCAGCTTATATAAAAGTATAATTGTAGCATTGTATATCATCCATCTACCTCGTGAGTTCTACGGAGATATTAGCTAGAAATGTCGATCACAGATAATGCATGTATACTGAACTAGACTAGTCGCACTAACTACATAGCTACATCTCCACTCGAGGTGCATGCAGAAGGCGTTTATCTGAAGCTCTCTACTCTCAATCCCCGATGCCACTTCCCTTCCAGGACCACAACTCGTCCAAAGTATGGACTACTTCCACGATGCCACCCACGCATCTCACTTCGAAGGATTCATCAGCGAGAATCCGCAGATCGAGTTTGTCCGCCATGTCTACATCGACTTCTCTGGAATCGTCCGTATGCGAATCCTCACTGTCGAGTACAGCTCCAAACTGTATCGCAGCGGACGATCGTACGGCTGCGGTCCGGCGCTCATGATGTTCAACGTCAGTGGAACGAGCGAGGCGAAACTTCCTCGTCCTGTGAAACATCAGAAATTTGATCTGGTGCCGGACTGGACTTCGCTGCGGGTGTGCGAGTTTGCACCTGCTCACGCTTGGGTCATGTGCTTTGTACGAGCGGCAGAGGAAACGGCCGACCCCTTTTTCGTATGCCCCAAGTTCCTGCTGGCGAAAGTGCTCGAGCGAGCTCGAGCCGAAGCAGATCTCGACGTGTTGATCGGTTTCGAGATTGAGTTCACCCTCCTGGACTCAACGCTGCAAGTGGCGAAGAGCCTGGATGTCCCACAAGGCTTCAACTCGGCTTCGGGACTCCGCGACGAGAAAGTGGCCTTTTTCGAAGAGGTCGTGAGGGCCCTTCGCCGATCTCGAATTGGTGTCACGCACTTCCATGTCGAATGCTTCCATGAACTGGAGATCGCCACCGATCCTTTCCCTCCTATGGAGGCCGTCGACAATCTCATATATACCCTCGAGCTGATCAGGACCATCGCGCTGCGGCACGGGTACAAGGCTACCATGTCCATCTTGCCGGTGACAGACGACCCTACCGGAGTCGCACCAGCGAATCAGCTCCAGCCACACTTCTCAATATCCAAGAAGGGACCTACGGCCGATCATTTTCTGGCCGGGATCTTAACGAGGGTCGATGAGATCACCCCGTTTGCAATGTCGAGCTACGACAGCTATCTGAACCCCTTCGTCGACCACGGCGGATACTACGCCAGCTGGGGGACCGAGAACCGCGACGTGGTCGTTCGTCGCGTCGAGGACAGCCACTGGGAATTCCGAATCTCCGATGCCACGAATAACTTCTATTTGACGCTTGCGGTCATGCTCTCCGCTGGGCTCGATGGGATCAGAGATAAAACCGCACTAACATGGGGAGACCTTCGATTAGATTTCAAAGACTACACGAAGGAGGAACTTGCGGCATTGGGTGTGACGAAGCGTTTGCCCACGAGCCTGAGGCTTGCTGTTGATGTGCTTCGCGAGTCAGAGTATCTTGAGGGCCTCCTTGGGAAAGAAATGAAAAGTGCGTACATATTGGTTAAAGACACTGATGAACGGGCTTTCTCTTCGATGCGAGAGGAAGAGAAGAGGCTGCAGTTCATTAAGCACTTTTGAGGCACATGCGAGCTGAACTTGCGCCGGCTTTGATGTTACTGCTCTACTGCATGCTTGAGATGTGAATCCCTCTATGCGACTACAATATGTACAGGTGCATGTACCTCCGGTGACGATTGGGCGTCGAAGATGTTGACTTGTCCGGTTTCCTTAGACTCAATGATTGATAAGTGAGACAAGGATTTGGAGAATAATCCAGAAGCAGCTTCCTTATAAAATATGTGTACGTTTATCCATAAAGAGACATGTTTCTCGGCGCTGCTACAGAGTGGGTACTCGTGATGCTTCTAACAACAAATTTACAACACTACCCAAGGACTCTCCCAGCACCAAGCCGGAGCCCACAACCAGAATCGGGTCACGCTGCATGTGCCGAACATGCACGAGGTACCAGAAGAGGATGCCCCCAACTGCACGTGAAATGGTGAACGAAGGGACCAAAAAGATGCCTATTTGCTGTCAGTCTCAACGAAGCGTATGAGATGGACCAGGTATTCCACATATACCAATAGCGAACGACGTCGCATTAGGAATCAGATTTTGCCACCATCGATTCGCGTACACGATCTTAACGCAAGACGTCACGAGGAAGAAGATGCCCACCCCTATCGCGTACTGCCCTGCTCCAGGGGGCAACCCCCGTCCGTGGAGGAGCTTTGCCCTGGTGACGTCCAGCAGTGAGGCAGGTAAAGGGAATAACGTGCTCGGCATCTGATATGTCGATGTGTAAAGCCGATAGATTCCTGTCGAGATGAAGGCACCAAAGACTGAGCCCACGATCTGTGCGTAGAGCTGCGACTTCGGCGGTACACCGACATCGTGTCCTATCTTGAAGTCGTACGCCAAGTCACCGGCCTGACTTGAGCCGGCTGTAGCGACTCCAGCGGCGACGACGTTCAGGAGGATTGCCGAGGGGTTGTTTCCTGTGAGGATCACTGCAAACACTAACTGCGAGACTGTCGAAGTTTTGGTTAGCATGTTTTCGAGTCGAAGAGAAGTCTTGCTACATACCTAAACCACTTTGTGGGTTGAAGTCTGTCTCGGCTAGCACACGTATGCCCACGTACGCCATCGGAAGTGACAACAACACAGCGAGTAACACCAAGTACCATCGCATAGCTTTGATCAAGAAAGTGATAGCAAAACAACACACCAAGATCGACACAAGGAATGCAAGGCCAACAGACTTGGTCACTTTGAGGGACTGTCCCAGATTCTTCTGTCCCTTGGCCGCAACCGATTGATTGCGAGACTCGTCAGTGCTTTCCAGAGTGGATGAATGGTCTCCAAGAAGACGATCACGAATGCCAGGCGTGTCTTGAGAGCTGTGCCGTCTCCCGGTTGGCCAGAGAGGTGTTCTGGCCACGGGTCCTGGGGAAAGACGCAGAGTCTCGATTCTCTTCCGTGGGAAGCTTGTTGTAAAAGCTTCGATAATGTATGAACCAAGCTTCACCACTGTATCAGCCATTAGAGCTGCCAGACTGACCCAGGTGACCCATCCGCGGATGCCAGTCTCCCAATCGTCAGCCGGACCGTTTGCCCAGCCATGACTTTTGCTGATCGATGCCAGTATGCCCCAACCAAAGATGGCTCCAGCCAGCATATGCAAAGAGATGACCGGGCCCGTGATAATGCCACCTCCAAAGTATCCAGGCGAGATGCTGGCAGTCCAGAGATAGTTCTTGGCTAAGTATGACCCTAGAACAGGCAACCGGCGCGAAATCGGAACAAAGTACATCAGAATCGTCTGCTGTGAAGTCAGTAGCCGACATTGATACGAGCTAGCCTGTACGTACTATCACCATCCCAATGCTTCCCGCCATGAACAGTAATCGAAAACGATTCAACCAGTCTTGATCGTTTGCCTTGGCCGGATCCTCATCATGTCGTGTTTCGCCAGCTTGCGCAGTCAGTGTCGTCTGTTCAGAAATTCGACGGCCTCTTGGCAGCTGCACAGGCATGCGATTGTACAGAACATCCAGAGATGCAGCAAAAGCTTTCGCGCCAGGCCATGGCAAGTTCTCTCTAACTATCAATCTATCGTGGAGCACCGAAGCAAATATCAGGCCGAAAAAGGCCAGGCCGAACGACCAGAGCGTAAGCTGCAGCCATGAAAAGACCACAGGTCCGCCATCTGTTCGCTTGATCACAAACTCCAGTGCAGGAATCGTATTGGTAAAACCTGCGGTGACGGGCATACAGCCTGCGGCTGTGGAGGCACTCGTAATCAACACATTTTCGTGGATTGATAGCTCGCGGATGCGAAAGACTCGAGAGAGAGCTTTGAAGACGGCGAAGCCCAGAAGTGATGCTGTGAGGTCTCCCTGGTTGCTATAGCCGGTCTGGAGGCCGTAGTATGTGTTTGATAGATTGGTCAAGATCCCAATAACGCAGCCTGCTGCAATGGCTCGGAAACTGACAAATGTTCCAGATATTGGGGTGGCCGCACTATCGACTACTGATGAACCAGACATCTTTCTAGCAGGGCTCGGCATGTTGACATTGTGTCGGTGTGGTGGGTGTAGAAGTGCACGAGGAGGGAGTGTTTTGGCTTTACTAGTTGAGGGATCGCTTGGATTAGGTTCACAAGGATATGATGCTAGGCTACTTTGGGTTATCGCAACAGATATCGAGCCGTTTACCAGTGAAGCGCCGTTTCTCCCTCTCTCACATCGCTCCTATCTACTTGACCTTCTATCCTCGTCGTCCCATTGCATCCTCTTGCACGCATGAGAAGCGAGGCGGCACAGGTGCGTGGTCTTCCATTCGAGCACTCTACCTCACTGGCCACCACACGGGCAGCTGCGGGAGAAGCTGCTGCAACATGTGCGACCGTGGCGGCTGAGATGTACGTTGCCTGCGTTGCACATGTATGCGGCCTATCATGGACGACTCTCATGCACTGGGGCGTAGCTGTTGCAACCAGGGCCAGCTTGAGTGGCCCGTCGCTTCACACGACCCCTCATTCGCCTCACCGGTATGCGAATCCGTGAATTGACCTCAAAGAGCCTCTTCGACACGCCTGATAAGGGCAATGTTTGATCTTTTGAAATATTCTTTTTGCCCCGTCGCCGAAACAATACCTTTGGCGCTGGAACATCGAGCGAACAGCGCCGCCACCCAGCCCATGCTGCCTTCTTGATATTGCCAGCGAGTTGTGGCCAGCTTCACCTTGTGGATATGGAGGGCGAGTGGCAGCTCGTTCGACGAGCAGGCCTGGTAGAGGTTTTACCCATTGCGTCACAACAGGCTCCTCGAATCAAGTACGCCGTCAGGTTTGTCCGAATGCCCACACATACTGATCTAATCGATCTTCAGCTTGATATTTGTGCCTGATGTGTCTTCAAAAGCTGGATCCGCCAAGCACGACACTTTGGACAGCAACCTGACCAGTCTGATCCGAAATGTCGATCCTTACAGTCGCCTGTTTCAATTCCATTATCAGATCTCGGATCAGTTCTCTTGGACGAGGCTTGCAGACTACGGAGAGAAATTACTCGAGTGTTTGATCGAATGCTCAAGGCAGCATAATGTTGGTCCATTGGAACTGTCATTCAAGGGAAAGATCGCTGATTTGGCCAGTTACAAAATTGCCCTTTGCTGCTCGTCTCCTATGGCCTCGGCGGGTGCATCACAAAAAGGGTCGGTAGTTAAAGATAGTCATCGCGCTCTCACTGATTAGTTCCTACCAGGCAGTCAGCATTGTCCAGGAAAGATACTACGATCAAATGCTCAGTGGCCTCAATGCTACCTTACAAGGTCTCATTTTTCTTGGAACGCCGCACCCGCTGTACGGGAGGCCTGGTCACATTGAGAAGCTGGACTCTTTGCTTTCGGCCTCCTTGAGTGTTTCCCGTGTCACCCTTGCGAAGATACGAGAAGAGGTGGGCTTGGTGTGGAACATGTCTTCTAAGTTTGAGCATGTTCAGTTCCACTTTGATGTTATCTCTGCTTATGAGCTTCTACCAACAAACTTCAAGACGGGGTTCTTGCGCAGCAAAAGCGAAGTCGTAAGTGTTCATCGATGTGCCCCCTTACGTTGCTGACATGTCCAGTTGGTGGATATGACATTCGCTACAACGAATGTGCGACGTGAGCGCCTCATCGGAATGAACGCAGATCATCGACGGATCTCTACTCTCGTACCAGAAAGCGAACTCCATCAAGCGATCGACAAACTGCTACGGACTATCGTAGCATCCACAAAAAGCCGCGAAATGGGTAAGAGGGATCGCGAACATGATAATTTCCAATGTTGACATAGTACCCAAGAGCCAATGCAGCCCATCTCGAATGGTGCGCTTTCTATTGATTTGGACAAGATATGGCAGAGTACTCCTGCTGCGTCGCACGTCGATGCTAAAGAAGGTGACTTTCACTACTGGCCATCAGGGTCATTAATCGCACTAACATACTCTGTTCTAGCACACGTTCAAACAGGCTTGCAAGTTGGCTCAGTCCCAAGCTCGGGAGCCAAAAGTCCGACACCTACAGGTGCCACCGCCGGATCAAGCCAAGTAGCCGCAGGCTACGAAATGGTCGCCGTCAACCCAGGACCAGTATCTATGACTCCGGCAGTGAATTTGCCGTGTTATCTTTTGAGGCAATATAGCAAAGCCGGCACCTGCTTTGGAAGAGACGATGTGCTTGGTATGCTTGACAAAACTCTACTGCCGACCAAGAACAACCATCAAGAAGAGTCACGCGAGCTCCACAGCTTTGCCATCTGCGGTCTTGGTGGCCTCGGGAAGACTCACATTGCCGTGGAGTTTGCGTTGACTCGGAAGAAGCATTTTGACGCCATCTTTTTTATCTACGCCGACAGTGAGATGAAGATAGCCGAGAGCTTCAATGTGATTGCACAAGAGCTTGGACTTGCCGAGAAGGGGCAAAGCGATAATTCGGTCGTCAACCGAGATCGGGTGGTCCAGTGGCTCAATCTGCCCCTGAAGTATACCAGAGATGAGCACAACGAAGACATGGTCCTGTCGCCCGACTACTACGCGAACTATCTCCTCATTTTCGACAACGCCGACGAGCCGGAGATCCTGTCGGAATACTGGCCTTTGACGGGAACGGGAAGCGTGCTGGTCACGAGTCGTGATCCACTGACAAAGTCACGTCTATATTCCAACGACGGGATTGATCTTGAGCCTCTCAATGACGATGATGCCGCCGACTTGTTGGCATCCTTGACTGGAAACGACGAACCCTTGGACCGAGACGATGCGTTAAAAACTGTGCAAAGACTTGGTTGTCTGCCCTTGGCTCTGTATCAAGTTGCAGGGCTGATCCAAAGAAAGAATCTCTCTTACCATGAATTTCTCGCCTTGTACCAGAGGCCAACTTTCCAACAAGATGTTCACAAGTTCCGAGAGCAAGGGCTCAGGAATGACTACGACCGAATGTTGTTCGACGTGTGGACCTACGACAATCTGAAGCCCGAAGCAGTCTACTTGCTCGAATGCTGTGCTTTACTGGATCCCGATCGCATACCAGAATTCATCTTCCAGTCAAACGCGATCACACTGGTCGATGACTTCCCGCACGATCTTGAGGCATACGAAAGCGCCAGAACCGATCTTTTCAAGAGCTCATTGGTCAAGAGACTACAAGGAAACCAGGGAATCTCAGTCCATCGTGTGCTACAAGACGCTGTTCGTGGCCGGATGGAAGATGAGCGTTTCTGCAAGATCTTCCTCTCGGTCATGAATATGGTAATAGCAGTGTGGCCGACTCAAGAGCTTGGGTTCTTGTTCAAACCAGAGCTTTGGGGTACTTATGCCATGATCCTACCCCATCTTGACCATCTCCTCAAGATGCTGCGACAGGCAAACCCGTTCAAAGACAACTTGGACGCTTCCAGGGATTTCACCGCCATCCTCGTGAAGGCTGGGTGGTACGTTGATCGTCCCAATTTCCCCCCATACATATCTGTTCTATATACCTACAAGTCTTGATCGTGCCCTACGCTAACATTGCTGTAGGTATCTCTGCGAACGCGGCGATTTCCAGGAGTCCCTGTCACTCATCGAAAAGGCACAGCAAATCGCCGAACCATTCGAGGAGCACTTGGGCAAGGAAATCGCGGACATTGATTACACCATCTCCCTCATTGCGTCGTACCTCAAAGACTGGGCGAAGAGGACTTTTCATGTGAAGAGAAATATGGTGTACCGAGCAGCTCATCCAGAGGAGGTCTTTGACCTTGCTCTTGCTCACAACGAGATGGCCTACTTTCACAACGAATTCGGCCAATTTCGACAGGCGGTCGAGGAGGGAAAGAAGGCCCTTGAAGTGTATCTGGGGATGCAAATTTACAGCAGTGGGGAACAGATGGCCATGCACCCTCGGTTGAACGTCGCGATCGCATACTACTTCCTTGGAGAAGCTGAAGAGGCCGAGAAGTACGCAGAGACCTGTCTACGCAGATTGGAGCGCAGTGACTGGGAATGGAACTTCACCGCCGACAGGTACGTTGCGCCAATCCTTCTTGAATGATTGTCCTGCGAGAACGTATGTCTGACACCTCTGTACTTACTAGGACCGCGAACACCCTCTACGTTCTGGGCAACATCCGCCTCTTACAAGGACGACTCGAGGAGAGCTTTATCCTGCAAAAACGAGCACTTAACCACTATCGCGATACCATGGGAAAGCTGCATTCTCACACACTCAAGGCGTATGTCAAGGTTGCCGACCACTATATCAGGTTACAGGAGTACGAGCTTGCGATGTGAGTCCACAGCCCATAGAAGCAATCCCTCACTGCTACTATAGATAGCTGATATTTCCGTGACAAGATCGCATCTCGACACAGCGCTATCTGGCTGGGGAGACGTCTCGTTCTTCGCTCCGGAAAAGGCACGAGCACTGCACAAAAAGTCACAGATTCTCGAATTGCAAGGACAGCATATCCTGGCCAACGGCACCAACGTGAACGCGGAGAAGACTTGGTTCGACTGGTATGAGTCGACCCACAAGGCTGTTGAGCCACTTCCGGAGAAGCCCGATTACGACAAGTACATACCATTCTGGGCGAGGTGATGCATTTGCGGGAGGCCCGTTCTTGTCAGGGCGCGGAGTTGAAAATGTTTCACTCTGTTTGAGATTGTACTATCTACTAACTAGCAAGGTACATGTATTCAAGGACCAAATCGTTGCCGCGCAAGCATCAAGACGCCGACTCCTTTAGCCTTGCTACACGAAGCATTCAAGCCATTTCTGATAAACCCCCAGGAGTTGTTCCCAAAACAAAACCGCCAACGAGCCCGCAAAGATCGGAACGGAAACTGCAAACCACACATAAATGCCCAGCCTCGGACCGTTATCACTCACGAGCTCCATGAAGTTCATCCCGAAAAAAGATGTCGTGAACGACAACGGCACGAAGAAAAACGCCAACAAGGTAAGCCTCGAAAGCGCAGCCCCTTGCCGCAGTCCCCTTTGCGCTTCCTCCAGCATCGCTTGGTTGATCGTCAGGTTGCTCATATCCACGCACTGCGCACGCAGATTCTCGGCTCGCGTTTTCAAATGCTTGAAATTCTCCAGCAAGTCGTCCGCGACGGCATCCACGGTCGCCGACTGGGTCGGGTCTGTGGCCTGGGGCCACTTCAAGCGTGCCCTGGATTCGATAAGCGTGACGAGGGCCTTTTGCTTCTCGATATGTGCCTCTAGGACATCTTTGAAGACCTGGAGATTGGCCAGGGACGCCTGCATCTTGCGGATCGGGAGGTTGCGTTCTTGTTCGATGGTCGAAGCGAGGAGGTTGAGGAATTGGTTCTCGGAGAAGGCTGAGAATGCGAAGATCTCGGAGAGGGCGTAGAAGGCGTCGACGCGGATGATCGCTTGGTCTAGTGTCTGGCCGTACATGTCTGGCAGCAGCATCGCGCTTTGGGCAGACGCTACACCTGCGCTGTACACCGAGGACGGCTGGCTAGGACGTCGTGCGGTACCGATACGATCTTCGCGTTTCATGGCCATTTTCTCCCGGAACTGGAACACGGGAAGCAGGTTGTACCTCGCGAGATGGGAGAGTTCCGACACCTTCAGCCACTGGCACAGTTGGCTGTCGAGCTTCTCAGTCCCGCAGTCGAGCCAGATGACGGCTGTTCGAGAAGAAGGAATACATTAGCTGCGAGCAAACGATCGTTGGACAACTAGTCAGTACTCACCAACCCACCCTCCACGCTTCCGCACAACACAGATGGAAACCTCTTGCTCCAGAGAAAAGTACCGCTTGTTATGCAGCATCAGCTTCCGCACGATCGACTGTCCGCCGCGATCGTTCTTGTCGAGGTTCTGCAGGTGCATATTGATTCTCATACTTGTGTCCTTTCGATCTTGCACCATGTCCGCCCCACCGAGCTGTTCCTGATGCTCGCCTCCATCCCGGATCCCATTCGTCATGAGAGGAAGACGAACGCAGTTTGTGAAGATTGTGGGGAGACCCGGGATATCGAATTGTTCGTACGGCTGCAAGAACCTCAGATGCTGGCGAATATACTCTGGATCCACGCGGTATGTTGATCCGATGGTGTTCAGCCACTCGGGGGGTGCCAGACCTCGCATGAACAACAACTGCGCACACCCCGATCCAACAACTTCATGGCGCTGCTCGAACGCCTCCCACCCATCCCGATGTGCAGCGAACCGACCGACAGTGGGTACTCCCGATGGAGAATAATAGTACGTGGTGAGAAACGCCCCGTCTTCATCATCTTGCGGCCCCGTCACGAAAACGTTTTCGTTCCCCGTTGCGGCGAAGGAACGATTGCCGGCCGCGAGCGACTCGTACGGACGACTTAGGAACTCCGCCAGTCGCTGGTAGTTCTGGCCCGGGTACAGCGAATCTCGATGCGTCTTCTGGGCGTGCTTCAGGACGGTGTGTGCGAAGGTCTGGGCCGTTGCTACGTGCTGGTGTTGAGATGGCTCGGATTGCGCGACCGACTCGTCCACGCTCCCGTGGCGGGAGTGTAACAAGCCGGAAGGCATTGTCGACCGGCCGCGAGTTTCGATATCATTTGACTGACTTCAGCTCCGCACAGGATCAGAGAGAGTGCAACCCGCTTGTTGAAGTTTGCCGAAGAACCTTGCTCTCAGTACCGGAGGAGAAGTGAAGGTCAGCGGCATCTCAGACACTTCTCTCTGTATTTTTGATTTGACTCATCTACCCTCCGTCTCGCCTTTTGAATCAGGTGTCGCCTGTCATCCTCTCTCTCGCCTGCTGCTGAAAGCCTCGCGGGTTCTGACGCGTAACGTACTGAGCAGCGGAGGCAGCCTCCTCGCGTGCGGCTGACCACGCCTTCGACGACATTTGACAGGGCGACGCCCTCTGCGGGCGCGAAAGCGCTCTCGCAGTTGGCGGCCTTGCTGGGGGCGAAGTTGATGCTTGTTCTTAGGACGAGCTTGGCAGGGGTCAGATCCGCTGCGCGCAAGCGAGCGCCACGCCTTCTGGACTTTCGGATAGAAACGTGCGGACGGTTGATAGGCCCGTCGCTCGGGAGCCCAACGAAGGAAGACAAGGCAAAGTCCGTGGAGTAGGTTGAATTTCAAGGCGGAAGGATTAAGGCAATACTGTCAGGCGAACCGCTGCGTAGTTGGCGGTGGCGGACCGCGACAAGGTCCGGTGGCTCCCATGCAGACACGTCGTAGGACTATAGCGAGCCCGATCGCCTGATCGATCCATCGCGATCCTCCAGAGCCTCAAGCTCTCTTCGAGTGTTGTATGCAGCTTGACGTCTTGTGTTCTGGGCAAAAGCCACTGGGCGTTCATACAGTACGCCCCACGGACCGCCTTCTCAGCCTCCCGACCAAGTACCACATCAAAACAGAGTCAGGTATTACGTAGCATGCTTTATAAATCTATCCGATCTACACAACGCTGTCAACCTAGAACTCCCTAGAGCACTCGCATCCTTCATCAATACCCTTCCTCATCAGCCTCGGGAATCAATCGATCACGCTCAGTCGCCTCCCGCAGCTTGGTCTGCTTCACGTGGTACTTGCGGTCTTGGTACCAGACGAACAACACGAGAGCAGTGCCAAAGATGAAACCCAGCGTGGCCAGAATGACATTGATTGGGATCGGGTTGTCGTGGAAGACATCATGGTTCGCGGCATCGATGAGTGGCTGAGACAGGTTCACCAAGCCGGACAGGCAGATGATGGTGCCGTAGACTCGACCGAAAGTCGCAAAGCCGAATACTTTTGCTGCGTAGTCACTGGATGAGAATGTTAGGAGGCTTCTTGCTGAAAGTGGTTTGCAGAGTCGACTTACGACATGGCTGAGTAGTATAGGGGTCGGAGAAGAACGAAAAGCACGACATTGGCATATGCGGCCCACAACGTGGGAATTGACCCAAGAATGCCGACCGCCGTGATCAATGCGATAAGAATCGTCAGCATCATGGCAGTGCTCACATGGTCAAGGAGAAGACCGATGAAAGGGGTCGCAGCAACTCCGCCAACCTACGAACGTTAGCAAGATTTCACATCACTGCTTTGGAGTCTTGCTTACTGGAAGTGCAATGTCGAAGAAGTCGTTGACCTTTCTCGCAGCTCTCGCCGATCCCAGCATGTACTCATACTGAGATCGCACTGTGGCAATAAAGAAGTTCATGCGAAGCATTTGCAGAACAGTCAACAGCACGATGAAGATGAACCAAGGAGACAGCATCTGTTCGCGTGGAGACTTCCCATGAAGGATGCCCCAAACACCGCTCACCGCATGTCGTTCTTCTTCTTTGATTTCACGAGCCTGTCGCTCTTTGGCGTCACCGAGAACCTCGTCTAACAGATGAAGATTCTCCTCGCGATGCTCAGCTCTCTCTGCGCGGCGGCGACGAGTTTCGCCATCGCTGAGATCTTCGTCCGAGTCGTGGACCTACAATTGTTAGCTTTCCTTCAAGGTGGGAGTGATCTCAAGCGGCTCACATCTCGTGTGGTATCTTCGTTCTTTTCGATCTTCTCTTCCAATTGCGGGACTGTCTTGTAGCCTTCCTTATTCATGACGGCATACTGGCAGATTAGGATAGCGGCTGGGACAGCTACATAGCCATAGAAGAACTTCTGCGGCGTGAAAGAGCCATTAGATGATTCATAGGCCAACCGAAAGAAGAGGAACACGGCAGCCTGCAAATTTATTAGCTACGACTCTAGCATCAGAGACATTGAGCGACCTACCGACGCATCGAACGCTCCGGTCACCATGGCCACGATGGTGCCAGAATATTTGGGGAAGGCGTTCGCAACTTGGAAGGCAGGAACGAATATGAAAGTACCTCCAAGACTAAGGAAGATGTTTCCAGCAATGAATCCGTCAAATTCTGGGATCCGGAACGCAGTCGCCATCAAGACGCTTCCAATAGCGAGGCAGATAGCTCCAATAGTCGCTGCAAAACGTGGGCCATATCTATCGAGCAGAGTACCCACTGGAAGTGCTGAAAAGTTGCAAGTCGTAGAGGCTATCGCAAAGAATAGATTGAGTCTGGTCGAGGTCAGTCGATGGTTCATTGCTCGACTTGTATGGAGAACTCACCTCAGATCCTGCTCGTAGCATAGCTCAACGCCTGCTTCGAGCTCTTCTGCGGAACAATGTTCTCGATAAACGCCTTGGTCCACAAGAACAGGCTTCAACGCTGCAAATCCAAACACGATGCCCGATGCTACCCAACAAGAGACAATCGTTATGACAACCTGGGCTAGATCGAGTCAGCAACGGACGCTTCTGGTTTCCTCTGCTCTACATACCAAGACGACGAGCAACCGAGACCTTATACTGGGTCACTCCTCCCGTTGGTGCTGTCGCTTGTGAGTCCTCGGCTGGACGTGGAATGGCATCGTAGCTAATCACACGACGAAGTGAGTGACCCGTAGCGTGGCCGATATCCTTCGCATCAACTTCGGGGGGTCTCAGATCGCTTCCATCGATTGAAGTGACTCTTTGGAGCAGAGACATGGAGATCTCTCTTTTCGCTCTTCGTTTGCCAATTCACCTGTTGAAAGGTCTTCTTGACAGCAAACAGAAAAAAATTCAAGGCGAAGATGGGTCGTGAGATGGAGAAGGGAAGAAGAGCATTGATCGGGCGGCGGCAAGAGCACGCACCGCAAGCGAACGACCGGGATGTGCTTCGAAGTTTCCCGTAACCGCACACAAAACCCATGCAAGGATGATGTGAGTCTCGTCCGACGACAACGATTTCCACCTTCGACCCCGATATCTGCCAGGATCTCCGCCAGAACACCTGTGATCGCTTATCTGGCATCTGGCATTACACACGAATGGCGTTGAATTCAACATTTTCTTCGATTGTCGTACAAGAAACACAGCAGTATCATCAGGACTCCTCGGCACGTCTCGGTCTTGGGCCATCGGCTAGCGCCTCCGACTTTGCAAATTCATCCTTCCTATTTGGGTGAAAATGTCCCTTAGCCCGCCTCTTCAGCTCGACAATACCGCCAAATATGCTTCGAGGCTATGCTAGCTTCAACTGCTCGACCCGCTGCGAGAAGAGGTCACATGGACACTCACTATATATGCCGCACGCCCCTGCTGCTGGAGTACCGCGTCCTGGATGCGACTTTGCGGGAGGTTGCAGCAGCTTTATCAGCGTTCGGTCGTGCATGGGAGCGAGTCTCTCAGGCACGATCAGCGGTCAACGATACGGAGTGTCGCAGAGAGTTAGCTATGAAATACATCAGCTCGTCGCTGTGGTGTTGATGAAGCAGCAAAACGACTTTTACATGCGACCCCAAGGGCATCTCTCAGATCGAATGATTCACGATCCACGCGAGTTCTCCACGAGATAGCAGCTCATCTATACTTCAGTGGTACGAGCTGTCGTAAAGCTATACACTGCTTCACACGTTACCTATCACTGGCAAATGACACTCTGCGACCTTGCATTTGACTTAAATTGTCTGCTTCGATGACACGACAACGGCCTTTACATTGTGTTGATGGATGCGCTGGACGCCCGAATAGAAGCCGGATTTCGTGGCACTGGTCAATCGATGGAAGTCTTGTCGGACGTTGTGTCTTCGCAACATTTTCTCTACATCGTTTTCTCGTCGTATCGGATGGATTCAACCACCAACTCGTCATGGCCGACACTGTCAAACGGACGATTCCTTGGTTGATCGATTGGGCCAATGCAATTTCATCTTAAAGCAAGAGCGTCGTTTCTCTGTCTCCAGGGAATGTTCAGATCGGAACAAAGAAGTGACATCAGCAAAGTGTCGTGAAGCTCGAATCGTATCCAACTTGAACAGCAGCACCAAGGTCACAGACGATCGTCCAACGAGCACGCAGGTAAATATAAGAGAGCACCCTAGCACCCTAGCACCACAAGCTCCTTCCTCTTTGAAAGTAAAATCGAGCTAGAACGGCATCGTGGCCCTCGCGTGCCCCTAACATCAGAGTTCGAGCTGCGTGAGTATCTTCCACGAATCCGCAATGAAAACGACTTCCTCAAACGCCGGACTTGCGCACCGCCAACGGGTGTCGCTGTTTCGAAATTCGACCTCGTTTCTTAACTTCAGCTTCATCGATTCGTATCTTCTTCCGTACAATCATCGCAACATCAACATCCTTCATCCGTCCGAGATCTAGAAGAGGCACTTCGAATTCCCGATCGATCACGCGCCCAACTTCCCATCGCATCATCACCTTCTAGCCTCCCTTTGGTCGATTCGTCGTTTCCAAGTGCTACACGCGTCCAGCTAACGCGTGCATCCCTGTCCTCCCGAGCGGATGACTACCGACAGCCAAGTCCCGTCCCGAGTAGGCGAACGACTCCCATCTCCCATTCCCTGCAAAAGGCTGCTCGTGCACAGCTACCTTATTACAAACGCAGGCTGAAGCTTTCATTGATTGTGCCTTTTCAGGACATGAGGCTCAAAGTCGATGACCCCGTCCTGCACAAAAGGGGACTTTGCTGTTGCCCAGTTTAAACGATGCACCACCATCCCAGCGCACTCACGTCCAAGACATCGGTAGATAGCCGGGTCTGTCTTGCAAATGTGCCCTGGGCGCAATGGGCAAGATTAGCATGTCTGTTAGTGAGCCAGGCCGTCTCGTGCCTTGCCTGGCAAATGAGACAGGCCATGGGTTCGTCTTTTCTTGGAAAGGAAAAGAACCCAAGCAACACTCCAAAACATCTCTTCTGTTTTCGTTCCTTCCCCGTTTGCGAAATACGACCCCACCGCCGCCAGAGACCAGACCGCCCGGTGTGTGAGGTACATCTCGCTCACCACCACATCCCAACCCATTTCTACTGTGCTGAACCTTACCTGCTGTTCGCCCCTCGCAAGGTCCTTCGTGAGAGGAGAGTGCGATGGACCGCTTTTACAGCGACAAAGACTCAGTCATCGAAGCCCTCCCGCCGCGGCGTCCAGAGCCTCCGCCACTAGTACACACATTGTACGAAGAACTCACTGGAACTTGGCAATATGTCGTCGCCGATCCCGTCTCGCGGCACAGCGTCATCATAGACCCTCACCTCGACTCCACCGCTTCCACCGCCAGCACCGAGATCTCCACCATCGCTGCCGACCGTGTTCTCAATGTCGTTCACCAGAATCGATACATAGTCGATCGCATCATCCACACGCATGAGCCACGCGACCATCCTTCCTCAGCTTGGTATATCCGCACCCAGATTCTGCAAACCACTGGCCAGGCGCCGCAGGTCAGCATTGGGAAGAAGATGGCAGCTGTGCAGCGAGTGTTCAAGCGCAAGTACAGCATGAACGATGGCTCGCAATGGAGAACGGACTTTGAGCACACCTTTTCCGACGGGCAGATGTTCCCGATCGGAAATGTCACTGCGCGAGTGTTGCATCTGAATGGTGGAAATCTGGCGTTTGTCATCGGACAGCATGTCTTCGCTGGAACTTCGAGATTCGACCTCGAAGTGCGCAATCGCCATAACGCATTGGTGGGCGACCTGAGCAAGTACAACGTCTATACGGCGTACGACAGCCCACCAGCGAGGACCGCGAAACTGGTGCCGATCCAGGAACCGAGTGAGAGAAGTCGAAATCCGGTCAAGAAGCTGGTGATCCGGTATGCTGCGGAGCATTGAGCGAACCACGATACTGTGACGGCCGACTTGCTTTGAGAGTTTTTACGTTGTATTCGAGATACCCTGAATGTTTGGGATGATTTTGGAGCTGAGCGTGGTGTTTCGATTGCATATTTGGCGGTGGTTCTGTATCATAATTGTTAGAGCTAGACTGTCATCAGGGCGGCGTTTAATGTAATTATGGGTAGACACATACGTGATGGGTTTGCTACTGTCAATTACCAATGAATCTTTGCGTGTGCGAACACGGTGTTTGTTGGTTTGGGAAGTAATCGTAGATTTCATGCGTTGTAATAATCCTCAATCGTCGTCCTCATCTGAAGAGTATGCGCCTAGACCAAGGCCAGCCGTTGGTGCAGCAGGTGTGGCTATCACGACCGGTGACTGCGCTTTCACAGGCGCTGGTGCAACTTGAGTGGTCGCCTCTGCAGTCGCCTTCTTGATGCCGAGCAATGATGCTGTGTCTTTCTTTTTCTTCAGTTGCCGTTGGAAGGTCGGAAGAGCAGGCGGCGGCATCGCTGCTCTGTCCTGCGCCTGGCTGTCGACTTCGCCGTCTTCATCCTCCTCGCCTAGCCGTCGCACCTTCTCACCCGTCCCACTTTGGAAGGCCAGCCTTGCTTGCTCCTCGATCTCTTTCTCCAATCGCTCCGCATCCTCGTCGACTTGCTGTGGTGCGTCTACTACCGTTGCGCCTTCCTTCATGGCTCTCTCTCGAGCAGCATTCCGATGCCGCACATCATCCAAAGCATCTGCGATAGCCATCTCCGTCTTGGCATCCACGGTCTTCTTCTCCAGCTCCTTCATAGCATCCCGCTCTTCCTCTTCCCTCTCCAACCGATCCAGCCTCTCCTCCTCCGTCTCCTCAGCAAGCTTCGCCTCTCTCCACGGCTCGAAATTCCGCTTCGCTCCCTTCTCGCACGTATAGTCCATGTTCTTCGGGTCGGTCTTGAAGGTGATCTCCGCCGAGCAGCGGGTACAGCGAATGTAGAAGCGAAAGATGGTGATCGCATAGTATTTCTCGTCCGTGGTCTCTTTCCTAGCGTTGAACTTGCGCCCTTTGTATATGAACTCTCCGCAGGTTGTGCATTTCATGCTGAAGGGTGCCATGAGGCGGACGGTTTGCTGCTTCGGGCCTGTCTGCTTGGGACCTCGACGGCGTTCGATTTTGGAGGGGTCGAAGTCCGGTGGATAGTACTTGGTGAGGACCTTTCGCTCAGACATGTTGGCGGTGTTGTTTGAGTGTGGTGATAATGTTGTCGCGAGCTTGTGCTGTCGTCGGGGTTGGCCTTCGCAAAGTGAGTCGCAGATTCGTGAAGTCGCTCTTCACGCCGGGTGTGGCGCTGGCCAAAGCCGAGCGGAGGCAGGTCCGGTGGAATCCCCGCCAACATGTGACAGCGTAAACAAAGGCTCGAAGTTGCAGACGCGACTTGGACTCCTGCAGGTACGTTCGACTCGGAAATGGCTCGCCCGCCGGCCACTTACTTACTGTCAGCAGGCACGAGCAGTTGCAGTCTTCACCAAGCAGCCTTTTACCGACAATCCTATGACTTGGGCTGACCATGGAGACGTTTCTGCGCAATTGGCGCCAGAACGCCCTCGATAGACACCAGTACGATTCCGCCATCTTCGTTGGCGACAAGCTGTTGGCCTTGACCAGTGAGTTGATCCTCATTATACCAAGAAACCACCAAACTGACTGTGATGTACAGACTCGGACCAGGACGCATTCGCTCTCGCCCAGACTCATTTTGCAGCCAGCAACTACACTCGCGCATTAGCTTTCGTCTCTCGATCAGACCTCATACATCGGAAGCCTGCAGCACGATACTTAGCAGCGCACTGCTATATCAAGCAGAACAGGCATGAAGATGCACTGGCGATTCTTGGAGAGAAGAATCCAATACATTTGGCAACAACTACGGACGCTGCACGGCGGAAATTGCAACATATGAGCAATGGCTTGTCGAGCAAGCAGCAGGGCAAGTCTAGACTCCCAAGTCGGACGGAGAGGGTGGATCGTAGTGAAGAGCGAGGAGGAGAAGATGCTGCAAACCTGAAATACGAAGCAGGCATGTGCTACCTGCGAGGACTCTGCTATGCCAAGCAAAACGCCTTCGACCGAGCAAAGGAGTGCTACAAAGACGCCGTACGGATAGACGTGCAATGCTTCGAGGCCTTCGATCAGCTGGTCAAGAATTCTCTCATGAGTCCGGGTGAAGAATGGGACTTCTTGGATAGCCTCAACTTCGACACAATTCAACCAGAACCCTCTGAAACAGCATCGCCAGAAGCAGCCGACTTTACGCGGAATCTGTACACGACACGACTGTCAAAGTATGCGCGACCAGACGCCTTTCAAACTTCGATCGAGACTTTGTCGACACACTACCGGCTATCGCAAAACCCGGATATCTTGCTCGCGAAAGCTGAGCAGCATTTTACTGATTCGCGGTTCCAACAAGCCGTCGATCTCACAAATCAGATCCTCGAAGCAGATCCCTATAACTTCGCGGCTATACCACTACATCTGGCACTGCTCAGTCAGCTGAACCACACGCATGCATTGTTCTCACTTTCACACGATCTGGCCGATACGCATCCAAATGAGCCTTGCACTTGGCTGGCAGTTGGTACCTACTATCTAGCCACAAATCGGATACCAGAGGCACGATCATACTTCTCAAAGGCCAGTTTGATGGATCCACATTTCGGCGCAGCTTGGATCGGCTTCGCGCATACCTTTGCAGCTGAAGGAGAGAGTGATCAAGCAATTGCAGCATACAGCACAGCAGCACGGCTGTTCCAAGGTACTCATCTCCCGCAGCTCTTCCTCGGCATGCAGGAGATAGCACTTGGCAATCTGACCATTGCGAGAGAATATCTAACAGCAGCATTCCAACTCTGCGATAGAGATCCACTACTCATCAATGAGATTGGCGTTATTGCATACATGGAAGAGAGCTACGAGAGCGCAGCTAGGCACTTCGACCTCGCGCTCCAAATCGCTGCTAGCAACAACGCACCTCCTACCCAGTACACCAGCACCCGACTCAACCTGGCGCATGCGCTGCGTAAAGCGGGAGACTTCGAGAGGTCGCTAGAAGAGTTTGACGAGGTCATACGTCAAGGCATGCGAGAAGCAGGTGTGTTTGCGTCCAAGGGCCTCGTTCTGCTGGAGTTAGATCGGGCCTTCGATGCGACCGTAGCGTTGCATGAAGCACTCGCTATCAGTCCACAAGACCCGATAGCCAGCGACTTGCTCGGTCGGGCGCTCTCACAGCTTGAGAATGTCGGTGTTTTGGGCGGTGCGGACGAAGAAGAGCTGGACAGTCGCCTGGAAGCCAACCTGTCGCAGATCAGAAGCTCCCGAGGTGCTCCCCAGCGGCGGCGCGCGATTCGACAACCTGGAGACGACATGGATCTGGATGGTGTGAGCGAAGGCGGTGAAGACGTGTATCAGCAGCATATACCTTAGCAAGGTAACGTGGTGACTAGATCTCACAACTTCGCTCCGCTCACACACAGCCAGCAAGGAACTGTTGTTGCGGTCGGAAGGGGGGCTTTCCAACCGGTCACTCGCGACATGCCCGTCGTTAGAGCCGATCGGGACGATGACGAGGTGATGGAAGAGCCGCAGACAGAGAACGGAGAAGGCGCGTTTGAGAGTGGCTACACTATCGAAGACGATAGTGATGGGGAAGAAGTTTTTGGATCTGCCGGTGTGCCATTGCGATCGTCGAGGTTTGATCCAAGCAGCACGTCGCGAGGGGCACTCAATATTGGGCCTTGATAATACGATCACCTGGATGTTTGGAATGAAGCCAGGCAACTTCCATTGTCATGAAGTTGACATTGGGTTGAGATCGACGAAGTGCTGTTGACCTCCTGGCTTGGCATCGCCGATGCTTTTGTGTCTCCTGACCTGGGCTATCCAGAGAATATATGACCTACGACCGTGGTTTATTCAACGACGAGAACTCCATCAGTAGAACAAGCAAGAATCCAATAGGTGCACTGGATTGACAGACCAGTCGGCCGCATGACATTTAGCCGCTCAGGTATGGCAGACCCACAGCCGGGCGGCTACATCCCAGTCTCAAGTTTCGACCACCTCGAAATACTTCAAAAGCCCAGAACTAATGTATACTAATGCCATTGAGCGGCACAGCAGCGCGTAGAAGACATCAATATGTAGTCGACCAACGCAGGTAGGTGGCAGAGCCATGCACATACGGCTTCCTTTTCTTTAACCTTTTTTCGCTTCAGCACTTACACGCCTGTGGCAGTCATGTACATACAGTCTCTACCCTTCTCAATTCTCATTCTGCATTCTTTTCTATGCTGCACCGCGAGCGGGCAGATCCATTGGACGAACAGCACTTCAAGACCTACGCGTACTTCCTCTATCGCCCTCCCTGGAGTGAACATCAGACCTCCCCTGAGCCTGCTCACCGGCTCCCGATATACCTCCTCATACACCGGCACGCCCGAATACAACTACTTCACCGCCATCGCCTCCTACGCCTCAACCACCTACGGCCCCGCCGTCTTCGACCACACGACTTTCCAATCCGTCTGCCCGTCCTCGCCACGCAGCTCCGCCCGACCATGCTACAGCACCTGCACGTCTTTCGCGAACGCCTGCCGGGAGCTGCATTCCTCGTGGAGCGGCAAGAATGCTGAGTTCCAGAGCTCGATGAACGCGGAGCATTTCGGCGGGACGTCGAGTCGGATTGGGGATTCGGTGTCGACGAAGACGGAGCGATTGTCGACGATTTGGAGTTATGATACCAGCTGGGCGACGTCGTTGACGACGGTGGATATTCTGGGGCAGTTTGGGGAGTCGGAGAAGGTGTATCCGACGAAGGTGGTTACTGTTGTTGATGGGGTGAGCACGACGGTGACTTCGACGGCGACGCAGGAGGGTGTGGAGGTCAAGACGGAGAGTCAGGCTTATGCGGCTGGTGGGACGGGGCATGTTGTGTCTGTCAAGACGCTGGATAACTACCTGCTTACTTCGACGGAGTATTACTCGTGGTCTTTCTCTGAGCCGAAGCCGCAGTGCTCGCCGACGACGTGGACAGATTGCCAGTTCAGAACCGATTGCGACAAGTGTACCATCTCTGGCGGGACGGTCAGGCTGCTGTACTTCCCTGTCAGCCGAACGACTTCTGGAGAGAGCCATACGACTAGTGCACCAGTGACGGCGCCCATGAGCAAGAGGGCTGAGCCTGAAACAGCAGTCTACGGCAACACGACCCTCACCTCGCCATCCGTGTACATCTCTTTCCACACAGCCTACGCGATGAACGCCTGCGGCACGCAGATCGGCCAGCGATACCCAGGTGCCATCCTCGCTCTGAACCGCAACTCCCTTTCCAGCGTCAACATGATCTGGGGCACCATGTACAGCTCGCAAGCTGCGGATCCCTTCGCTTCAGGATCACCCTACCTCATCGCCAGTTCTTTCAATCTCGCAGATATGCAATGGCCAGTGCCGGCCTCCGCGTACATGGCCCAGCCGAAATGCCAGGACGGCCCTTTCGGACGGTGCAGTGTCATTCTGGATGACTACAATCCTTTGTTGGAGGTTCCGGTGGAGGTCAGGGCGATGGATCCGGCGTGGAAGAGTTGTGAGCTGGATTGGCAGGGGCTGTATGACCCGCCGACGGCTCTGCAGCCTGCGGAGGCGGCGGCGAAGCCTACAATGAGTTCGGCTGTTGATGGAGGGTATACCAGTGCGAGTCCGCAGAGTACGCCGACTAGCCCACCGGTGGAGACTGCTATACCCAAGGCCACGATGGGATTCAGCGAGCCTGGGGCTAGTCAGGCAAGCAGCAGCGAGAAGGCTGAACAAGACCCAACAAGCGCAGTGGAGGAATCTGCGCCTTCAACAACGAGGCCGCACGATGGCAATGAGCCCCAATCGTCTGGAGACCCTGACGTGGTAACCAGCGAAGATTCAGGGCCTGTACCAACGACAGCTCAAGATCTCAGCAATGCTCCGTCGTCAGACAGCCCTGCAATAGCATTCAGCCAGGCTCCTCCAGCTGTGCCGACAACCAATCCAGAAGCCAACGACGATCCTACGAATGTTAGCGGCACACTGCAAACATCGTCCGGAGGAACCCGGGACAGTCTTGTAGCAGCTAGCAGCAACGCAGCGACTTCGTCAATAGGCGGAAGCGAACCTTCTCCGGCGCCCCAGGAGGGTGTAGATGTAGGCGGACACGTTGCCACAGGATCGAACAGTCCTACAGCTTCACAAGTCATCGAATCGACAATACCAACTCAAGCTCCGCAACAAGACGTGGATCCAGGCTCGGATGTCGATACTGGAACGAGCACTCCAGCCTCGCCCGCAGCATTCGACCCCACAGGCCCAACGCAAGTCCCACAAGAAGACGTGACTGTAGGGGGAGATACTAGCATTGCGCCGGATACTGCGAGTGCTCCAGCAATTGTCAATCCAACAAATTCAGCTCGAATAAGTCTAGAAGATCCCCAAGTCGTCGCCAGCGAGGCTGCAGACGAAGCGCCTTCAAGAACAGCAACACAACCACCAACAACCTCGAGCAAGGTAGGCACCGTGTTCCTCGACGGTACGGGAGGAGCCAACGTCATCTTCGATAGTAGCACCATCGCAGCAGGGCAGCTTTCCACTGAGGAAGGCGCCAACGGTCGTACCATGTTCATCGGAAGCGAGTCCGGCACAGTGCTCACGAGAACTTTGCTGTCATTACAGCCGAGTTCAGCTATAGCAGCACCGAGCCAAGGGGCTGGGGAACCAGATCCGAGCCAGACGCAGACCCCATTGGAGTCACGTCCTTTGATTGTTGCGATTGACAGCCAGACGCTGACGGAGGGAGGATCGGTTCAGACCGTATCAGGCCAAGTCGCCAGCTTGGCGTCGAATGCGATTGTCGTCGGTTCACAGACAATCAATGTTCCTCATATCCAGACAGGGACGCGGCACATCTCCGTGGCAGTGGGCAGCAGCTCGGCCTTGATAGGGATGACTGTCGTCGCTGGGGACGACATGGCATCTTCGACCGGTACTGGCCATTCAGGGGCAAAGGCGACAGCTTCGTCAGCAGACGCGGGAACAGTTCTTGCTTCGACTATACCACGTGCGGTCTTCACCTTTGGGACACATACTTACACCGCTATCAAGACGGCTGGCCCCAGTCAAGCTGTCGTAGACGGCAAGACACTTTCCGTAGGCGGCACGCAAGTCAGTCTTGAAGGCGGAAGCGTGAGCTTGAATACCGATGGCCAGCTGGAGATGCAGTCCAATGTACCGACGACGTCCGCCAGCGGTGTCAGTGTTGCCAACGCCGCAGCGATTACACTCGGTAGCACGACGTTGACAGCAGTGCATCCATCAGGGGCGGGCAAAGGTGTGGTGGAAGTCGACGGTACAACACTATCACCTGGTGGTTCTGGACTCGTCGTTGGCGACGCAACCGTCAGTGCGCTGTCGAGTGGAATTGTGACACTTGGCGATGGTGGAAGTGGAACAGTCACGTTGAGAAAGACCACTTTGACCAAGAGCACTGCAGAAGGCTCTGTGAGCAGCAGTCTGTCCAATGTTGAGCCGATCTCGCCCTCGGTGACTTCTGGAATCGGTCATGTACAGACGGCGGGACCGTCGCCGAGTTCGTCGACGTCTGGGTCAAGCAGGATTGTGGCCAGTTGGCGAGCTGTAGAGGCTCTCATGGTTGTATTTGCAGTTTTACTACCCATGTTCCATAATCTATAATGACGAAATCAGCAACGATGCTTTAATGCCAAAGTGAATCTCGAGCACATGCCAATTACTGTTGAAAGTTTATTTCTGAGAGCAAGGATGTCACGAGGGAGCCCGGTCAAACCTTCCGACTGTCTGGCACTTTTGCAACTGGACTTTATGCAACCTGGACTTCTCCATGGAGGAATGCATTTGCGTTTCAAGTTTGTCGGTCGAGGAGAACTCCAGAAAAGCTCCTATACAATGTGTGGGGACCTGTGGAGGATCGTCGGCAAGAACCAGATTATGTCGCAACACTGCATACGCAGCGCTTGTTAGGACTAATTGTTGACAGCCGTACCTGCAGGAACATGCAGGCACAATCCTAAAGGTCTGTCTTGGCTGCAGAGCAGACGAGGATGGATTGCTTGTGTCACCTTTCAATGCAGTCGTTGTCGTGAAGTCGTAACATGTGGTTGTCCACTCTTGCCGAGCCAACCTGGTAAGGCACGTTATCGCACACCGCGGTTCGGGAGGGGGAAGTGACGAGGGGACGCTGCCCAGCATCTTCCAGTTTCGATTCTCATGTTTGACAATCTGCATCTGCTTCACCCACACTCTGCGACACTCGTGAGATGCCAGACAAAACACTTGGACAGACCGACATCTCTGCCATGGCTCCTCGTCGTCGCGCAAACGATCTTGGTTTGCGGCATGCACGTGTCCGTGACGCAGGCAGACGAATACGCCGGCTGTGCAGACTGCAAATAAGAGAATAACCGACCATGACAGAGCGCGGGGACAGGCCGATTTTTGTTCAACCAAGACGCCGTCCGGGTAGCGCATTGCATGTCATTTCCCAGACCCATGTCCTCGAAGCAACACGAAGAAGAGCCGCGTGGTGGCTCGTCAACCGGAATTAAATAAAGAGCAGCTAAGCTTTCGAGGCGCATCGGGTATCGTCATGAATCCACTGACGCGGAGCGAGACGATGACAGCCATGTGCGGCAGAGCGGCATCCTCTCCTTTCTGTAGACGCTGTGATTCGTGAATGCTGGGCAAAATGGAGATCTAAATGCCGGCCGTTTGATAGCCAAGATGATCCCAACTCGCGATACCGAGCGTCCACGGTAAGGGAGGCGGCGCAGAAGGACGCTCAGCTGTCGCCGGAGACTCCCTAACAGCGTCCAACGAACGACGAGATGTTGCTCCGGTGCAGTTGCATTTGACGCTGCGATGCGGTGCGCTGCGAGCAATCAGGGAGCGCAGGAGACATGGCTGGAGAGTCCGTGTCATTTTAAGGGATGCGCTAATGCGGGCCGCCGGCGCACTGCGCGTTTCAAGGTTTGGAGTCTAATTTGCATGCCCCGACCTCAGCGACAGCGCCAGGTGAGAGTTCATCTCCTTCACAACCGTCGCCTCTCCTCGCCAGTGCCAAGATTGTTTCTGCCGACAGTCTCTCCTTCACCTCCGTCGCGCTCACCATCAGCTTCACTCGTTTTTGTCATTGTCGTTGTCAACAGACTGATCTCGCCGTCGCCAAGCGCTTCACGAGACTCGTCGTTCCGTTCCTTTGCTTCAGACCCGACGTCCAACCAACAACTCCCCCTCGCCGACCTGCCCACGACGCAAGGTGCATACCTCCCTGCCCTTGACGTACACAACCTCCAGACACGCGCCATTGCGACCGACAGCACGAGCTTCCCCGGACAGCTTCCACACTCTTTCAACGACTGCACATACCACGCCGCCGCAGGCGAGAAGGCGACTGTTCCATTGGCAGGTCCCTCGTTCGACGCTTTCGGCGACAGCGTCGCTGAGCATCTTGTGCATATCAGCCGCATCATTCCTCGCGCTGGACGCTGTTCATCATGAAGTCCTCCTTCGCCGCGACCTTCGTGTTTGCTAGCAGCGTTGCTGCATTCTGGCGCATGCCATGTCGCTCGCAGACCGGTTACGCTCGTATCGACCCTCTCGTCAACCCCGGCAGCATCTCTGACCATGTGCACGCCATCACTGGTGGTGGAAGTACGTCAGCAGCGAGTCGAACATGTGCAAATGGCCCCCACTAACAGCTCTTAGACTTTGGTGCCGACACCGACTTCAAGAAGCTCACTGCTTCTGACTCTTGCACTGCTTGCGCCGTCACGCAAGACCATTCCGCCTACTGGACCCCAGCTGTCTACTTTCAATACAAGAATGGCACTACCGTCATGGTTCCGCAAGTTGGCGGCATGCTCGCGTATGTTGAGCTCGTTCCTCGATCTATCATCTGAGACTAACGAAATGTCTAGCTACTACCTTTACTACCTCGACAACGTCAAATCCTTCCCCGAAGGTTTCGCCATGATCGCCGGCAACCCAGACACCCGCAACTTCACTGGCCCATTCCCAGACGCGCCTTTGAGTTCCTGGCCGACCGATCCAACCGACCAGTTCTTCCTCCAACAACGCGCCCTCGGCTTCAACTGTCTCAACTACGCCAAGACACCAGAGGCATCTCTCTACCGCCACACCTTCCCGCCAAAAGAGTACATGGATGCGAACTGCAAGGACGGTCTCCGTCTGGAGCTGGCCTTCCCCAGCTGCGGCAAAGAGGGCGTGCTCGACTCTCCCGACCACCGATCCCACGTCCAGTACCCAAGCTTGGTCAAGGAGGGCAACTGCCCTGAAGGATTTGACGTCCACTATCCGTTCCTCTTCTTTGAGACCATCTGGGCTACCAACCAGTTTTCTGGCGAGGATGGCCAGTTCCTCTTGTCCACTGGTGACCCGGTCGGCACCAGCTACCACGGCGACTTCATCATGGGGTGGGATTCCGCCGAATTCCTCCAAAGTGCTCTCGATACTTGCAAGAGCCCCTCTGGAGAAATCGAGGCTTGCCCTCTGTTCAACATCCAGGACGACGCGGATGCGGCGCAGTGCACTTTCGATATGCCTGGTGATCTCAAAGACGACGACTGCCATGGCCCACGTGACGGTCTCCCTGTTGATGTTCCAATTCAGTACGGCCCAGAACCAGCCTCTCAGTACAAGATTGCTGGCGCAAGCGGCGCAGCAACTACCTCCATCCCGCACACCAGTGCTCCTCAAACTTACTCCCAGTCCGCTGTCTCTTACTCGCCAGCCGACGCAGCAAGCACCGCTTCTGCCCAGGGCGGCATTGTCGTCGCCATGGAATCGGCGGCTGGCAGTGCTCATGGCTATGGCAAGGACACCGAGTACGGTGCTGCTCGCCCATCTGTCACCTCTGCTCCAAGCTCTGCTTCAGCCAGCAAGGACTCCAACGCTGTCTCTACGACCACGATCACCCGTGGCAACGAGGTCATTGAGATGGTTATTGAGGAGACTGAGGTCACCGTCACCGCTCAGCCAACCGCAGGCTCGTACGAGAAACGCCACCTCGAGCACCACAAGCACCACCACCATGCGCGCAACTGAGGCTTGCATTTTGCAGACTATATGTTAAATGTTTAGACTCTTTCAGCTGCATTGGGTAGGCGCTTTTGTGGCACACTTGGATTCAAAGGGGTGGTTTTCATAAAGTCGCGATTCTAGGATACAGAACGCGATCCTTTGGCAAACAGAGTCGGTGTCGCCACCCTCTGGAAAGCGAAAGCACGGGCTGGTCCTGAGCGAGCGGAGTGGTTGTAACATATCCACGAGTGACGAGACTCGACGGCATTCACCGACAACAACATCGAAAGGCCGTGAAATGGCCCTGTCTGTTGGAGAATCAAGGCAGCCCGTGTCTTCCGGCATGGTCGCCTTTTTTCTTCACACAGCTAGAGAACCGTTTTTTCATAGCGAAACAAGAGCTTCTTTGTACAGTGTCTCGAATTTGCGCAACATATCCCACATTCCAGAAGCCCAGTCTCAGGCCCAAAGCAAAACACAACGATCTAGATCTGAACTACTCGATATATTTGGTGAGTTTGTCTGTCATTATTATTGTTGATTTGTTTTGGCCGTTTTATCTTGTCATCAACACCTAAACCATGGTCTTGTCTTGACCGTTTGCAAGGACCCAGATCCATTCACTCGCCGCCCACAAGCCAGCACATGCGGGCTTGGCATCTGCTTCACTGTTTTTACGCCACAATAATAACAACAGTCAACAATAGAAGTTGAATTACCTCACCTGCCCGGGATTAAACACTTCTCGACCATGTCGTCGCCCACAGCTGATCCTGTCCTTCCAACAACACCAACGAAACCACCGTTCCTCTCAACACAATAGCAGAAGAGCCATGCCCCCAAAACCCTACACCCTCCCCCCACTAACCCACCCCTCCTTCATCGGCACCCCCAAACCCACCTGCCCCGCCCCATCCCTCAAAAACCCCTCCCAGCGCTGCCGCAACAAACGCTCCTGCGATCTCCGTCGTGGCGGAGCCAAGCGCGAGGCGGAGAGGGTGGCGCTGCTGAGGGATGACCTGGTGCTGTGCTGGGAGGTTTTGAGTCGGGAGGAGAGGTGGGGATTGGCGGATGGGGTTGCGAAGGGGAGTGTTTGTGGGGTTTGTGAGAGGGGGGGACGGAGGGGGGTTGTGAGGGAGGGGATTTTGAGGGGGCTTGCGGTGGGTGGCGAGGGTGATGGGGTGGGAGATGGAGGCGAGAAGGGAGCTCTTTTGTCGAGTGTTCCTGAGGAAGGTGTCTGCGTCCAGCCAAAGAAGCATGAGGGTGAAGAGGCTGGCCGAAAAGAAGAACCACGCCAGGAGGAAGCGATTTCATCGAATCCGGTGGAAGACAGCATCCTCGTTCAGCCCGGGAAGCACGAGGACGAGGAAATCGACCAAAAGGAAGAATCCAAAAAGGAAGCGATCTCATCGAATCCGGTTGAAGACAGCGTCGTCTTCATTCAGCCTGAGGAAGCCGGCCGAGAAGAAGAATCCAGGAAGGAAGCGATCTCGTCGAATGCAGCTGAAGACAGCGTCCTCATCCTACGAAGAAACCATGACGACGACCAAAAAGCCAACCGCAACGATGAACCGGAAGAAGCAATCCCAGAAATCTCCCTCGACAACACCATCGTCCACGAGCAGGAAGACCGAGAATCCACGCAACCCACCAGACCAGAAGAAGCAGACTCAACCCCCTCAACCCCCCTCGAAGACAGCATCCTCGTCTACTACCAACATTCCACCAACTCCCAAGACCCCAGCCCCAGGCCCAACTCCAACTCCAACTCCAGAAACTGGGACCCCATCTCCTCAACGCCCTCCTCAGCCCGCACAGCCTCCACGCGGCACAACTCCTCCTCGCCACCCACCGACGTCACCCTCAACTCCAGCCCGCCAGACCTCCCACCCGTCATCATCGAAGGCACCCTCGCGGATTTCTGCTTCCAGACCCCACCGCATGCGCCTTCGACGCCCGTGGAAGTGTTGTGGACGGGGCCGATTCATGCGGTTGGGTATTTTCCGGAGCCGGGGACGCCGTCGAAAGGACCAGCGGGAGAGGAAGAAGATGTCCCGACGGAGAAGCAGGATGAGGACTTGTCTTCAACGCTCAAAATCAGCGTTCTGGAGTTGGAGTCAGAGAACGCCACCCTCCGCGACCAGCTCCAAACCCTCCATCGAGACCTCGACACCGCAAACCTCAAAACCCGCGCCGCGCGCCTCGAAGCCGATCGCTGGCGGAATCTCTACCACGCCCTGAAAGACTGCGTGGGGTGGATTTTCTCGCGCAACGAAGTCGACTCCCCCGACGAGGAAGAAGACCCCGCCCCCGAGCTCGAGGTCGACGACGAAGGCGCCTCGTGGAGCAGCGAAGCGGAGGAGGTCGACGGGGAGGAGGTGTATTGGCCGCTGAAGGTGCCTAAGAAGAGGGAGGGTTCTGGGGTGAGGGTGGATAGTGGGTTGGGATTGGGGAGTTTGTTTGGTGGGGAGGAGATGGATTTGCCGCCGGTGCCGGTGGTGAGGAGGCGGAGACGCACGGCGGGGATGATGAGTTTGGGGAGCATTGTTGAGGTTGAGGAAAGAGAGGAGGATATGGGGCTGGTGGGGCAGTGATTGATGTTTGCCTGCCTGGATGGTGGGCGGTTTCGTATGTCTTTTGCTTTTGCTTTCCTTTTGGTTGTTTCGTATTAGTTCAGCGAGCGAGGGCGTGGAGTTCGATGGAGTGCTGAAAAGGAGGTCTTTTGCATCATGCGGTAGCGACAGTCTTTCCAGGGGTATCTATAAACGCTCATCAGCTTCTCTATCTTTACAATCAACTGTCATCAAAATTCCTCTCGAGTCCGGGAGTCCTGTGCAATGCCTGTCCCTCCCCCATTTTGCCTCGCATCATGTCCCCTCATACGGCACAGCAGGCACCAAGCCCCTGATACTCTCACTCTCATGCGCCCCAATTTCTTCATCCCGCCCCTTTCTCTCTTCCTCTTGCTCGACAATCGTCGTGACATGGATCCCCGGCACAGGACCTCTCCCTACTCCTCTTCCACTACTCCCGCTCTCGTTCAGATTCTCTTCATCGTCCATCTCCTTGATTTCCACTGCGCCTGCTGTTCCGCCAGCAAACCTCTTTCCTAACCTCGAGAATCGTCCGCTTCGTTTGCTTTCTCGCTCGTCTCGGTCGACTGTCGCGGTGCAGCTCGCGTGGCTCTTGCCGTGGTTTCCGGCGAGTTCGAATGTCGATGGCCGGACATTGTTTGATGCCCCGTAGGATGATGATGAGAAGAGCGTGGGGAAGTATCGCGTTATGCAGCCCTTGAGAGTGGGGATGCAACTGCATAGGATTCCTACGTTAACTTCGAGGCTGGACCAGATTGCTGCGAGAGGATTGTCCCAGCTGACGTCGCTGGATTTCGAGATGACGTAGAGTGCGGATAGACGTAGGATCGATATGACACAGGTCACACCTAAAGCAGGGTCAGTGAATAGGAAGCATGAGCTATACGTTGTCTACCATACCTCCCAATCCAAATACAACCATAAGCACCATCTTTTGGCGTTTAGGAAGATTCAAGCTCTTGAGCACCGGCAAGGGTAGAATCGCAGTGCAGACGTCTGTGATGATGTTCACCGCAGCATTGGAGAACCTGCTGTGCCATGTCAGCCAAGGTCCAAGCATATCCATACTCTCGCAACTCACCACACCGCCAATCGATTCAGACACGTTCCCTCAATCGACTTATCCCAGAAATGCCGTATCGGCCAGCAAGCAAACAGAGCAGAGAAGAAGGCCCAGAAAGTCCACCCAACAATGACGCCGATCAAGGTGAAGCAGCCAATGCGGAACTTTCGCTCGGGGAATATGCGAAGGTATTGGAGCAAGATCGATAGCTTGGCGAAGCAGAGCGCGACGTAATACACCCAGACTGTTGAGTGAGTGTTAGAGAATGAAATGGCAATCGTCAGTGTAGAGATATACCTGATGCCCAGAACCAAACGAGCGATTGTACGTTGTCGTTATTAGACAGTGTGTCCGCGTGTCTTCCCATGCCGTATCGTACTGATGTGAGTTAGCTTTTCAGCAGCATCGTACTTGAAGGTTGGCTCCAACTCACCTTGTTGACACATCGTGACCGTCAACACGCTCGTCAGCGCCAGCGCGATGGTAATGACAATATCGTCAAGCCCAGCATTTCGAACGATCCCTATCCGCGTATAAAGTCTCATCACCGTCGCCATAAACGCCAACACCGTAAAGCTGATCGTCACGCCGACGACGGCTGAACCTGGGGCATGGCCGCTGGCAGCCATTGCCGTCACTGCCTCTCAAAAGAGAGAGGCGCAAGAACGAAATTCGACTCGATGTTGGAGGTGGTCAAACAGTGTTGTAGTACAACGGACAACGAAGCACTCAAGATGAAACGCAGCACCCGACTTCTCCAGGTGGGCAGGTCGCCATGAAGACTGGAGATGCCATCAGCCCACCTGCAAGCACCCTGAATCGCGACAATGGACATTTCGAAGTTCAGCCGGGTTCAACAAAAGGCCTGGTGGTATCAAGCATGAGGGTCACTGTGGGTTGGGGAGGTCGATCGAAACGTTGCACCATGCTTGTCGTGTGCGCACGCGATGCAGGCATGACGTTGTAAAGCACATGGCGAGCGTGCAATAAGAGCATGTACTGACTCGTGGTTCTTTGGAATTGTCCAATGGTGGTTTGCGAGGTCTTTGACTTGCGTAAGGAAAACCTTCGCGGATGCCAGCAGCGCAAGGGTGGAAATCGGACTGTGGGTCAGATGGAGGAGCGGTTCCTGATGATCGGCATTGAAACATTGTCCACAGGCTGGACAATGATTGTAAGGCTGAGGATATAATGATGGCGACACTGTACCATGACTGAGAGCGCGAGATGGCATTTTCGGTGGTATATCTTTTCAACCTGCTCTCCTGTTGCAAGTACGTGGCAAACGCAGCTGTAGCTAGACCAGGTAGCCCTGACAAGCAAACCCGATGGCAAAGAGGCAACTTCCAGTTCTCCACGCAGGTGGTAGAGTGACATCCGGAAGGGCGGCTAAAGTAAGTGTTTAGATCCGAGTTTTGATAACACTTTCCCTGGGCAGCCTGAAGCGAAGTTTGCCCGGTCGTGTCGATGGCCGGAGTCGGTAGAGATCAACAGAGCTTAAATAGCTGAATTACTGAATTGGAGCCAAGGGCGGGTTGTACTGCCTTGTTGTATACTCACCGGAATGGCAGCCGACGTCGTCGATTCATGAAGGCCTTTCGGTTGTCTGCAAGGACGGCTCGGGAGAACAGCCAGGAAGAAGATGGAGGGTCTCCTGCTGCATACGAGAGCACTCTTGGCAAGCCAATGCAATCAACCACCTCCTAATAACCGCATATCCTGCCGTCCTGAATCGCATGTACTTTGTACCCCCCCCATCTGTGCATCAGAGATGTAGCCACGCGAAGACTTCGGAAGGAAGAGGCACAGCAAAAGCCGCATCTTCGCTCTTTCTACGCTTCAACCCATCTTCGCCATCATCAGCGATGCATGACTCGGGATGCCCTTAGTTGCCAGACCCCAGAAATGCGCTCGTGGGGCGTGGTTTGCGCGTGCTCGAGCATGTTGCCACTGAGGTGCTCCACAGGGCCAAGTTCGCGGATGGCTCGGGGAGCGCAGGATGTGGTTTTCTGGGCACGTGATCAGGCGACAGTGAGGTGAGTGAATGAAAGGATAGCCCAGAGAGCTGGTGCTGTACACTTTCACATGATGATGAATGTCAAGGAGAAGTAGCTCATTCAAACTCAAATGTAAGTAAGTGAGTGAGTGAATCGGCCGCGGAACTAAATCCGCGCACCAGCCAGGAAAGTGACCACCTCACCTCAACTCCAGCTGTGTAGGTCCACTGCCCAAAGCAATGCCATAGTCAACAACCTTAACAGCAGCCAGACTGCTACAATACCCACCATGCACTCCAGCCTCGTCCGCATCCAAAACGTCTTCGGCTTCTTCACCTCCGTGGCCTTCGCCGTCGCCGCCGCAATCGCAATAAGCGTAATCCTCAGCCCGCAATCCCCCTCCGCGAGCCTCGAGCTCAAGAAGGTCAAAGTGTACGTCCGCCATCCATACCCCTTCCATTCCAAACCCACCGTCCCCATACTAACAAATGACGTGCCACAGAGCCAAAGGTCGCCCACACTACTACTCCACCAAACGCGAAGAATACGCCCACATCACCTTCACCCTCGACGCGGACCTCACCTCGCTCTTCAACTGGAACACCAAACAAATCTTCCTCTGGGTCTCCGCCTCCTACCCCTCGCCAAACAACCACCCCGCCACACCCCCCTCCGAAGCCATCATCTGGGACGCCATCATCCCCCACGACCAAGCCCCGTCCCATCCAAACACCTACACGCATCCTTCGCCCAAGAACTCGAAGACGAAATCAAAATCTAAACGCAGCGCTCAGGGGAAGGCATACCCAGAAGGCACGCAGGCCGGGATCGTGCGTCTCGAGTCCCAGAAGCCGAAATACCAAATCACCGACGTGACGGGCAAGATCGCGGAGCGGGGCAATGCGACGTTGACGCTGCATTGGAATGTGCAGCCGTGGGTGGGGTTGTTGACATGGACGAATCGCGAGACGTATGGAAGGTGGGACTGGTTGAAGGGCGGGAGGACGGGGCCGTTTGAGTTTCCGGCGATTAAGGGGAGTGAGACGATTAAGAAGGAGGATTTGAGGACGGCGACGGGGGCCGAGGCGAGGAGGGGGAGTCCCGCGTAGAGGAGTTGTATGGTGAGATTCTCTTGGAGATCTTCTTGTATGATGAAGATATATCAAATCGGGTTGATTGTGCCTTTTCCATGCATCGGTTCACTCTTCATCATGGATGTCTATACTGTATGCTCCGCTGTTTCAACAACGTGATGCTCAGGTTTGTTGATCGATCTCGCAAGCCAACATGAGTATCGCTATCTAAACCGATCAACCTTTCCGCCGCATAATCCCCATCCGAGCATTCTACGCCGCGGATGGGTCACCCGGAGCCAAGGTCATCTTCGGCTTCTTCTGCGCATCCACAGCTTCAGCAGCACCCTCCAACTCCTCCATCTTCCGCTTCTCGCCTTCTCGCTCTCGTCGTCTCGCCTCACGCTCCTGCCGCTCCTTCTCCTTTCTCAGAGCCTTACTCTCGAATTCGTGCCAATCTCCCTCAAGATCTGCCAACTCCACCACTTGTGCCGGCTTGGGTTCTTCGGTGGTGAAGTAGGGGTGCTCGAGAACATCTGCTGCAGTTGGTCGATTGGCAGGATCGTATAAGAACATCGCTTGCAGTAGCTCGAATGCGTCGTGGCTGACACGCTCTTTGTACTTCTCCGCGAAAGTCGATGGGATGCGATGGCTCGGCCGGAGAAGCTCGTACCACTGTAATTCAGTAATGCCAGGCCATTCACTACGTGACGGCGTACCAAGTACGTTGTAGATCTTGTCCAGCTGATTGATCTCGCCTCCATCACCAGGGAAGATGGCGTGTCGTGTGAAGATTTCGACTAGAACACAAGCTGCACTCCAAATGTCGACGGCCGGGCCGTACTGTGTTTCTCCAAGGAGCAATTCAGGACTCCGGTACCAGATAGTGATGACTCGGTTGGTGTAGTCTTGCTTTTGTCGTTTTTGATAGAAACGTGCCAGGCCGAAGTCTGCAAGCTTGAGGACACCGTCCTTCGAAATGAGGATGTTCGCTGCTTTGATGTCGCGGTGCAGCACTCCTCTCCTATGAAGATAGTCCAGACCTTCGAACAATTGCTTGGCTAGATGTTTCTTGTGACCTGCTGTGAGGGCGAACGAGGGATGGTTGAGCAGTCCGGTCAAATCGTGTGATAGGTACTCGAAGACCATAAAGCAGTCGTTCCGCTCGACCATTACTTCCAGGAGAGGAACGACATTGGTGTGCTTGAGAGACTGCAATAGCTTGATCTCACGGATAGCGGTGACCGGGAACTGCTAGTCGTTAGTCGGGGTTCAAACAAGGAATCGAAACCTTTACTTACGCCATCACGCTCACCCTCCATGCGGATCTTCTTCAGCGCTACCATGTCACCAGTGTACACATGAACAGCTTTGTACACCTTGCCATAAGTGCCGCTTCCCACCACAGACTCGTTGCCTGTCTTTCTGAAGTAGACGCTGTCTGATTGCTTGAACTCGTCGGAAAGCTGCGGTCGAGGCTTTATCCGCTTCTTCCTCACAATCTCCTTGCGTGTTCTGGGAGGCTCAGGCTTAGGCGGTTCGATGCGCGTGTTGCCCACGTAGTTTGAGCTCTTCGGCACATTGTTCTGCACAAGAGGAGATATCGCTGGTGTCTTCTTGGCCACTAGTGGCGAGGTTTCCGTTCGAGGTGCGGCAGGAGCCTTCTCAGCTGCTGCCATGCTCGCACGACCCTTAATCGAAAAGCTGATCTTGTTCTTTTCGCGTTCCGCCTGGGCTGCCTTTTCTTCTGCAGTCCTAGGCACATCGCCCACAGCAGCCACCGTCGAAACTGGCGTTTCGGTCTTGCGCTTCTTTCGTGCATTCTCGTCTTCAGCTCGCAGGTCGGCCGGCGGTCGAAAGGGATTGTCTTCGTCCTCTGGGTCAGGCACAGATGCAACTGACTTCGGTTGAACAGTCGCGCCATCTTTGGTCTTGAGGCCAGGCTCTACCAGATGGCCGCCTTTTACTCCGTCACCTGGTGTCCATGATAGGTTAGCAAAATGTGCTCGTCCACCTCTCATCGCAGGTCCACCACGTTGGGGAGGTCGAGGGAACTGCTCCCGCGGAGGGTAGTTTGGAGAGTTGTCGTATTGCTTGCCTGGCTGGGGTTGGTAGAATGGGACGCCTGGCTGAGAGGCTGGGCCTTGAAATCCATGAGGTGAGTATTGATTGAAGCCAGGTGATCCAGCATGGGGATGAGGACCAGATGATGGATGGCCGTATGGTGACTGACCAGATGGATAACCGCCGTAGCGAGGGTCGTAAGGCGGGCCTCGATTATACATGTCGGAATCTTGACCTGCGTCTTCCTTTCGCGAGCGCCGGCTTTCTTGACTCACGGACCGCCGTCGCTCTGTTGTAGGCTTGTGACGTCGCGAGCTCTCACGGCTCGAAGCCCGGGATGGCTGACCGCGAGGAGAGCGAGTGTGATGGCGAGATCCACGATCGTGGTGTTTGGGAGGTGGTGGCGACCGCTTTGCGCGAGACTCGCTACGGTCCTCGTTCACCTCTCGCCTGGAACTAGCATTCGTTCGTTCGCGGCTTCCTCCAGGTCGATGAGCCTTCACTGGCGGTGGTGAACGCGAGCGTCGACGATCGGAACCGCGACGATGGTATTCCTCTGGTTCTTCCCTTCTTCGATGCCTGTCTGCAGATGACGGTCTCTTTTCTCTGTGAGGGCCACGATCCTTTCCGTCGAGCGATGGTGAGCGACGTCGTCGATGATGTCTTTCGGTGTATTCAGCACTTGACCGCTTGTCCGCCAGACTGTCTCCTTCCCGGGCAGGTCGAGGTGACCTGGCTTCCCGATACACCGTGGAAGTCGGCTGTCTCGATCGAGATGGCGATGCGGCGGCGCTGCGGCTGCGGTGGCGTTTGTGATGGTGATGGTGCGGCCTGGAAGTGGAGGGCGAGCGTGTGCGGCGTCGCTTGTGTGACGTGGGCGATTCGGCTTGACGGCGATGGTGAGCGGTATGGTCAGCACCTCGTTCTTGGCGGCCCGGTGGACGGTCAGGATCTTCGGCAATGTGCCGACGACGAGTGCGCGACTGCGAACGTCTCCTGCTCTCGCTCCTGTGATATCGATGATGGTGGCGATGGCGAGTGGGCGAGGAGGAGCGCTGGCGGTGGTGGGCGTGCTCCGAAGATTGATGGTGCGGAGGCTTGGGGGCTCTGACGCCAGCAGCCTCGCGCTGGTCACCACGTGTTGGCGACCTGGAGACTTGGGCACCCTCTCTGCCTCTGCCTCGACTGCGCGAACGACTCCGTCTGCTGTCCTCGCCCTTGGCCCTCCGCTGATGCTCGGATTTACCCAGCGATGACCCGTCCATACGGCAGAATCAAGGTGCGCATAGCAGCGCAAGGGAAGGTTCGGGGAAGATGATAGGGCGGTGCTGGTGCAGAAGCGGACCGCGAGCGCCAGCAACAACAAAGAACAGGCAGAACGGGGGGGAACAGTGAAGCTGATGAACGAGAAATGTCCTGGCGACGGCTCCGGGCACTGCGATCGCTATCACTCTCAACACTCACCTCGACGCTGCCGCCCACACGCGGCGCCTTCGCCGTACTGCAGCCGCAATTGTAGGCCGAGGGCGTGCTTGGTCAGTGCCCCTCTTTTCCGCTTGGCGCGCTGGTCGACCGACTCTATGGGTGAGCCTTTGTTGGAGTCTGCTCTCACGACTCGAATGGAAGAGGGCCAAATGACTGTACTTCCCATCCACAAGTGAACGGTGAATCGCCTCGTTGCGTTCTCTTGGCTCCATGCTCGGTCGCTCGACGCCGTGCGAAGGAAGCAAAAGCCGACGCCTGCAGGAAAACCAGCCAGCTTTTGCGACAGAGACCACACGCAGACTCTATGGTCTCGATAGTACCCTAGACAGCGCCCGGAAAGCATCTGCTTAGTTCATCATGCTCGTTGCAGCACACTTGACCTTGATCACGTGGAAGCTGCAGCGTGGCCGGCGATTGTGCCCTGCAGGCTTCCTTCGCCTTTCGCTTTCACCGACCAAGGGCTTCAGACTGCAGCACCAACTTCGAGGAGAATGACCACCAAAACCTAAGATTAGTCGAAAGCTCAGCTCGCTGCTGGAAACAGCCACAGGCTCGATGGCAGATCATGCGTTCGAGGCCTTCGAGCGGCCAATCCTCCGCTATGATACCCACTCGAGTGACACAAGATATGGTATTGCTCCGGGCTTCGTACCACGCCGTAGTAGTCGAATCATGCATCGTTCATCTGCGCTGCCGTCTGTGGCAATGTTAAATCATCAGCACCTCCATGCCGTCGAGGCTTGGGTCACACTCGGATGTGCTTTTTGCTTCGTTGTAGGTTGCCCGGATTGTAGTCCTGTGAGATGCCGCTCGGCGCATGCGCGACGTAGGACCGTAATGGCCGAGTTGCTCAAGCAAAACATAGGACAGTCACGAAGATGAATCTATATACGATGAGCACCTGCATACACTGCTGCAGGTACGTCCGTCCAATGCCCGGCGTCTGGGGATTCGTGGGTTGTTAAGATGGGTCGGGGAAGCTGGAAGCTTGTGGACTCCGAAGACCGTGTTCAGGGTCAGATTGGGACATCGTTCCGGTACGACCTGTCGTTGCAGAGGACCCTAATGATGGTAGGAAGCATTGAGAGAGGGCCATGTGCCGACGGAGTTCGAAAACTCCAGCTCAGCCCAAACAAGAGGAGCGATGGAGCGAGGAGTCAGCCGTACAGCTGATCGACGAAACGCGAGGCAGAAAGTGGCGCTCAGGACATGCCGCCGCATGCGAAAAACCGGTCGAACTCATCGTCGCAAGCCTCAGCTTCGCAGTGACTGTAATTTTGTGATGCCGCCGGGTGGTCAGTTTCAGATGTCGATGGCGGAGAGGAGAGAGAGTGATGGAGGTGAGCGCAGGACTGAAGTCGCGCTGGCTGGCTGGGGAGGGGCAGCTCGCTTAGCACCGGCAACGGCTACGGCGGGCGAATGACATAGCCGCGTGCGTCTTTTGGAGCGTTTGGGGCATTGCGTCCGCCGAATTCACTCACCTCGAGCGGCGAAAAAACGAAGACTTCAGCTTGTCCCGGACTCCGACCAGCGGTCCATCTTACTCGCGTCGAGGATATAACCATCGCCATGTGTACCTAGTAGCGGAGGGTCTTTGTGTGATGGACTTCCTATTTTACTACGTCGAAGCATCCTTCTCCAACTACTACCTCTAGTAGTAGACCCTCCTCCGTCCCACCCACCCACACTTCTCACGGACTTTTAATCACGCCAAAGCCAACTTCTGGGATTGGTGTGACCCTGGCTTCCTGCTCCGGCTGCACTTCGTAACTACACCAACCTACTCAGCCACCCCATGGAAGACTCATCCAACGCCCACCACGCCCCGAGGCCCAAACCCATCCCGCCATACCTCGTCAACGGCCACTCTCCTCTCCACCCCATGGCTACTATCGAGAGGGACCACGAAGAACGTAAGAGCGCAATGGCGGCCATCCAGCGCTCCATGGGACCGCGCAAAGAGCCACTCGATCTCGCTGAGCTGGAGAACCCGCTCGCTTTCCGATCCTCCCCGCAAAGCAAGCCGAATGGGTCACCAGAGCAGAAGAGGGATCTGCCTAAGCAGTATGTGGAGGTAGAGGACCAGGATATCGAGGACATTGAAATGCGAATTGCGTCCAGAGACGGCCCCGACGAGGCACCTCCGACGCCGCCAGCTACGAGCCGCTCGATATCGCCTTTCACTTCAAATCCCACCGTAGACTTTGACGGTCTGTCATGGCCGAGCACTGGAACGCTAGACAGACTGCGTGAGCGCGACAGTCCAGAAGAGGCAGAGGCGAGATTAAAGAAGTTGGCGGGAGCTGTGAGAACGATGCTGGAGTGTATTGGAGAAGACCCAGACAGAGAGGGTTTACATGGAACGCCAGAAAGATACGCCAAAGCTATGATGTTCTTCACCAAGGGCTATGAAGAGAACTTGAGGGATATCGTCAACAACGCTGTCTTCCACGAAGATCACGATGAGTTAGTGATTGTCAAGGACATCGAGGTGTACAGCTTGTGCGAGCACCACTTGGTGCCTTTTACTGGAAAGGTGAGGCTAGACGTCTTTCTGAACTGAGGATAATCACTGACTTCATCGCAGATGCACATCGGCTACATTCCATCTCGTCGAGTCATTGGCCTTTCGAAGCTCGCTCGAATCGCCGAGATGTTCAGTAGACGTCTTCAAGTACAGGAGCGACTGACAAAACAAGTTGCACTCGCCCTTTCCGAGGTCTTGAAACCTCAGGGCGTTGCAGTGGTCATGGAGAGCACGCACATGTGCATGGTGATGCGAGGCGTGCAGAAATCCGGTTCCGTGACAACTACCAGCTGCATGCTTGGCGCGATGCGTGCGCGCGCAAAGACCAGGGAAGAGTTCTTGAGCTTGCTGAATCGAAGATAAGCTGTATGATGGTAGGGGATGAAAAGTCGGTCAATTGGTGTCTTGAGGTGTTATGGGGAGCACATGGCGTCAGATGAAAAAAAGGGATCAAGTTGGCGGTTTGATGATTGGGCGGAGAGGTCGTTTCAACAGGCCCGTGGATGATTTTGATGATACCAACGCTCAACTCAGCGTAAGTTTTTGTTTGCTCAAAACCGAATGTGACACTGTCAGACTGCAGTGAACTTGTCAACTCCTGTCTCGACGTGCCGCGTGCGCCCCCTCCGTTGTGCCGGTTCCACCCATCGACGTAGACTGACGTCTATGCAACGGTCGCATGCTAATATCATTGATCGCTGCGGTGGCACTTCAAGCCGATTTGGCTCGATGGAGGGACAGATCGACGAATTCTCACTTCGACATTCACTCGCGTTCACGTGCCTGCCTATTTCGGAAGCCGCGCACGGTCAGCCGACCCTGGCAACCGGTTAGTCAAAACAGAGGTCTGGCCCCACTCTTACTATTGTCCACCTCTTGTCCATGACAACCACCTTCGAATAAGGCGTTATCAAGAAGCACCAACAATTGCTGAAGGCGACAATGGGAATCGGCCGACTTTACTACTTTACTGTGGCCTTTCTTGCTTCGACGTATATCAGGTAAGTCGGCCGACTGTCACCCGAATTTATTTAGCTCAACTGACTGCTAACCTTCAGCTTAACACATTACAAGAACTTCGACGGCAGCTGGCACCGACCCAAAAACCAAGCCAAGAAGGCGAGGAAGAAGGCCGAAGCGAAGGCCAAGGAAGAAGCTGCCGCGAAATCAGAGAAGCTCGTCGACGACCTCGAGCGCAGAGCCAGAGCAGAGAGGCACGCCCATAGGAGGCACCGCCGCCGAGATGACACACCCGCCCCAAGAGCCCCTCACCCCGCCGCCGGAAACAGACACCCCCGTCGTGGGTCTCGGGCTTATGATGACGGTGGCGACCGATACGGAGATGGAAGATACGGTGACGAGCGATACAGCGACGGATCAAGTCGCTCCAGCAGCGTCTACGCCAAGAGCCACGGCTACAGCACCAACCCACTATCCAGACGACACAGTTCACACAAGCAGTTTGAGCACCGAGTCAAGCCAAACCCATACAGCGAATACGTCCCCGAGGCAAGTGTAAGACTAAAATAGTTCTGAGGATGGTCTTGACTGACTTATTTCAGGCCCACATCCTTGGAACACCACCACCCCCCGAACCCATGGGACCAGTCCACAGCACCAAGCGCCACTCCTCCTTCCGCAAGCCAGCCGACTTCGCCATGCCAGACCACACCCGACCAGGTCATACCACGCGAGACGGAAGATTCGAGCAGTACAAGCACCTCTACGGCGCTTACGACGATCAGCTTCACGCTCCCTTCGAGGGACCGTGAGCGTCCAACACAACAAGCACCAGATGAACAAGACGTGTCGCAGCTTTCGTCACCGGTGCTGCATCCAGGTGGCAAGCTACATAAGCGGCGGATGGATGTGTCGCCTGAGAAGTTCAACAAGGGACACTTCGAGCCGCTCAAGGTCCGTACCGATATCCCGCTGCCGGTCAATGAGCCTCCTGTCAAGCGCACGCGGACAGGGAATGCGGAAAAGAAGATTGAGATTTACTATGATTCTGTTGGCACGCCGAAGATCAAGGAGACGCCGGATAGTATCGAGGCCGGCTTCACTCCGAAGACTGCTGCATTTCCTCCCAATGTGATGAATGCTACTCCACTTCCGGCTCCCAAAACTGCAGACCCGGGGAAGGGGAAGGGGCACATCCATGCTGCGATGAGGTTGCTTTCAGGACTGACGCCAGAAAAGAGAGCCAAAGCCATGGAGTTCGTCAGAAAACAGAAGAAGTTCAGCTTGCTGGATTCCTTCGTCAGAGACGACGCTCTCTGCATGATCCTCGTCAGCTACCTGCCCATGCCCGCATTAATTGACCTCTACGCAATCTCCAAATGGTTTCATTACAAGTTCAACAAAGAAGCGACGGCTTTCATCCTGGCGAGCATGCGGACGTGGGCGCCAAAGGCTGATCAGATCTTTCCGTGGAGATGCTACAAGCAATTGTGTATCAAGGATCCTGAGAAGAAGCAGAAGGCGAGCGCTGTCAAGCAACGTGGTGGTCCTGATGTCGAGGCGGATTATAATCAGATTGCTCAGGGCTCGAGAGATGTGCCCAGCTTGAGATGGTTGCAGATGGTGGTGTATCGCAATCTCATCTGCAAGGACATGATCATCTCGCTGGGAGCTCGAGGATTGAGAGTGAGTCCAGCTATTATGGATCCTCTCCAGGTAAGTACTTCACTCCCAAGCTATTCAGAATCTGCTAACATCCCTTCAGCGCATGTGGTTCATCCTCGACCTCCCCCTCAACGCCCACCGCATCGCCCTCATGCACAGCGAAACCTACATGACAACCGAAGCCCTCAAAATCGCCACCCAATTCTTCCTCAAAATCGACATGGCCCTCACAGACCCCGGCCACACCCTCGAACCCTTCAACCCCATCAACCCCGCCCAACACTGGATCGCCTACGTCGGCAGCTCCCTCCGCCAACTCCTCATCTCCGAGACATCCTTCACGCCGCTCTGGCGCGTCCTGAAAAACTGGTCGCCCATCCAAGACGTCGAGCGCGACGAGGAACCGCACGCCTGGCCCCTCCCCCTCGAAGAAGCCGACATGTACGAACTCTACTGGCGCCACAAAGGCCGCGTGCCGCGCGACATCCCGCCGGAATCCGCCCTCTCGCACGTCCTAGGCGGCTCCCTGTCTCCACAACCCATCGCCGGCTACGAACGCCTCTACAGCCCCGAAGACGACAAGACCCTCACCCCACCACAAATCTCCAAACTCATCACAACGTACGGTCCCAAGGAACTCCGCCCCCCGCCGCAGCGCCTCCTGACGCCGGTGGATCTCATCATGAAGGAGGCGATTCGGAGGAAGCTAAAACAGCATGAGTGGTGGGTTGAGATGATGCTGGATGGGTTTGAGGAGGTTAAAGGGAAGGGGAAGGGGTTTCCGTGGAATGAGCGGGGGTTTTATGAGTTGGCGGGGAGGGATTTTAGTCCGGCTGTTAGGGGGAGGTTGGAGAGGTTGAGGAGGGAGGAGGCGGAGAAGAAGAGGAAGGTTGAGGAGGAGCGGGTGGGTGGTGGGGATGGCGATGGGGAGGTTGGGTGTGATAAGGATGGTGGGGAGAAGGGCGATGAGAGGGGTGATGAGAAGAAGGTCGATGAGAATAAGGGCGATGAGAAAGGCGATGGCGAGTTTAGTATTGACCCATCTGACTTAGATTGAGACAGAGAATTCAAATAACAGTCTTTGATGATTGAGCAATGCTTCCGCCATAATAGCACTCAACAATGGAGCTAGTATTTGCTTAAAGGGAGCAACGAGCCCAGTCCCCCATGCACAACATCTTCGAGCAATGCACCAACCGAAACACCCACAGTCCCAGCACCAATCTCCAGCTTATGACCTCCCATCTAAAGCCTCTTCCTCTTCGGCGTCGTCTTCACCCCCGTCGTCTTACCACCCACACTCTTCGCAACCTCATCTTTCAAACAACTCTCCCCCTTCCCCACATGCTCATCGTGCTCATGATAAACACACCTCCCCACATCCACCGGATTCTCCCTCGCCACATCCCTCTCCGTCGAAGCCCTCGCCCACCCAAACAGCAGCACCTCCAAATACGCCTCCGGCAAACTCCCCTTACGCTCCATCAACCACTCAACCGGAATCCCGGAGAGCGCATCATCGACAAGAAAAACCTGCAAAGCGTACTCGTCTCCGGCAGGGCGCTGAACGCCAGCATGATGGTCGTATCACCCGGCCGCCACCCCGTCTCCGCCGCGAGGCCGAGGACGCTGTCCATGCACGCGTTCCGCAGGACCTTGTCGTCCAGCTGATCCGCGAGCACGAAGATGTGCGTGAGGATGTGGAAGCGCTGCGTGCACGCCTCGTTGCTCGCGTCGACGGGGAGTTTTTCTAGGACGAGGTCTAGGTCGCCGAGGTGGCACCAGTTGATGTAGTGGTTGAAGATTGTGAGGTCGACGCCCGGGAGGGTGAGGGCGTTGGTTTGGGTTGCACGCCAGGGTTCGGAGAGGGCTTTGAGGAAGAATTTGGAGTTCGTGGTCAGGATGCTGGGGTAGAGCCAGATGAGGGTGGTTTCTGGGCCGATCTTGAGGGGGACGAGGTGTTGGGTGTGGTAGTCGCTGCGGGAATTGTTAGTGTTTTGTTGCTGTGAAGATGTTTGTATACGTACTGGGTTCGTTTGCGCGCCATTGGGGCCGCCATTTTTGCCTCTCTTCTGATTCAGTACAGTGGTGTTGTGATTGAGGACGAAGAGGAAGAAGGATAGAGGATGAGGTAGAAGCACATGTGAATCGTGGGTGAAGTGAAGTGAAACGAGATTGGGTTCATGTGAAGTGAGGTTAGTCATTGAGTGAATGAAAAGCTCACATGGCACACCGTGTAGGAACAGCGCTAACGGGCTCTCATATGAAGAGGACGAAACTGACTTGTTGAACTGTAGTTCCATTTCCCAAAGCTGCATATGAATCATTTCCTGGACAGCAGTAAGCAAATTTCGAAACATCAAAAGCAGACACAGCAAAACCACAAACGCATCAAGAACGCTCTCCCACAGTCATTGGCGCTACAAAACGGGGCGAACCCATTATTGCATGATAGCCGAGACTCGCTCGCTGAGGTCGTCGATTTCAGCAGAAGCGAGCTCGTCATCGAGCTCATAGTAGTGACTCCAGTTCGACCACAGCAGTGGATTGCGAACCCGACTCTTGTCCCAATTCGCCTTCGCCATGGTGATTCCCAACTCCGCGTAGAATGCGTCTGGGATATCCTGCCTCCAGCGCTCCAACCATTGGCCGGTCGAATTGAAGGCGAACCAGTCTACCACCGCTTGGCGTAGCTTGCAGCCGTTCGGCGTCGAGGACCAGAGCAGCTTGATGCTTTCGAGAGTTGGGCTTTTGTTGGACTGCTCCAAAGTTTCCAGAAAGGTGTTGACAGTAGCATTTTTCAGATCAAGGTTGTCGACGTGGATTGCCATTGCGTAAAGTCGCACCAAAGAACTGAGTCGGGGTGACATGTTATTGTCATCGGCCAGGATCGTTGCGACGACGACTTTGCCGCTGTAAGCCCACTGTAGATAGCATTGGAAGGTTTCTCGGTCAACCTCTGGCAGCCAAATTGTCTGCTCGTTGGATTGTTGGAGAGCGTGGGCGCAGGCATTTTGGAAGAAGGAACAGCGATGCATGAGGACGTCTTTGTGCACCATGAAACGGTTCTCTGCAGTCCCGACATTGACGGTGACCTGGTCGGTGTAGTCGAATCTTGATTGGAGTCAGTTCTGTGGCCCCCTAATTGCATGGAATGGCTCACTTTTTTGGGCGTTGATTCACTGTGGGTGGACGAACCGATGTTCTGACCAATGCGTTTGACATGGCAGCCTTGTGGACGGATTCGAGTGATCAAACGAGGGCAGATGGTCCAAGACTAGGGATCTTAGCAAATGAAAAGGTATGTGCTTTCCAGGAGACGATGACCAGATTGTCCCGACTGTTGGTAGTGCGAAAGGCCGCTATTTGTTTGGCGCAAGATGTTAGAACAAGTACAACGCTTTCAGAGAGTGTCGTGCTGACTTTTGAATGCAATCGGCGTTGGAGATACGCGCCGCATGCCAGCATCTAGGGAAGACCCAGAATGAAGCACTAGTGTCTTTGAGTGGCACAGGATGCCATATATCGAGAGGCCGCCCAAGGCTGCGCATACGTGCGTGGACAGTCCTCAGTAGGCGCCGCGTGTCACCCCGGTCCAGTCAATTTGGTCCACAGCCCTGATGCAAGTGATGTTGGATTGCAAGAAGTCCGAAGGATGATAGGTAGATAGAAAACCACGTGGGCGATGCGGCGGAGTCGATGCATAGGAACATTGCATATTGCTGTTTGACTGTGGCTTTTCTCTCACATCGAATCATTTCTGGGCCCGTTGTTTGAACGAATGCTCTATTAGAGAGTAAGGGTGGACACATGCCTTGCCACATATAGTACCTTTGGAGGGAGGAATGCGGCATCTACCGTCTGCAGCCTGGTGCTGCCTGAGGTTTGCCTGCTTTGCTGAATCCATCCCTTGGCTGACCGGCGCTACTTGAGACTGCACTATCCGTAAGCTCTTTTCGCGGCTTCAAAAACATCCTACAGAATGTCAGTGTCATCAGAGGACTGCCACTTTTGGAGACTGCCGCTGGAGGTGCGCTTTCTGGTCTACAACCTCGTCTACGGCCCTGGCAAGACAATCTCTCTATCGCTAAGTTCCTTCATGATGGAACTTGACAGTCGAGCTAAGCCAAGGGTCGTGTTAAGACGGGACAAAAGCGTACGTTGCTGAGGTGTCCCAACTCTGATCTAGAACTGACACAACACAGTCACCAAGCGCTGTCGAACGGAGACTTGTGAACAGCCAGTATCTTTCAGAGACGATGCAACACCTTGCGGAGCACAGCAAATTTCGACTCTGGCGCGACTTCCATCGCTTTTGCTTGCTCTCGCCCGGCTTCTTGGAACACATCCGGCTCCTTCAACTCGACTGGAACGAGTATGACTCGCCCGCGAAGTTGGACCTCAGCAATATCTGCCCAAGACTGCGACAGCTCCAGATAATCGTCGACTCACGAGGTCTGTCGCTGTGGAACCTGTTAGATCGGCCGTGTAAAAACATGATTCGCAGGATGCCGCTCGTGGTTGCGCTCTCGGGTACCTGTGGCCTCCAGGAATTCGGACTACATGATGAGGCCGAATATGTCAACAGATATGGGTTCGTTTCCTCTGTCATTGATGATGAGAGACGGCTTCGCGTTGCAATGTTAGAAGAAGTGATTAGACAAGTGGTGACTCGGCCAAAGGGAGGACAGGAGGAGCCGGCATAATGATAGCGAGCCGCAAGCAGAGGCAGGCTGCACGAGAGTCGATCAGGGGATGTATGAGGAGCCCAACAGATCTCACTCCTTGGGGACAGCAGTGTTTTGACTTTTGTTTGGCTTGAATGCCGGTGCATTATCTCGACGTTGTATTGATGTGAGAGATTCTCCATCGCGAGACATGGCACTCCAGTGGCATGCCATGGTATAAGAAAAGTCTTGCACGTGAAATAAGTTGCATGAGTGTTCATGTGAAGGAGAAGAAAGAAAGCCACGTGAAAGTCGGCCTTATCGGACGTTGGCTAGCGCCTGGCCCGTGCTTCGGCTAAGATCCATCCCCTCGCCCCGCCATGAGCCAACCAGCTCAGCTCCACCGCTGCTCGTGAAACACGACTCAAGACAACGACCTCCATCGATATCGACAGGATGGGCGCCAACGGTAGAGACGACGACGGCCGGGACGAGTCCTGGCCATGGAACGATAAGTGGCTGAAGAGCATCAAGGACGAGCACGACAAGTTCTTTACCGATCTCAAGAACGAGGGCCGGCGCCTAGAGAAGGAGCTTCGCAACGACGATAACACGGCCTCGAGTCCATTTAGCGCGTTCAAGAGATTTGTCGACTCGAATTTCCATGCTCTCACGGACGGATTCAAGAACTTTCCTACCAACGTCGCCGACCTCCGGGCCAAGATGCAGCGCGAGCAGGAACGCTCACGAGAAGAGGAGCTGGAGATCTCTCGTGGATGGACGGGCAGCGATGATACACCCGATCATATTCAGCTCGAGCTGTTGAGAAGCACCGAACAAGAGCGGCGTGATGCCTTCAATGCAACAACTACAATACTGGCCGAAGCCCAACGGCGGAACGCGCATGTTCCTAGAGCAAAGATTAAAGCTTTGTTCAACGATCCAGAGAGCATGCTCGGGTATTTGGACCGACTGGCAAGTCCTATGCTGGCGTTGGGCGGTGCTTGGTACTACATGCCAGAGACTGGTGACAAGCTACCGACTGCCGATAGCTGGCGATGGCTCGCTCCTCAGCCACGCTGGTTGTCGGTTGACTGGTTCAAGCGTAGCCCATACTCGCCGATCCGACTGGAGGCATATCCCGACCTAGGCTTAGAAGGTGCAAAGTGGAGGGCCGCTTTTGAGGATCTCATGGATGCTACACTCGACAAGCCAATGGAATCGAGGGAACGCGTTGGTATGAGAGCGCTTCATGGGAAGCCTCAGTCCACATATTATGGTCCCGGTCTCGAGTGGTTACTAAGCCTTCAGTGCCGTGGCATCCTTCCCCCGCTCCTTCCTCGCGCGTACAACGAGGCCGAGTCCAAGAACATACTCCAGTCCTCCAGAAACGGGTCAATCGTCGAGACGATAAGACAACACAAGCAGGATCTGGCGTTGAATCCCGAACAAGCCAGAGGTTGGCACACCGCACTCTACAAAGACTTCTCCGACTTAATGTCTGAGGTGGCGACAAAGGCTACCTCAGATATCGAAGCTGAGCCAATCGAGGAAATCATGCCGTACAGAATTCAACCAGCAACTGAGCAAGATCTTTATGACTCGCCTTACATTCGGTCGTCGAATGCGCTATCGAACGATTCCCAGTTGACGCCATTTCAAAAGAACGCCCTCGAGGAAGAGAGTAGGAGGCTTGATCAGCAAAGTCAAAAGTGGAATGCTTTAGTCCAAGCACTGAACGAGTTTGACATTGACACCGCAGCAGACATGCTTGACGAGTGGTACAGGGTCCATGGTGATGTCGAAGGACTACTGCAACAAGAGGATGGACGACTCCGAGTCTTGGACGCCGCGATCATGAAGAGCAAACTTCCAGATGATGACCTGCATAAACAAGAAGTTGTCCGACGCCTCTTCGACTTCAACGATTTCGACGACGACACAATCGAGAAAATGGAGCGCAGGTTAGGTTTAATCAAACGTTTCAATGAAGTCAACCAAAAGGATGCACAGTTCCCTGGAGTACCCGACGAAGACTTGCTAGACACCGTGGAGAGACTGGAGCAAGAGCGCGAGAATCTTGATAGGATGGTCGGCGAAAGAGTCGAAGAGAAGCCGGTGGCCCAGCAGAAGCCCGAAGTCCTGTCTGCCCTGACCACTACGGAGACCACACGATTGCCAGACGGCACAATCACCACGAAGATCGTCTTGAAGAAGCGCTTCGCTGATGGCAGGGAGGAGACTAGCGAGAGCGTACACACGGCGAAGGAGCATCTCGAGCAATACCAACAAGATGCAGAAGACAAGACCAAGAAGAAGGGCTGGTTCTGGTCATAAGCTGTACGGGGAGAACGTGTTGGAAATGGATTTGCATGAAAGACTGAATTGACTTTACGATCAACGAGACATCTTCTCATTTGTATGATACCACTAGAGCGCGGCGCCGCATATCACAGCTCATATAGCTTCGATTGAGATACCTTTACTAGACTGATTGAGCATCGTCTCCTTGCTCCCCTTACCTGCCTCCTGCGTTAATGCTATGGTTAGTCAGCGTATGAGGGCTGAAAGCTGCATCTCGCGGGATTCCTCCTCCTGACTTCGTGACCTTCAACTCCAACTCGCTATCACATCTGAATCTCGGCAATCGCCACTCCACACCTGGCTCTCATGGAGAATGATGCTCTGCAGCACGCGCTGCCGTTCGAGGCCGTTGAGGAGCTCGCAGATGTGAACACGTTCTCCTCTTCGACATATGGCAACCCACTACTCAAACCAGAATTGCGAAACACCAAAATGTCCACAATCAGCATGGCCCCAGAATGCAGGCAAAATATCACAGATCAATGCGAACGCTTCGGACGTTACTCCTCAATACTCGGCAATACATATCGGTCATCCTTGCCAATACAAAGCGCGAAAGCTGTCCAGCAAACCGTGGCTGAGATTGATCGAATCATGCTGGATGCCGAGATTGCCATACAGGAGAGGATGTCTCGACTACGACGCGAAGTTGATGAGTTTGAGAGAAATGTGTCCGAAAACTCGGATGGGGGCTGGTATCGCAATGTAGCAGATTTGACAGGTAAGCCATAGGTTGATATTGGGGCGAATGGGAAGGTCTATATCTGATGATTGAAGCATATGATTATTCCAACTTCCATAAGCTTATATCGACCATGCGGATTCGCGATTTCGATGACTTTGCCAACTATCTCAAGGAGACATTGCCCGCAGCGGCGAATGAAGCGAGACCGGTCCACGAGTATTCTCACCACCACTTTACGGGCAAGATCAGAAATCTCCTTGACATCGCGTTGAGATCTGCCAGCCATTCTACAGCCTTTTCGCTCCTCGCCACTGTCAAGGCCAAAGTGTTCGTTCTCAATCGAGGTAGGGTTCCTCCCCGTCACCTTGAACGCCTGGTGGCAGACATCGATGCCCGATTGCTCCAAATGCTGGACGTGCATTCGAACATAGACGGCAAAGACGAGTACTGGGACTTTGCATCTTCTTGGAGACTTCTCGTGACCTCGTGGGAAGACATGGCGTCTGACGCTGGTCCTTTGCTGCGGGTGCTGGATCCTATTCGAAAGAAGGCTGAAAAAGAAATTCAATACCGCTCTTCGCTTGCCGTGAACAGGAGACTACCTCAGGAATTGGCTGATCTGATTTTCGAATGGGCCATGGTGGTGGAAGAAGTCCCTCTCGAGGCTTGAGACACTCAGATGCACACGTGTCCGGCCTCGACATCTACCCAAGAATCTTTCGTGTCTTACACAATGCTTAATGCGAATCAAGCATTGGCTTGTTCCCCGAAGGACACGCCATCTCGTGGCACCAAAGACTTAGCTGAAATTAAGCTGGGAGCCGTGACGTTTACGATTGAACAGACGCAGAAGTGTCGAGACCAGTGTGGATTTCTGTTCGGACCGGCATTTCCAGCAGCTACCACTCTGAAACAGAGGAAGGCTTCACATAGATGAAAGCCGAACGAGAGCCGGATCCCGACCCTTGTCTACGCCTATAGCAGACCGGCTACTGCTCGGCTAATCGGACGCTTTACTCTACGCGACGTACCACAGCCTCTTACTCTCAGACAGTGATGCCGCAAAGCTGGTGCGATCGTAAAGAATGGCACTTGCGGTGGGGATGCCAATCAGACGGGCCTGGAAAAGACATGCTATAAGAATGGGATGCGGCGACACTGAGTACAGGTTCGACTCCAAGACCAACCACAGTTCCATTCAAGCCAGTCATTACCTTCAAAGCATTCAACCGGACAATGTTGTTCCGTTCTTTCATCGGCCTTGCGCTCACGCTGGCGTGTGCGAATGCCACCTTGGATCCAGCCACCTCCAACACCAAAGGCAAATGCCCAAAGACGCTGAACTGGTGAGTTCTTCCGATTTCCTCTTCTTTGAAGGAGCAAGCTGACTCTCGTATCACAGCTCTGCTTCAAAGACCTCGGATGACATCCAAGCCGCTGAGTGTGCTTACAACACCCGAACCCACGAGACGCAGACTTTTGCGGTCTTCGAGACGGATCATTCCCACGACGACAGCCACGGGTAAGGACACCAATCAAGCCTCGCTTCCACGATATGGGCCATCCTTACTGATTGTGTAAAGTGCTCCGTACGGAACCTGCTCTGCCTACACTTGCGAGGTTCCCACCAGCTCAGACCTGGAGTCTGATAGCGACTGCTGGACTTTCTTCTGGGACGACTCCGGAGCGGCCTCTGGCGTGGGCACGGGATGCATCAAGTCTCCTGACGATGGAACTTGTGGTTGTGAGAACAGCGATGGCGAGTTCATCTACGGGGGTGACGACTGCTCTTAAGCTTGCTCGCTCGTGTTGCGGGCGGGAGGTCTAAAGAAAAGTCACATTGCTGCTGGGAAGAATGCAAAAGTTCAAAATGTCAAGTCAATTTCAGGAGTACCTTCGTTCGCGAACTCATCTCAACCATTCATCTCTCTGTCTAATGCCTCCAATCGGAAATGTGACCATCAATCGCCGTCTGTATCTGAGCGAACCACCAGCGTTCTCGGGCGAAGCATGTCTTCTCGTCCGTAGTCTCAAAGACTATGCCAGCAACGATATCGGCCAGTTACGACGACTGTGAAATCACCTGAGTGATCACTCATCAACCTTGCACGTGACACAATACATTCACTCACATGGATCAGTAATCGGCTTTCTCGGCCGTCGCCTTTTGTATACACAACGCCAGAACCAGCTATGATCCCCTAAAAGTTGTCTTGTACTGTGGCGATAGACCAGCTACTCAGGCCTCGCCGCTGCAAGCTGATTATACATCGTTGTAACCCTCAGCCTCGCGGCCAGCTATGACGATAGGGGTCTAGGGGAAGGGGTATATCAATCGAGAAGGATCTCACTTATTCCAATAGCACACACAACAACCAATCCAACGACAAACAAATACATAACAAGAAAATGGCCCCCAAAGTCTTCGTCGTCGGCGGCACCGGCGCCCAAGGCATCCCCGTTATCCAAGGCCTCGTTTCCGACGGCGCCTACACAACCCGCGTCCTCACCCGGGACCTCAACTCCTCCCGCGCACGAAGCCTCCTCGATCTCGGCAACGTCGAGCTCGTCCAAGGCACCTTCGCTAATGAGGACGACCTCCGCAAGGGCTTCCGCGGATGCGAGTACGCGTTCGTGAACATCGATGGCTTCAACTCCGGCGAGAAGACGGAGATGTTCTGGGCGATGAGGGCGTATGAGTTGGCGATTGAGGAGGGGGTGAGGTTTTTTGTGTATGGGAATTTGGATTATGGATATAAGAAGTGAGTCGTTGTCCATGTCTTTGTTTCTGGTTGTGTGAAGTTTTGGGCTGACGGTGTTGGTTTGATCAGGGGTGGGTACGATCCTAAGTTCCGCACGGGGCATTATGATGGGAAAGGTAGGATTGCGGAGTGGATCTTGCAGCAGACGAAGGATAATGGCAAGAAGATGGGTGCTGCTATCTTCACGACGGGGCCGTATATCCAGATGACGCTGGGTAAATCGACGCCGATGAGCCCGGTTGTTGAGGATGGTGTCGTGGTTTGGAGAGTACCTCTGGGCCAGGTAAGTGACAATACCCTCGTTTCGCAAAGTGGGTAACGAAACTGTTGCTGACATTTCAATCAGGGCGCCGTGCCGCACGTCTCCCTCGAAGACTGCGCCCACTACGTCCGCTGGCTCTTCGACCACCAATCCGAAGCCAACGGCATGGACCTCGAAGTCGCCATCGAACACGTCGACTACCACGAGCTCGCCAAAGCCTTCACCGCCGTAACCGGCAAACCCGCCAAGTACGTCGACACCGACCTCGACTCGTACTGGAAGACCGGCCCCTTATCCGCTGGAGCCTCCCGACCTGCTGGGTACAACGCCGATGTGAATGATCTCGCGACGCTGAGCATGCGGGAGAATTTCACGGGGTTCTGGAATCTGTGGAAGTTCTCGGGTGGGAACCAGGGGGTTGTTAGGCGGGATTATGCGTTGTTGGATAGGATCCATCCGAAGCGGATTAAGTCTGCGGAGGAGTGGTTTCGGCTGGAGGATGAGCGTGGACGGAAGGCTGGGCTTGGAGGCTTGTATGAGCGTGCGGCGGATCTGAAGCCGGTGTTGAAGATCGCGGAGGATGGGAGGAAGGGGAAGATTTGAGGTCTTGTAACGCTTTGTTGTAATTGAGTCGCAGTACGGTGATTCGCTCGAGGGTATTCGTTCGAATCGAGGCTCGCGGGATCGTCGTCTCATGCATTCCTCTGTCCGTGCTCTTCTCCATTCATCCTCGTCTCGCGAAGACACCCTTCTCAAGCCCCTTTCGCCTTCGCACCCGCTTCTCCATACTCCACCATCTTCACAACGCCCCAAATAGCACCCGCAACCACGCAAACCGCCGCCTCGATGCCCAAGATCAATGCACATACCTCATACGCCACAGGCGCAAGTGTGACCAGTCCCTCCCTCGTCCGCACAACCAGCACGAAGATGACGAGCACATGACAGAGAGTCACCATCCTCGCATACTCCAGTGCAACCTTCTTGTCCTGCTCGGGGCTCTGCTGTGCGGAGCTGGCCTTCTGACCCGAGTACACCTTCATCAAAGGGCCCTTGGATTGCAGCAGGAGATAGGTCACCGCTGCCGTGGAGAGGAAGACAGCAATAGCAGTCGTAAGAAACATGATGGTCGAGCCGAAAGCCGGGGCGCCGACATGTTGAATGGCATCGTTGAACGAGCCGATGTGGATCGAGGGTTGAGTCGCCATGGGAGGATCTATCGCGAAACGTGTGACTGTCGCCGTCGCGGTTTCGGTCTTGGTCCGCATCGTGAAGAACTGATCTGCACGCTCTCGTGATGTGGCGTTTTTGGCGGCAAACTTCCTGCAGATGGGGTGTCTCGTTAGTACCCCTGCAATGTGGGATGGTGCCCTGTCGCTTACGCCTTGAGTGCAGAATTTGCTTGGTGCGAAGAAGGTTGGAATCGTCGAGGTTCGCAGAGTGTTGGCGGTTGAACGGTGCGGTTGAATGGAAATGAATCTGGAACGCCAAGCTTCACTTCTCGCAGGTGAGAGTGAAAGTCATTCACTTACATTCCAGGTCGTGTGACACAGGGCTTGGCGAATCTTGGAGGGGTTCCCGCTGTGCTCGGATGATCCTCGCTTGTTTCCCAGTTGGCAAGCAAACAGTACTGAGATTCCATATGTGGATGACTGTGAGTTGATGCTCAGTATGCAAAGCCCTCTTCAAGCCCCTGAATGGGAACGCTGGAAATGGCGGTAGCATGTCGTCAAGATCTGGGACCATGCGAGCTTTGCTGAGTATAATACATCGATATTGATACGGTCGTCATCCTTCTCTATGCCACCGCTTCGTCTTTCACGGCTAAGTCCTTTGACGGCGGGCTGTTTGGTCCTCTTATCTCTCCACTCAAGCTAAAGCCTGGGCCATTGGTGCTGCTCAGGACCACCTCATGTATGTCCTTTGGCGTTCGATCGGCAACACCTGCTATGTCTTTCTTAATGCTGTCGATAGCCGTTCGAATGTTCTTCTGCATCTCCTCAGGCGTAAACGCCAATTGACCAATGCCCAGTCGCACGACTCCAGCCCGCTCTCTGTACTCTGATGCGCCGACCATGTCTCTCACTGAAGTGGCGACATCTTTGACAACCGTCCCCGTCTTCGCGGATGGCATCAACCCTCGTGGACCAAGTATTCTGGCAATACCTGACTTCGCGAGCTTCGGCAGGCTGTCCTGATGGCATATACATCGATCAAATTCAATCTTGCCCTCCTTCACCAGATCAAACACCTCCTCTTCCCCAACCAACACCGCACCTGCGTCTCGCGCCGCCTGTGCTTGCTTGCTATCCGAAGGGCAGATTACACAAATTCGAAGGTCGGTCTTGACGGGATGGGGTAATCGCAGTCGGTTTCGGACGACTGCGCCGTTCTTGGGAGTCTTGAGCTTCACGTGTAGCTCGTACTTTGCTGATGCGGGTGGGCGACCAACTTCTGCGGCTTTAAGATACCTAATGCAAATGAGCAATTGATGTTCGTCACCCATTCGTGATCTATGAGTTCACATACCGCATCGCGTCTAGCAAAGAGAATTGCAATGCATTTTTGAGATCTGCAGTATAGTATGTCGTCCGCCCCTTCTTTCGTCGCTGATTTGCAGGCTGGTCCTTGCCTTTACGTTTGTATTTCGCGGCATTGGCGGATTGGACTGCGGTGCGGATTTGATGAAAAGGGAGGAGGAAGGACGGCGTTTGGATTGGGTTGATTCGCGTCTGCGGTATCGATCTGGAGACTGCTGAAAGACACGACGGACAGTAGCGAGAGGCGGCCATTGCTGCGGTGTGCGGCGGATGAGAGTTGGTGGTTGGTGTTGTCTTCGTCCAGTCTGGGTGTCGTTGCGGAAGTTCGGGGGAGCCAAGATAAATGTTGGCCTGAGGCACATATGTACGACTTCACTCTGCTGCTGAATGCGGTGCTCTATGCAAGACAACCAAACACCCTCGTTCAGGTTATGAGTATTCCACGCTCAAAATGAGTAAATTCGAATTACCTTCGTCTTCAATCTCGCCTACCTCAACGCCCGCCAACGCGTACTCGACCTACTCCTCAGATGATGATGAAGACACGCTGCCATATCCAGGCGAACTTCCACGCAATGACTTCGTAGCTCCAGACTTCGACCCACAAACGTACCTCTCTACGCTACGGAATCGCCATCAAACTCTTGAAGATCTCAGATCCGACCTTCGCCAAAGAAGCCAACTTCTGAATAAGGAATTGCTGGACCTGGTCAATGGAAACTACGAGGAGTTCTTAAGTCTAGGAAGCGATTTGAAAGGCGGCGAGGAGAAGGTGGAAGAGGTCAGAGTGGGGTTGCTTGGGTTTCAAAGAGACGTAGAAGGCATCAAAAGGGGGGTGCGAGAAAGAGCGGATGAGGTGGGAGGCTTGGTCAAGGAACGGAAAGCGATCAGAAGAGACGTTGCAGTGGGGAGATCTCTACTGGAAGTACATGAACAGATCGGGGAGCTCGAGCAGCGCCTTGGAATCACATCCAGAGCAGAGGAAGACCTCGATGACGATGACGAAGAAGACGAAGACACAGATGATCCGGCAGCTGGTGCAAGCACTCCATCGATACCTCTCAAGAAGCTGAAACGTCACGCGACTCAATACATACTGATTACGAGACTGATGGATCGCATTGGACCAAGTCATCCTTTTCTGGTATCTCAAGGCTCGAGGCTCGAGAAGATAGGGAGCACGCTGTTACTCGACCTGTCTGCAGCGCTGAAGCAGGCAAAGGCGGCGAAAGCGCCTGATGCTATACTGGCGATCGTGAAGATCTACGCTGACATTGGTGCCGAAGAAGAGGGTGTCAAAGTGCTGAAGGGTGGCTGAAGTCTTTGCCTCACCAGGAATCAATTCAAGCGACCACCTCGAGATTGGACTAGCACTACGACACTCCGGCGGCCTTGATGCAAATCTTGCCCCAGTGCTTCGCATCCAGCATATACTGATACGCCTCCCGCGCCTCCTCGAAGCCGAATACACGCTTGTCGATCACCGGCTTGATATCATACTTGTCAATGAACTCATTCATGGCAACGAACTGGTCTCTGGAGCCGACACTGATGCCGCGGACGAGACATATCGCTTTCAGACAGTCCTCATAACTTGTCTTTTGCTCGCCCGGCTTGCCGCCTAAGAAGCCAATCAGGGAGATTACACCTTCGTACCGGATGGCTTTGAGTGATTGCGCCATGGTCGTCTCTCCGCCGACTTCGATGATATGGTGTACACCTTCGGAGTTCGGAGTCAAGCTGCGGGCGGTCTCACCCCAGTTTGCATCTTCTCTGTAGTTGATGATGTGGTGGACTCCGAAATTCTTGAGCTCAGCGGCCTTCTCGTTCGTGGACGTCGTGGCGATGACTTTGGCACCCATCGCGAGAGCAATCTGTGCGGCAAAAAGGCTGACCCCACCAGTCCCTTGAACAAGAACATAGTTGCCCTCCTGGATAGTCCTCCCAGCAACCCCCGTCAGCGCATTCCAAGCCGTGACCGCCGCACAAGGCAACGTCGAAGCCTCCAACATCGAAAACCTCTTTGGCGCAGGAACCAGCCCCGTCTCCGGAAACACTGCATACCGCCTCAGAACCCCATCATTCTGACTCCCCAGACTCGTCTTCCTAATCGCCGGTGTCATGAACCCCGAGAGATGTCCCTGATTGAACAATGTGCATACTGCGTCGCCCACGCTGTGCAGTTTCACTTTGGACCCTGTGGCTATGACTTTCCCGGCGCCGTCGGAGCAGGGGACTACGTTGTCCTTGTGCGCCATGGGGTAGCGGCCTGTGGGAATGGCGACATCGCGGTAGTTCAGGGAGATGGCTTCGATTTCTATGAGACAGTCTGTTTCCGAGAGGGATGGCAGCGGGACCGAGGAGTCGAGGTGGAGGCTTTCGAGGCCGTTGGCCGGCGAGATAGTCCATTGAGGTGTGGTTTTTGGTTGTGCCATATCGAAAGACGTGGTTCTGAGCAGGCTGGTTAGACAATACTCGCCTCAAGGCGCTGCATTGTGGCTCTTGAGAATATTAAGTATCGTTGCTCGAACTCGCAAGTCCGTATTCTCGGCTTTCGTCAAACGTCATCTCTCAGCCATTACTTCGTACAGCCAAAGAGGCAGAATAGTGCATAGAACTCAATGGCCATCTCCAAAGATTGGTGTAGGATCGTCGGGCCGACGAAGGAGTGGTGCTTCTACACGGGAATAAGAGAATCACTGGACATAAGATCGTACGTCGTGATAGCTTAGAAGAACAACAGATTCAGTAAGCAATAGAAACCATGCTCTGCGAGTGGGCCAGACTATGTTCGTGGATCATTCATGGAACGTTCTCATGAAAAGGCGGCGGACGCGCCCTCAAACTCTCTTGCTCCTCCACGCTAGCAAAGACGAGGGCAGAGCAGCTTTCTCCCACATCACAACTTGCTCGTCCTCTTCGGCGCAGCCTCATGATCCACCCAAAGTCCAACCAACCCCTCCTTTGCATCCCCAAGCAAAGGATCCCTCTCCGGCTTAGGCGTGGCCCAAACCTCCTTGAAATGCCCATCGTTCTCCTGCCCCTCCGCGAAATCCCAGAGACTCCCCTTGGGATACGCCCCGATCATGCAGAACCCATCTAGTTTGATCTCGCTCAGGGCTTTCTTGGGGTCCTCGGCTTCGATGCCTTTGCCTTTGCCTGGTGTGAGTAAGGCGAATTCCGCTGGGGTGGTGTCGTGGGTTTTGTGCGCGGTTCCGGCGGGGAGGATGAAGACGTCGCCGGCTTTGGCTTGGACTTCGATGCCGCCTTGTTCGCGGCCGGAGCCGTGGGTGCTTTCTTCGAGGTCGTCGGTTGTGTCTGCGACGCCGAAGCGGATTGTCGCCGTGCCTGTTAGCACGGTCATGCATTCGTGGGCGCCGGAGTGGTAGTGGGATTTTTGCGTTGGGCCATATCGGAAGATCCAGTGGGTTGTCCAGCCGTTTTGGGCGAGCTTTTCGTGGATTTGGTCGGGTTTGAGCGCTTCTCCTGATAGAAGGCCTGGGTAGTGGAGGAGTGGGTAAGGGGAGTTGGGGATTAGCGTCGTTGGGGGTAGTTTGTAGCTCTTGACTTGGACCATGTTCGATGACTTTCGTGACTTTCTGTGTCAGGTACTTGGGCCGGAGTCGATGCAGCGTCGTACAGTTGTTTGAATCTGATGTATTATCTTAATACTTCACCTTTCTTCTCGTGGCAACGGGAATGGGTACCGAAGGCGGGGAAGACAGAAGCAGAACCACAAATTTGTAAGCTCCAGTCCACAGATATTTGGACAGCTCGAAGTGTGAGGTCCCATCAGCTCGGCCTGCAAGTCCACAGGTGACTCTCGTGTGGGAATACAGGAATCGGGAGGTGTCCCGACCAGCAAGTACTTGTTGCACGTATCAAACCCGTAACGCTGTACAAGTTGGTCGTGGTGTGCGAATAGCAGGATGAAACTCGCATCAGAGTGACAGCATTGTACTCCGTCTCGAGTGACCGTCTGTCATGTTCGAAGCATACCGTCTTGCCTCGTAGTTGTCGTTCCGATCCTGTTTCGAGCTGCCCAAGCATTGATGGGTTGGTGAATATAGCGCGCATCAACTGTCGTTAGGAAGTGGTTATGCCAGTTTCGAGGGACGTTGGATACGCAAAGGTGTAGTGTAGCACGCTCGTGTCAAGCAAAGGCGGCAAAACTTGACCTGATCAGCTACGTGAAGTCCAAATGAGATTGCTTCGTCGTTCATCCGTGAGATGCGGTCGGCTGCGCTTGGTTGTCACGGATTACTTGAAAGCGGTGTTGGTGTTGAGTCGAGTCTCAGACTGCAAACCATTTCAAACCATCTTGTAGCTTTAAACGGTTCAGCCATCTGTAGGTCCTTGTCGTTCTGCGAGCAGACGCTGTAGACTTGACTCAGCCGCGCTCGATGTCCTTGCCTGGGTCGTTGGCCGCGAAGGCACGGCCGTGATAGTTGTTTCCGAAGAAGTCCTCGTATGCTCAGGATGTGACCAAGCTTCAGCAGCGAGAGCTGTAGTCGTGCCAACGGGGACTGTCCTCCCCATGCTGCCAATCCGCATACGCCGCATTGGCTTGCTTTGCTGGATCGTCTGCTTTCGGAAGCTGAAGATACTGCCTCTCTTCTTGCTTTTGCGACTTCCTTCGCTGCTGCTAGAGCTTGCCTCAGGCACGCTCGTCAATGCTCTTCGCATGCCTCCACTTGGTCGATAGAGATGCGGCCTCACGCTAGACGAAGTCGCTGCGGTGATTTCACCAAGGGGAGGCAGATGGGATGCGTATTCATCGGCAAGGCTCATTCGATTCTTTGCTGCAATCTCGGCAATGCCGTCAATAGCTATTTGGAAGTCTGGACAGTCGGCGGCGCGTAGTATATCGGCAAAGGCGAAAGACGAAATGGCTGGGAGTGCTTGGGCTCGTCCAGTGTTGATCGATCCGGCAGCCGTTGAAGGTCTGCTGTCCGTATAGGCTCTTACGAGCACTGGTTGGGCCATGCTCGCAACATTGTAGAATAGGAGGTGAAGATTAGTTGCTCGTTGACGTGTCAAGCTAGAGCTACGTGGTGGCTGGCGGTAGGGAACTGGTGGGACCGGTCATGAGGGCGAGATCATCCTCGTCTTCGAATGTTTGAACAAGCCTGACGTTGTCCAAGACGTTGAAACAGGATTTTTCGTACTCTTTGCCGAGTGAGTGTAGTTCACATGTGAAAGTGAATGGCGAGGAACAATGCGAAACACGTGATCATGTCACGACTTTTGTTCAGCTTGGCGGTCTTGGCAGCCACTTCAGCTTCAAAGTTCCGCTTCGCCTCTCGACACGACACGACCAAAACAAGACAAGCCAACATTCCTCAGCGGCACATCACCTACCGCCAACATGGCTTCAGAGGAACCTGAGTTCAAGATCAAGGGCGCCGCCAGCAACAAGAGCAGCAGCCCACCCGCTAGTATCTCCGACACCGCCAACGACCAGCGCGACGACGCCAACGTCAAGACCCCGGTCTCGCAAGCCGAGGAGGTGAGTTGCTGCTCTCACGAATGGTCGCGCACCGTTGCCGTCCATGACCTGAGTACAAGCACATTGCGTCAGGCTCAGCAACAGCCTGATCCAGCGTCTCGCCGTCGCCGCGACTCCTACGCTGCCTTGGTGGCACCGACTCGTAAACATCTTTAATCTTTCATCGCTTGCTAACGTGCAGTATGCGCAGGGTAACCCAGCTGCTTCCAAGGGCAAGGTCAAGAAGACTGAGCCAGACGAGCAGGACTTGGTGAGTTGCATGCTCGCCCGATCAACGCGCCGTCGTTGTACTGGGCTTCATACTCTTTTTCTGTCTCCCTTGTTGCACTGACTTCAGCAATCCGTGGACCACAACACTCTGCCATGCCATCGGAACGATAATGCCAACGATACTGCCAATGCCACGTCACACGACATCATGCCAATGCCCATTGCCAATGCCAGTGCCGCCTGCCACTGGATCTGGACCTGGAGCCTTTCCTTTGTCACATACACTTTCATTTGACCCACCCATACTAACAGCACGTCAAGAAGGGCAAGTACCTGATGTACAAATGCACGAGCGTCGACGAGTCCGGGGCGAAGTACTCGTACTTCGTCCACAAGGACACCCAAGTCTCGACGTGGGCCGAGCCCGATGAGCCGTACTGGCTCTTCGACGCCAACACCCAAGATGCAGACGTCGCTGCCGGGCTGCAGGAGCCAGCCAGAGCCAAAGCCAAGGCGAAGGGTAAGTGAGCAATGACGTTCGACTTCATGCAGTACTAACGATGATGCACTACATAGGAATCAAGGTTCCAGACGACTACTATGGGTACATCCCTGCCGTCCACGGAACATACGATGCAAATGCGCATTACGCCAAGTGGCACGAGCAGAAGCGGGCTGAAGAGGCGGCTCAAGCCAGCCAGGCCGACGCGACTAGCCCCGGTGGCACCGCCAGCTACGAGTCGACCATGGCTCTCAACCGCTTCACGGGTCATGCCCAACGTGCTGGTCTTGGACCTGAGCGCCACAGCGACTCCGCCAAAGCAGGCCGGCAGATGAATGCTTTCTTCGACCCAGAGGCCGCAGCCAACGCCCACGACGGTCGTTCCCTCAAGGAGGAACGCAAGAACCAAGTGCCGTCCAAGAGGCAGATCCAGGAGTACAACAGGGCCAACAGGGAGAAGAAAGTGAGGAAGCTGAGAGAGAAGTGGACTTAGTGAATGTGCCCTTCACAGAGTTCAGGATCAAGCATTGTACTGTACGAGATACCCTTGGGCAAGACGGCGTTTAGTGGAATGGACTGCATCAGGGAACGACACAGCATTGTGCAAAGCATCACATGAAGCATTGTGTCGGATGACATGACTCACGGCTGTTGACAGAAGTCGTATTGAAAGCGATTAAACATCAACCTTCAGTCTCTCTGCCTCAATTGTTTCCACCTCCCTCTGAGAGTCACCCTCAGCGCTGTACAACATCTGTACGTGCTCCGCCAATTCAAACGGCGAGCTGCCGGTTTGTTTCGGTACGGGGAAGAATGTGTGCAGTGCCCAGTAGATCAGCAACGCCGAGAAGAAGCCGTAGAAGTAAGTGATCTGGTATATGTGATCCCAGCCGTTGTTGTTGCTGACTTCTTGAATCGACCTCGCGAAGCCCGGGAGCGTCGGCCAGATGCCCATGATCCAAGCGGTGAAGCCACGCCAGTTGAAGCCATGCCAGTAGTAGTATGCAGATGAGCGATTGCCAGTGTACAGATCTCCAAGGTGGTAATTCCGTCTTCGCACGAGGAAGTAGTCGCTGACCACGATCCCTGTCATTGGGGAGAGGAAGACTGACCAGCCACTCAGCACGGTGATGAAGGTCGAAGGCTTTGACACATACTGCCATGGACAGATGGCAATGGCGATGATGGAGATGAAGTAGCCTCCTCGGCGGATGTTGATCCATTTCGGACAGAGCGCCGCGAGATCCATGCCTGCGCTGACGCAGTTGAGGACGATGCAGAGGGCGAGCTGGCTGCAGAGGAAGCCGAGTCCCGCGAAGAACGTCCCAGCTCGACAGTCTGCCGTTAGAGAGGTCTGCTGGACGTGTAGAAGCAGTTCGAAGGGGTTCCAGAGGTAGACGCCATAGATTTCCGCGGTGGCCGATGTGATCAGGAGACCGCAGACGGCCGTCACGCAGATCATGATGGGCGCTGCTACGAGCTGGCCGAAGAGAGCGGCGTTTGGGGTCTTTGCATATCTGGTCCAATCGGATTGCCCTAGGCAGCCTGAGGCTTGGGAGCCCACGATGGATTGGAGGCCGAAGAGTGCGGGCCAGGAGAGAGCACTTCCTTTCGCTGTTGCTGGGGTATGGAGGAGAGGACCTGGACCGCCGTTTGTACCTATTGCCCAGCCTAGGATTCCGAACATGGTCAGGGTGATCATGACGAAGGTCACCTAAAGACAGGTCAGCCTATCTGCAGGACTGGCGAAAGGGGGTCGGAACTTACTCTAAACGGCATCTGCAACCTCTCCGGCGGCACCATCAAACACGGCAAGAAAACCACCAGAAACACAAAAAAGCTCACCAAACTCGCCGTATCCACATTCGCCCCCGCCGGCAACGTATTCCTCCAAAACACAAACTTCGGCCCAATCACCGCCCCAAGGATAATCTTGATAGCCTGTCCACCCCAGTACATCTGGATGCCCAACCAGATGATCGCCGTCATGATGCGGTTAATGACGGGCCAGAAGCCTCCGCGCATGCCCCACGAGGCGCGACAGAGGACGGTGAAGCCGAGGTGTTGGTGGGAGCCCGGCCAGCCTGCGAGGACGGCGATGAGGGCGCTGATGAGGGATACGCCGACCATCACGCCCATGGCTTGTGGGACGGAGAGGCCGAGGGAGAGGAGTGAGGAGCCGGAGGTCCAGGCTGTGGTGTTTATGCCTGCGATTACCCAGTAGCCGGCGTAGCCTTGCCATGTCCACTGTAGACTTTATCAGTTGAAGCTGAACGCATATAGGGAGGCGACGACATCGTACCGTTTGGCGGGATGGAGGGATCGGGATGAGGTCTCTGTTGCACCACTGTCAATCGTCAGCATGTACTCTTCGCCCAAGGAGAGCTGGCAGCTTGACGTACGAAAGTGTTGTGATATCCAGCATCTTCGTCGACAGGGCACTCCAACCGTTTGGCCCAATACTGAGTTCTGCTCTGCTTCTCCTGAGACTCCATACTGCTCGACAGTCGACTGTAGTGCTTCAATACTGGAGACTGTCTGTCGCGATAAGTTGTCTCGTAGGAGCTTCCCTCAGCTATACATTCGATAATCTGCTCTGGCGGCCTGGCCTATCTCGCATCGGCTGCGGCAGAGCTGTCCTGGTCTTGATATGGGTTCTTTCGAAATGGCTCAACGAGCGATAGTTGCTGCTCGAAGTTTGAGCAGGGAATATCTTGTGACGTTTCTATTATCGTGTCTGATCTTCCCTTACGTCGATAAATTCCCCCAATCAAGTCATTCCATGTGGTATGCCGCCCAAGGGGTAGCTTGCAAGGTGTCGATAGCGTTGAAGTGTCTTCCCAGAATTGGCGAAGAGAGTAGACTGCCGCTGCATAAGTTTTAAGCTTCTTGCACCGAAACAGCGGACAATCCGATTGACGAAAGAGAGATCATTCGACGTGGCGAAGAGACAACCTGCTTAAACGAGGCGATGATAAAGCTGTTGATCGGCGTTGGAGCTGACAAGGGTTGCACCTTGGGGCCCCCACACCTGCAGGTGTTACAGCCGTAGGGCTTTGGTGCTATCTGGTGACACTGCTTTGCCTATCAGTGGTGGTACACTCTGCTGCTTGGCAAGATGTGCAGTGACGATCGCGGTGTGAGGGATCCCGGGGAGGAAGTTGTGGGCTGAAGGGAGTTGTAAGAGACGCAGAAAATGGATCTGAATCAAGTTGATGGCAAGATTCTTTTCAACAGACAAGTGCCGGCACACCGAATCTCGTTTTATAGCTCTGTACAACTCTGATCTCAGAAGTCAGCTTCGTAGTATAGTATCGCATTTATTAACTTACATACTACCCACGCCCTTCCACGATGATAAACCATAATGAATCCTCTCCCAAGACCAATGTGGCACTACTCGCATCTTCCTACCAGACAATTACGGTAGGCATCCGTACACAATCCATTGCACCACGTAGGCAGAGAGCATGCTTCACGCGATGGGGCAGAATAGCACGCTGCCTGAGCCGCTGCAGCGAGGCTGATGATGGAAAGGACGATTGTGGTGACTGCACATGGATTCGCTGCCGTTAGTCGCGATTTCGGTACCGTTCGCTGGGTCAAGCTCACACTGCATGATCGGTGATCGATGTGGATAGTTGTCGAAGTTGGTTTGCTCGAGGTCAAGTGCCTTTGAGAGCAGTCTGGACAATACCTTTAATACGACTCTTCGAGTCCCGTTCACTACACTCGCCGAGCAGCAGACTTACAGTCCCATGAGCAACTCAAGGTCGACTAACCAGGTTGACCTTCAAAACCAGCCTGTGCATACGCAGATACGGAAGGTCGGTGCGATCGGGAGCAGGAGCACTTGAAAGGCCGCGACACTTTGTCTACTCCCATACATACCGATCGAATGGGAGTGGCCCAAGTGGCCAAGTGGATAGAAGTTAGACATAGGCCAACTGGAACCGGAAAGGCCGGACGTCGGCTGTCGTTCTGCCATAGCCTTTGTGAGCAATTTCTTCGGCGAATAGTGCTTACGATGCTTTGGCAGTACAGACGCATCCATGGCAATCATTTCTCCGACACTTCTGAGCATGTTATACTCGTATGTGGCTTTCTCAAGGCGAAGGGGGCGGTTTGGAACGGATACGTTTCGGTCTGACAGGCGTGGACGTGACTTTCGCAGCCTGAAGAATTGACGTCGACGCGATTGGAAGTATACTGTCTTGATGCCTTGCAGACCTCTTATACTCCCCATGAGTCAGGAGAAAGAAGAGAGTCGTAGCACTCGCATGTGAACTCGCGGTAGGCGAGCGGGGCTGCCCGAATTGACCCCACACGTTCGCGGGGCTGAGCAATGGAGTATTGCTAGGCCTATCAGTAGAGGTTCGCGAAGTGGTAGGCCGACGTGGCGAACATCACCTCGCCGATGGCATGTCAAGCTGACTTGGGTGATGCGAGTTCGCATTCGTAGCAGGCTGATTGGCTTATTGAGCCTGTTGACGTCCGCGCCAAGGTCGACATCAAACGAGGGTTAATCTGATGTCCTGAACAACGACAAGACATATCCTAGAAACACAATCAGCATCAGCATCTATCAAGATGGGCTCCCTACCTGAAAGCGCCCCGCCAGCCTCCTCCCCAATCCCCATCGTCGACTTCGCCGAATGGAATTCTTCGACATCCCCATCCACACGCCTCGCCGTCGCCAAAGAACTCATCTCCGCCTGCCAATCCGTCGGCTTCGTCTACATAATCAACCACGGCCTGCCCCAAGACCTCCTCGACAAGGCCTTTGCCACCTCAAAAGCCCTCTTCGACCTCCCCCACGAGGACAAAATGCTCGCCCCGCACCCAGACGGCCCCGACGTCCATCGAGGCTACTCCCACCCAGGTCTCGAGAAAGTATCGCAGTACATGGACGGCGACGAATCCATCGGCGAAAGCCTGCGCGCCGTGACGGATATGAAGGAATCGTACGAAATCGGGAGTGAAGATAACCCCCTTCAACCAAACGTCTGGCTCCCCGAAGACGTCCTGCCAAACTTCCGCTCCTTCACCACGGAATTCTACTGGGCGTGCAACCGCGTCGCGCAAGAGATCCTCCGCGCCATAGCCCTCGGCATCGGATTAGAAGACCCAGAGTATCTGATCAAATTCCACAGCGGACACAACAACCAGCTCCGCTTGCTGCACTACCCACCCGTGCCGGCGCAGGACATGGAAGAGGGACGCGTGGCGAGGATCTCGGCGCATTCGGATTGGGGGAGTATCACGATGTTGTTCCAGGATGATTGCGGTGGGTTGGAGGTGGAGGATCCGAGTGAGAGGGGCAAGTTTGCGCCTGCGACGCCGGTGCCAGGGGCGTGTGTGATGAATGTGGGCGATTTGTTGATGAGGTGGAGTAATGGTCAGTTGGATTGTCTCTTTTTGAATGTGGATGTTTTCGACTGACCTGTTTGCCAGATTATCTCAAGTCCACGTTGCATCGTGTGACGCTGCCACCGCTTTCTGATCGATATGAGGGGACTCGAAGGCTGACGAGAGCGCGACATTCTATTCCCTATTTCGTCAGCGCAGACCCCTCGAGCCTTGTGGAATGTCTTCCCGTTTGCACAGATGCAGAGCGTCCGGTCAAATACGACCCTGTAACGCAAGATGAGTACAGGAAGATGCGCGCAAAGGTGCAATATCGGAAGACGGATAAAGAACAAGCACCGGAGGTCGTAGCTGCTGCTTGAATGCGAGTCGTAATGAGCCACGTTCCTTTCATTTGACCTGTACCTTACATGCCGTCTTTTCATGCTTCGTGAGCTAGATGCCAATGCGTTTCCTCTATCATTTTTGCCTTCTTTAGGCTTCATGCATTCGATGTCCATGCTGTACACTTCTGGCCGCATCGCATCAATAGTCTCGCCGGCAGGAATTAGCTGCGAACCCAATCATCACAGCGCCAAGAATATCGCTCGTGTTGTTTTTGTTATGCGCTGAACTCAGGACTCGCCGACAAAGACCCAGCGCTTATCAGCCTTGCCCTTGCCGACTTGTGCGAATTGGGAGCTCAGCGTCTCCTTGATCACTTCGTTGGTCATCTTGGGGAACCTGCGAAGTCACATTAGCATAGTTAGATGAAACAGATTTGGCCCAACTTACCTGGCTTTCAAGCCCTTCTGCAACTCAAGTTTGCCAATCGGACTGCCGATGACAGCCTCTTTGAACTCATCCATATCTTCCTTGCTGAGTGTTTTGGGAGCCGGTTTCGGGCCTCTCTTAGCTCCCTGAACGACTGCCACAACACTCGTGATGGCACCTTTCTCTCCGGCAGCTGCACCCAACAGATCATGCTTCTTGTCAATCGACCCATTGGTGTTGAGTCGCGGCTGCAAAGGCACCCTCGGTGGGGCCATGGGAGTACTGGCAGCCGCGGGCTTCTCGTTCACTTGAAGTGCTGGAACCTGGTATGATGGCGAGTCCCAGTATTCGGTAGAGAAAGGATCGATGGTAGTGCCAGAAAAAGCAGGCAACAGCACCCCCATGCGCATGCCTTGTAATTCTTTCTCCTGCTCGTTGCGGCCAGTAGAATCGATCCAGCAAAGGCCTGTACTCTCTGGAACCAGCTCGCTGGTGATGACTTTTCGCTTGTTCTTGTCATCATCTTCGTCGTCTAGGAAATCGTTGATTTCGTTGCCATCAGCCTGGCTGTCGCCCTCATCCTCGTCGTCGGAAAGAAGCTCTTCATCATCCTCTTTTGGTTCCTCCCACTCCGCCTCTGAGTCGTAATCGTAGTCTGTGTCTGGCCGGGCACGAGTGAATGGGTTTCGAGTTACTTTGCGAACAGCTCGTGGTGACCGGATCTTGGTGTACGTGCCGCAATAAGCAGGCCGCACATCCTCGTAGAACTGCAAATGCTTGATGGAGAGCCCATGGAGACGGGCCAAAGCGCCTTCGGTGCTGGATTCGCCAGTCAAGTCGATTGGTTGGTGCGATGTCCCCGCGATAGTATCAATGAGTGCTTTAATGTCTGGATCTGGCATCCCACGTTCAGGATGGCCTGCAAAGTAATGTTTGGTTTCGGTGGGTGCTTCGTACGAGTCGATCAGGCCAAGGTCAAACTTCTCCTTTAAGGAGGGGTCCTTCAACTCTTGCTCGAATGCATCCTGGGCAGCCTCAGACGCAGGCTGAGCGATGGGCGGCATTCGGCAGTGGGACTGAAGCTGAAAAGCAAGGAACGTCTTCTGGTAATCGGAGACACTCTTCACACATTCCTTCTTTGCAGACGGCGGTGGAGGTGTTCCTTTGGCTGGTGTCTTGATATTATCTGCCACATCATCGTACAGCTCCAGAGACAGCGACCGGCGCCTAGCTCTGATCGCAGCGTCTTCATCACCATCGGTGGTGGCATTGTCAGGCTTCGCGGGTGTAGCTGGGCCTCGCTGGAAGAAGGCACCCAGTCGCATCTGGCTACGTTCTTTCTTCAACTTCTCCTGCACTTTCTGTTCTTCTTTCAATTCCTTCTCGCGCTTCTTCGCTTCCAGCTCTTCGGCTTTCCGCCTCTTCTCCTCATCTCTGACGCGCTTCTGCTCGTCCTTGCGCGCCTTTTCTTCCGCCTTCGCCCTATCCTTTGCCTCCTTCGCCTGTTGCTTCTCCAATCGCTCGGTAGGGGTCAGCTTGCGTCGCTTTGCTGGAGGGGGACCCGAGCTCGAAGCGCCGACGGTTGGAGCAGAGCTCTCGGCACTGGTGTCGTGTGTATTCTCAATGACGCTGCTCATGGCTGAGCTGCTTGGAGCTGGAGATGCAGCACGCGTAGCCTCATCGTTGTTGGCATCAGCCTCAGGGCTCACGTTGCTCGAGTTGTCGGTGTCGGGCGGCGTTGGCATCATGAACTGGTTTCCCTTGAGGTTTAAGGGCTTCTTGTCTGGAGAACCGTCCTCGGGCGCCGGCCGTTTCTTGTAATTTGGCTCGAGTGGTGAAGATACGATGTCATCCATTTGCGGGGCGGTGGTGTATTTGTATGGCGGTCGAGATGGGTGAATAGGCGGCAGACGTGAAGTGTGGGAAGCTGCGGTCGTCTGGGGAAACACGTCCCGAACGCGTCGCGGGCGCTCGGGCCACATCTCGAAATCCATCCCAAGCCGACTTCACCACGTCTTCTTTTACCTCAATGAAGAATGAAGCATCGCCGCGAAGATGGACTTCGATGACGACGACTTTCAAGACCTCTTTGATGAGGCCCAATTGCTGCCGGACTCCTCGCAGGAGTCTTTGAATGACCAAACTGCTAACATCACCTTCGCCGAGGTCGCTGACGAGGATTTCGACATACCAAACTTGCAGCGCTGCAGAGATGCGAATGAAAGGAAAGAGAACGATTCGGATGAAATGATTGAAGCTGGTGACTCGGCGCCTGCGGAGCAGGAGGCATATGATCAAGAGTATCACATTCACATTCACATTCACTTCTACTTACACTGACAACTCAGTAGTTCAAATGTCACAGCCAAGATTGAAGCCTGTTTTGAGCGAATCGTTGACGCTTTACTCAACGAGAAAGACGAGATCAGCATCACGTTAAAGTCTCGCAAGACAAACCGCTCGGCCAGAGATGGTGAAGCGACAAGTTCTGAGAGGCTTATCTGCTTCCCAGGCAAAAGTGCTGAAGAAGCATGGAGGTTTTGTAAGATTTCGCCAGACGCTCACAAAGATGATGTGAACTGAGTCTGCAGCTGTGGTACTTCGCATTCTAGAGCTCATGCACGAAGCGACTCGTACCAATACAGTCTTGAGCAAGAGGTATGCATCAAATTGAATGCTATGAAGAAGCTGGTACTTATATCACAGGGACATCTTCTACCGCGATCCAGCACTATTTGGCAAACAGTCCCATGTTGACCGCTATGTTGACGACATTGCATTGACTTTTGGCGTCACTCGCTCTTCTCTCAATGTAACGGCTGCCGCGAAAGGCCTTATTGCAGGCGCAGTCAACATCTGCCACAAAGACGGCTCTATAGTCGACGCCAGGGCAGACAGAGAGGGAATGTTGATTACGAATGTCAACGAAATCCTGTCAGTCGACATGTCAGACGTAAAGTTTATCCTGGTCATTGAGAAAGAAGCGACCTTCCGCTCGATTGCTGCATCCGACTTCTGGGATGTAATTCGGTCGCAAGGCGTTGTCATGACCGGCAAAGGTTATCCTGATCTCTCCAGCCGAGCAATGCTGCGACTATTGAGCACAGCGTCACCGCAGAATGGTTTCGCGTCACCACCGGTCTACGGCCTCGCCGACTTTGATCCTGACGGAATGGCCATTCTCTCAACCTACAAGTACGGCTCGAGAGCACTAATGCATGAGAGCGAAGAACATTGCGTACCACAACTACAACGAATCGGCCTTCGCAGCGCTCATCTACTGGTCGGGGACGACACACAGGGTGCTCAAGGAATACTCGCCCTAACAGCAAGAGATCGAAAGAAAGGCACCAAGCTGCTGTCCGACAACCCAAACGAGATGCTTGATCGAAGTGAGCTGCAGACCATGCTCATGTTCAACATGAAAGCCGAGCTGCAGTTGCTCGACAGTGTTCCAGGAGCTGTGGATGGACTGTTGACCGCCGAGCTGAAGTACCCGTAATGTCAGCTTTGTTGCCATACCATAGTATTGCTGGCCGTTGACTGGAAACCTTTCTGCTTTTCTTTGTTCAAATGCCATCGCCTCACCGAGCTGCCGGACAGACATCTTGTATCGCACATCGCCCCCCTCGCTCGTCGCGGTCCGGAATCTGACCGCTTTCACCATTGCCGGAAGTCGGAGGAACTTCCCATCAGCCGCGGTGCTGTCGATGTCTCTCCCTGAAACACGGGTCCTCAGACTCCTCCGAAGTGGTTACTCTACAACATTTCAACATCATTTTCTTGTCAACCACGTGTTGCCAAGTTTTCCAGATGTTCTTCTGAACCGCAAAATGATTTTGAGGCCTGGACTTTGCACCTGTTCATGAAATGGCGATCACCACGGCCACGCATTTCTCCAGCAGAACGCACGCCATCGACGGATGAAGTTCAAATTGGGTGGCAGATTGGCGTTTAAGCTTCCGCCAGGGCCATCATGCGAGCTTGACCGTTAGGCCCCCGAATGGGGCACCGGAACGTTCCAGCCTTCTCTCCCCGCCAACGAAGACGTGGGAGCAGCAGTTTAGGACCACTCAACTTTCAAGAAGCATACCATTGCATCGTGAGAAGCACAATGCTGATTGATGAAAGATCTTCTCAACATCTCATGCAGGTTCGAAGACGCAGGTACCATGCATGACAGCCGAGCGGGTGCCTGATCTGCTTGTCCAGCCGTCTTCGTTCCAACATCAAGCTTGGACGCTCAAGGGATCGACAAACGTTTGGAGCTTGGTTCGGTGCATTCGTCGCTCCTGGACGAAAACGTCCGACGCTCGCCTCCACCTTGCCTGCTTTTTGCAAGACATCAGCGTCCAACCTGCCGATGGTCTTGTGGCTGACGTACCGCCTCTCCAGTTTGGTAGGTGAACCCCGACTCCCGTTTCCTACATATGATCTGCAGTGTCTCTCCAGAACGTTGTTAAAGATTACGTCTCCCTCAAACTTGCTCTTAAGTGCTCAAAGCTATTCCATATACACTGCATCGCTATGAAGAATCAATGTTTCATCGCGGCTGTTGCTGCGTTCGCATCATCAACCGTTCTTGCCGCCAGTAACGTCTGTACCAAGGATGACTATTCATCATTGTCATGTCTGCAAGGCAACGATGCGGCAGCGAGTGAGTGCTCGTCAAGAGTGCCCGCGTACACCACTACGAGGACGTTGACTGAGTATGGACAACACCTGAAACGGAGAAGAGCCCACTCTGACCTGATACAGTGCTTCGACGACCCTGTTCACAATCTCAACCACGACCACGACCAGTAGCACGACACGAACGACCTTCGTCTCAACAACACCAGCCGCAAAGAAGACAGGAGCAACTGCTCGAAGACTCAAAGCAAGAGCAACAACATGTGCCACATCAGAAGCTCTGGAGAGTCTCTCGAGCATGGGCGACGACGAGATCGCAACAGCATGCTCATGTATCGGCGACCAAGCTGCGACGAACACAGCAACAACGACCATTACCACCCAAACCGCCGTTGAGTCCTTCACCCAAACTCTGAGCACCACCAGAACCGCAACCATCACCCTTGCAGCACCCAGCTATACCCACGTCTGGGGTCCTCAGGAAGGTTGCCAGGACACCACCGACCGAGACACTCTGCAACTCAGCAGCGACGTGACCGAGAAGAGCGACGCGCGACAGCTTTGCCAGGATTGGTGTTCGCAGAAGAGTGTTTGCACTGGCCTTTACGTGCAATACATGTTCCCTGCGTATGGCGTCACACCTTTCTGGCAATGCTACGCGAATGACCATAAGTTTGATGCAGACACCGATCTTCTGTGCAACTTGACGACGAACATCTGGGGCGAGGCGGATGCTTACAATGCTCTTGGAAGAGGTCAGCCAGCGTCGTAGCTTGACAGCTGCCTCCTTGACTTGCGTTGCAGTGGCAGGACTTCATGATTGATGTGACCTTCGTAAGTGGGTCAATAAAAAGGAACGACGAATGATTTGAAAACGACTTGGAAGATTATAATGTACGCAGTACGATGAAACGCTACACATTCAGAACCATTAGCAGATCCTTCTCAATCGGGGGTATCTCACATCCACTGTGCAATACACCGCTTCAGATGTTGAATCCGACCCTACCAGAACGGCAATCGACTCACCTCTTCCTCAAAACCAAAACCCTCGCATGCACCCCAGCAGCCCTCCGATACGGCATACTCTCCCTCCCCAAAACCTCCACCATGCCCTCCCTTTCCAACCTCTCCACCTCCCTCTTAAACCCCTCCCCCTCCCAAATATCATCCAACACCGTCGCAGCCACAACGCCCCTCCCCTCCTTCACAACCCTCACAAACTCCCCCAAAGCCGGAACAGGACCCACATGTCCATGCGTGAGCGTCCCAACACAAATAACCACATCATAAGCACCATCTTCTGCATCGTCCAACGGCTTCGTCAAATCGCAGGGCTCGAGAGACGTATACACCCCCGTCCCCCTCGCCTCCTCTAACATCCCCTCCGACAAATCCACGCCATCCAAAACCTCCAGACCCGACAAAGAAGCCTTCAACGCCAGGCCAGAAAGTCCCGTCCCACAGCCCGCGTCGAAAGCGGTCCTGGCACCAGGGAAATGTTTGAGGATCGCGTGCGCGACGTGCGTGGGTGCTTGGTAGTCCTGCTCGGAGAGGTCTTGGTTGTATTTGGAGGCCCAGCTGTTGTAGAGGGTTTGCAGTTCGGAGGGGGTTTGGGCGGCGTAGATTTGGGCTATGAGGGGGTTGTTGCCGGAGGAGGTTGTTACGTTTTGCGGCATGTTGGATGGGGGTTTGGGGGTTTGGGTGTTGAGGTTTGTTGTTCGTCTGGAGAGTGGAATATATGAGGTCGATGGCTTCGGGTGTGATAGCCGAGATGTTTGGAGCTGTGGTGGATCCCTTTTAGAGGAGGGAGGTTGACGAAGGGGGAGGGTATGGGAGTTAAGTGATAGTGGAAGATGTGTTTATGCTTCCTACCGGTGAGTATGTGTTCGCACTCTTTGTATCTTTCTCGTTTCCCGATTCGATCTATCAGCCAGACCAAAGGCCACCATCCAGCATGGCTGTCTGACACCCAGAACCATCTCAACCCCCATAAAGTGCAAATACATGTACGTTACACAGTGGTATATCCGTCCCGCTTTATCCCAACAACGCCATCGCTCAACAAGAAGACCAATCCTCAAACCCTCCTCAAAACATCCACCATCCAATCCTTCGCCGCCACACTCTCCCTTACCCTGAAAGAAAACGCCGACGGCCAACAATGCATCTGCTTATCCCACTCCAACCACTCCCCCCTCACGCCAGCTTTCGCACACGCCTCGCGAAACAAAATCGCATCCGGACCCAGAATGTCCCAACCACCCGTCATGCCGTGTACAGGGACGCCGCGCTTCGCTAACGGTGTGAGGTCTCCTAGGATGGGTGAGACGCGGATATCGCTGGGGTCCCAATCGCCGCACCAGGATTTGGCGGTGTCTTTGATGAATGCGATTCTGAGCAGCGGATCCCATGCTTCGAGGGCGTCCATGTCGGGATTCTGTCGTCGGAGGTCGGTAGACGGACACATGGCGAAAATGGCTTTGGCGCAGGGCAATTCTTCCCCTTTCTCTGCGTCTTCGAGAAGTGCGCTTACGATGATGCTCAGCACGATGTTACCGCCAGCCGAATCGCCCGCGAGGATGACCTCCTCTCCGGCCTCGTGTGCCTTGCGCATGACCTCGCGGTAGAGCCTCATGAGCTTGGGAAATGTCTGCGGCGCAGGGGACTTCGGCGCGAGGGGATAGCTGACGAGCGAGACCTGGGTGTCCGGGAGTTGGGAAGCCATCTCTGTGAGCAGGGCCCAATGCTCACCCGTAGCAGGCGACCGCCATCCTCCGCCGCAGAAGTAGTATATCCTCTTCTTCACCACCTGTCTCTTCTCCTCTTTCCTCGTCCGCGACCGCTTCGGCCTCAGGTCGTACACCCGTATGTCTTCCACTATCCGCTCATGAACGTCGACTTTCTTCAGCGCTCTTTTTGAGGCTTCGAGCTTGGGCGACCCGGCTGGTAATGGGTCCTGCAGCTTGACCACGCGGCCCTTCAAAGGCCGGATAATGCTGTGCAGCACCAGCATGAAGAACGAGCGGTCATGTCGCTTGGTGATCTTGATCGATGAGGGTATTGTCGATGACCCGGCTTCCTCTGTTCGATGGTCATGGTGGTCGTTCATCGTCGAGGTGAGATTGCGTGGAGAGTATTGAAGTAATGAAGGCGCATCGCATACCTACCGTGGCGATGTCATTGTCAAAAACATCTGATCAGTTCTTACACCAATTGTTTCGAGACTGATGAGATGAGCTGAGGCGTCTAGGCGCGCCTAAAGGAGCTGCGATGTGCGCGAAGCCCGTCTTTGTTGAGGTCATCGAGGATCTTGGGAGGCATTGTGCAAGCCACATGCTAGTGCGCCACACCAGATCGATCTGGATTCCTGGACTTCATCGGTTGACCTGGAACATGTGGTGTTTGGCTGATGATAAGGACGGGAACGAGAATTGATGGGTATATACTGATTTGTGTATATATGCATTCGTGTGTCATGCTCGAGCAAAGATCAACAGTCAATCAGGCTTCAAATTCTCCCTCGCTCATTTGGGAACGGTATGGGCTCCGCTCCTTCCTCCTCGGCCTCTTCTGCAGGCGGTGGTGGTGGCATCGACACTTGCTGAGGGATCGCTTCATCATATACATCCTTGACAAGATGTAGCAGCATCGGTGGCAAGCACATTCTCCCGTGACCTCCCACTCTCACCTCTTGTTCTCCGCCATTCTCGCCCACTGGGAGATCGATGGTCATTCCTTCATCTTCCCATTGCTTCCCATCGATCTCAGCAAGCGGACTGCCATCAATTCTTCTCAAGCCCAGCCAACGCCTGTACAATGTCTTCGGAAAGTCAGCTTCGACGAACCACGACGTTCCAGCCAGGTTGTGTGACCGATCATGTACCCAGATGCTGTCGTCCTTTTGTCCCCACCGGGCATCTTCGCCTCGATTTGCATTCAGCACAGCATCCAGATACCAAGCAGGCCAGACTCGATCCGTCCAGACGGGGTGGGGTGCATAGACTGCCTTGAGCCCGTGGTGGAGAGCTACAGTGGCAGGCCACATCTCAGCCGCCATCGTTCTGCCTGCCAGGTTCTCGAGATGCATCGCGTAGAGCTGACGAGCGCTCAAGCGCAAATGCGATCCAATCGTTGTTCGGCGAGGTATCTTGCCAAAATCGGAGTGTCGAAAATTCGCAGCCATAGGGTCTTCCTCGGTGAACGTGGGCCTGAAGCCGGGCAGGAAGTTCCAAATCTTCTCTTTAAAAGTCCAGTCTACCTCTCTTGGGTCCCAGATCGGCTGAAATGTGATGAGGTCAGCGTCCTCTCCCACGCCCCATTCAAAGTCGTCTTCGTCGATAGATCTCGGCGGCGTAGGGCCTATTGGCCGCTGAGCTTTGTCGTTCCAAGCATTCTTTCCCCAGGGGCTTTTCTCACCCTCCTCGGTCGCACGATCAGCAGCTTCATAAGTCGAGTTGAGGAAGTCTTCGTATGAACCGTGAGCCGATGGTACGTAGAATCGCTGGTTGCGTTCCCACATGTACTTTCTCGACGAGTTTCTCGCAAAGGATGCCACCCCATCCAGCAATTCGTAGTAATTGCCCGTATATCGCACATCAGCCTCCCAATTCCAGACAAAGTCGAACTCAGGATGAGTTAAGGAGAACCACTGAAGTGGTATGTAGGGATGCCAAAAGTTATTGCAGTCCCCAATTTTTGGATACCACTCATGACAGAGCTTGCTGTTCCAAAGAATGCTGATGCTCTGTAGTTCTCGAGGGAGATCGTGGAGTGAATCTTTGTAGAGCTCCTGGTTCTTCCAAATGTCCATATTCTCGTCTTCGATGTGGTACAAGATGAAGACTTGGAACTCTCCGCCACTGTGAAGCGACAACTCGGTAATGAGGGCTCTCATATTCTGCAATTCATCTTCGCCGAAGGGCAGGCCCTCCCAGGCCCTCACTAAGATAGCCGTTCGTGAATGGTAATCAGGAGAGCGCAATTGTGGAACTGGGGGCGCGGAAGACAGCTTCGAGGGCAAGTCTTTCCCCGGCTTTAATACTGGTGGCTGGCGCGCTTTCGGCTTGTATCGATCTTTGTTCTTCATCAAGCACTTATCTTGAAGTTTCTGCCAGTTCACTGATGTCCAATCTGGACGGACGGTTGGCTCCTGCCAATCCTCGGCATCTTCTCGTTCGCCCTGTCCAAATCCGTAAGGACCGTAGCGATGGTGTCGATCAAAGCAGTGCGCATCGACGGAAAAGCCAGTGAGGTTGGTATATCCAATAGCTGCGCTTGGGAATCCAGTAGGTAAGGCAGGATATGCCTTGATAATATCTTCATCACTGGCGTTCAGAAGCTTTCCTCTTGGGCCCTCACAGGAAGTATAGGTTCCGCGCCACTGTCGCTGCCAAGACTCGGTGTTATACGCCGGATAAGGCATATATGGCTCGACCTTGCTGAGTTCAGCCTCACCGTCTGACACGAGAAGCCGAATGCCGCTGTTGATGTAGATCTCATTGTTCCACAAAAAGCCTTCCCACAGATTAGGATCATAGTCCTCGTCCCGATAGTCTTCATATGGAGGCCAGTGTCCTTCGATGGCGGGGACAGGCCATGTTTTCACCCAAGACTTGATCACGCCTTGGGTGTATTCCCATGACCAAGTCTGGGCTGGCGGCTCAGATGGGGCTGTTGTCGATACGTCTGCGGTAACAGGGCTGTGACTGGGTATATTTGTTGGCTTTGCCAGCTTGACACTGGTCAGTAGCGTTGTTGCTGGCTTCAAGATCTCATCTTTGGGTGGTCCATATGTCTCTGGCACAAACGGGACAATGTGATCAGGATTCAGCGGTGTTTTCTCCCGTGAAGATTCGTCCTCGGATTGCGCGTCTTGGGACCACGATGATCCCGAGACTCCATCGTAAGGCTTCTGAACCAGGAAGAAGACGGTGATGAAGAAGCCGATGATTGCAAGCAAGGCCAACCTGCGCAGTGATGAAGTCGTCGCTGCCATTGGCGCTAAGGAGGCGCTATCCGTTATTCAGCCGTGGCGCCGGCGATCATCCGCAATACCCGATCACACTGCACCCTTCTCGTCTTCGTCCTTCGTCTTTCGTACAACGACTTCGATATGACTTTCGTTGGCAAGAGGTGTGGTTTCCGTGGCATCCAGCTGTCTGACGTGCACACTTGCCAGGATACTCAGGGACCGTGACGTGTCTCGCAAGTGTCACAGAAGTGACCAGGTCATACCCGGCGGCTGCGTCCTTGATCCGAAAGTCAATGCAAACGGCTTGCTGATGTTTTGCTTGCCTGCACGAAGACCAAAACGACTGGCCGCTGCTCTGTGCGAAAGGGGAAGGCTGTCTGTGTGTTCGATGGAGAGTTGCGAAGCTCTTCTATCGACAACAAACCCACCTTGGATCATCTGTCTCAGTCCACGTGAGACTTGGAGATTACACGCGTGGTGAGGCGAGGGCATGGGAACAACGGGATAAGCTAGTGGTAAGGTCTTGATTTACCCTAACTACACGATCATCAATATAATTGAGACCCAGTGCCAGGTTACAGTCTGATACTGAAGTATACCGCTTCACATGTTCTCCACCGTCTCAAAGGCCGCTTGCTCGAAGCCGACTTCATGACAGCATCTCGTCCACGAGGCCATGTTTCTGCCTCTCTCCATTTTTCCAAGTTCTCTCAAGCGTACAAGATATCTCTTCAGTGCCTCTTGCTCGACGAGAAGGCCTGCATAGAGCTAGAGTCCAGATCCGCCTGAAGCCTCTCCTTCAACGATCTTGGTTCTTCAATCTGCGAGGAGTTTCGGACCGGCTTTCGTACTGGGCGTTGTGACTTTGGCTTCGGTTGTGTCTTGCTTTCTGGTTTCTCGTGTTGTTCGGAGTGGTTTGAGCTGCTGTTTGAGCTGCTGTTGCTGCTCCTGCTTGTGGTCGAACTTGACCTCGACCTCGAGCTAAAGATGCTGGGTGTTCGAGAAGATGGCTGAAGTAATGATGCGTCGGATCGGTCGTCGACTGAGCTGCTGTCGTAGTGGAGGACGACCTTCTTGTTGGGAAGTGTAGTCTCGATCAAAGGTGATGACATCTCCGTATTGTATGATCTCTGTGATGTTGATCTGGAGTCTTTAGTGATGTTATTGTATGAACAAGACAAACCCAAACCTTCAGCGCCAGCAGACCCTCATATATCACCCACCAACCTTGCTGCCTCGTACAACCTACGTAACGACGAGATTCCTATTTCCACGGAAGGTCGGGTCTAAGCATCGTCCGCACCAGGCACAAACCCCGACGCCAGCTCGTACGAAGCGCTCGGCCAATCAGCTTGGCGCGCAACTCGGGTGAATGTCAGTGATTTCAGCACAGCCACGGCCGTAATGGGCGAGATGTATACCTAAAATCCACCTGCGTTGCGCTCGAAGTGCTCCGTGGAGAGGTTTACTTCTTTCTATGTAGTTACATGTATGACAGCTATGGAGTCATTCGCATTTTCTAGCTGCTGTTTTGATGGGAGTGTTCCGCTGCCTCAGACCTAGCCTTGTTGGAGGAGTCTCGCCTTTTTGGTCCATTCACAGTCTCCTGTCGACCCTTCTCAACCGAGTCGCTTATACTTCCATTCCTGATAAGAATCATAGCCACAGATTTTCGCGAAGGCCGTGCCATCTTGATAGATCTTGTGATGAGACTCTATCCTCAGTCTTGCGGCGACTGCTGTTTGTTGTCCTTATCATCGCGCTGCGTGCTCTCCTCCACACGGTCCTCGGAGCTAGCTTGCTGCGAGGCACCAGAGGCTTTCTCCTTCTCCCATTTTGCAACACCCTCGATAGTAACCTTCCACGTCTCGTTCGTCTTCTCCTCATTCTTCTTCTCCTCGTCCTTCTTCGTGGCCGACTCTGTTTTGGCAGGCTCCTTGGTCTCCGATGATTTGTCTTCGTCTCGATGATGGACCTCGAGTCGCATGGCAGGGTCTTTGCTGAATACACGCAAGCCGATACCACATACTGCGTTCCATGCTACCATGCCTGGGTCGGGGTATACGAACTGGTCGCTGTCGGCACCTTCGCTTGATGGCTTCTCTGACTTGTCTGACTTCTTCGGCTGCTCTGGCTTCTCTGGCTTCTCTGACTTCTCTTTTTTCTCTGCCTTCTCGGGTTTCTCTGGTTCCTCTGGTTCCGAATTCTCTGAGTTCTCTGGCTGCTCTGACTTTTTCGGCTGCTCTGGGTTCACCGACTTTGGCTCTATCGTCTTGAGCTTCCCATACGCCTGGTCATAGTTGCGGGCGGTCTGTTGCAGTTTGACATGGCAGCGTTTGGATTGTTTCAGGACGTCCTCGGCGATCCATTGTGCTCCATCCGAACTCTCCAGCTCCACTGCCGTTACCTTGACCAGAATCTCATAGACGCCACTCTTCAGATCCGTTGTGATGCTGGTGGATCTCTGGGGGTATTTTTCGTTTAGCTTCGGTGCTTTGCACTTTACAATGAACTTGTTTTCTTGGGTGCCTTTCTTCTTGATCGCGAACTCCAAGTGGAATGCGTACCGGCCTTGAAGGGTCGCGAAGTAGCGTTTGTCCAATTGCGATATCGAGAAGGCAGTCTTCGAGTCTTCTGTCAAGTGCAGCTCGAAGTAGACGGCATTGAACTGTGGATTCCAGTGGACGTTCATGCTGACCCATTCTTGCTGGATCGTCCAGATGCTGTCGTCGAATACCGATGTTCGTTGAAGCGCCGCAAACATTTTCAGGGCAGCCTCGAAGGTCATGTAGAAGACGCCATCTTCATTGCCCTGCGGCTGCAGCCACCACATAGAGACAGGACCCCATCGCCTGCTTCCTGCACCCCAGTCTCCTTGCCAGACTCCTTTCTTCAAGCCCCAGGGGTTACTAGAAATGAGTTAGTCCTGCTGCATCACAGACATAAAGTTGGTTGAACATACCGGATCTTCAAGAGCCTGACTCGCTTTAGTTTCCAGCCATCAAGGTGGAGGAAGGAGCACGCCTTCTCTACCGCATAAGCATGCTCGAACATAAGGCCAAGCCTTGAGTCCTTTCTGCGTTTAGGTGGCATGGCAAGAGCATATAGGCACTCTCGATCCATTCTGGAAAGCTCGTGCCAAAGTCGCTCTTGATCTTTTGTATCGTCGGTGTCCAGGATCTCACCAATCCCGCCCGTGATGTCTTCCAAGCCTTCCGAGATCTCGCCACGGATGAGAGCCTGATAGTCACCGTGTACTTTTGCAAACGCCTTCTGGAGCAACGGTAGCCAAGTGTAATCTGATTTAGCACATTTGGCAAAGTGAAGAGCATCTGAACCCCTCTGCAGGGTCGCCTTGTTACTGCAGCGGTCGTCGCTGAATTTCGCATCCTCTGGGCTGGAGTCATCATCGTCGGAAAGGTAGAGGCGGTCGTCCACGACTGTGTGGATCCAGGCACCGTCTCGGTAGAATACGAATCCATAGACACCACAGTCCTGGTCCCAGGCAACGCAAAGCTTGCGCATTAGGTCGCTGCGACTGCACAGCGCAGCTATTGCAGACATCCACCAGCAATCGCCAATACTGCCTTGCTTGATGTGACAGGATGCAAAATTCGGACCCGTCCATCGGTTGCCAAATTCCTTCATGGCAATGCACGCTGCTATCAGCAGCCCAAATGTGGTCACGCTCTTGGAAAAAGTGCTCAGGCTGACAAGGTCGAGCAGTCGCAGCATGCTCAGAGCGAGCAAAGTCACTTGCGACCACGCCTTGGCGGTTTCGGCGCCCTTCACAAGTCTTTCTGCTTGTAGCCACGAACAGCCGAAGGCCGGATCATACTCAAGGGATGGCAAATGCTTTCTGGTAGCCTGTGGGGCAAATGTGGGACTGTCAAAAATGTCGTGAATTCGGCGGACAGCATCTGGTGTCGACCGGAAGGTGTCTCGAGAGCCTGAACTGCAGGCGCCATCGCACGAAGCATCCAAACTTGACGCTTCAGCCGGACTCGTGGAGTGTAATTGAGAGCTCATAGCACAGGATGCCAACCCGTCGGGACGGTACTGAATCGTGCCACGGCCTGAAGGGTAGTGCAAGCTGAACAGACACTTCCACTTCCGCGTGTTTCCTTTGTTCTCGAAGTCATCCAGGATGTCGAACTCAGGATCAGTGAACATCTGGTTCCGCTGCGAGCACTCACGCACAATGGAGGTGACCTCGTCGATGCAGGCCCTCCGTGCTGCACCGTAGCTTCCGGCATCTGCATCTGCTTCTCTCGATGGGTTCCGGCTGTCGGCCTCTTCACTTGGCCTCAGTAGGCTACTAATGAAGCCCGGCTTGTGTGATGTGAAGTTTTTCCAGATTGTATCAACGACATCCTGCGGCGCCGACAGTTGTGTACGCTCTGTGACTTTATGCTGGTCGTCAGGCATCGCGGCGGGTAACAGCTGTCGCTGTTGGCGAATGGAGCCGAGTAGGTGTATGTGTATGTGTATTTGTTGTTGAGTCTAAGTTGCCATGAAGTGCTGTCAAATATATAAGCGAACGCACTGCATGTGAAGGCGACCAGACACTTGTTCGGCGACTTCCGGTTGCATGTGATGCCCCATCTGCATGTGAACCAGGTCCAGAATGTACAGGTGAGGAAACTCCGTGGGAGAGTCCTGAGTCTTCAAATCCTCAATACGTGACTACAGATCTATTTGCGGTGCACACAATGTCTATGCATCGCGACTTCCCGCGGTCGCGTGCGAACAGTGCTCTTCTCTTTCTAGAGACAAACATTTCGGCCTCGCGCATGCTCGTCATATCTTGCTCTCACCACTGGCAAAGCCATTCACAACGGCCGTCATGAGCTGATTGGCAATCGCAGTGTTCGGTGGTAACCTCAAACCGCCCTCCTTGTAACCTGCAGGAGCATCTTCTCCAAGCCCTGAAGTTCCAACTGCCAGCGCGTTTCTCACTTCCTCAAAATCAAACCATCTCGCATCATCCAGCTCCGGATCATTACCGAGATCAATGGTCTCACCCGTGGGGATAGCCTGACCAATCGCGCCGATCATCAAGTTCGCAGGATACGGCCAAGGTTGCGTCGAGTGAATAACCACACGCCCTAGAAGGACTCCTGCTTCCTCGTATACCTCTCGCCTCACTGCTTCTTCGATCGACTCAGCTGGTTCTGCGAAGCCTGCCAAGGTCGAGAACCAATACGGTGGCCACCGTCTCTGCCGTCCAAGCAAAATCTTGTCTCCTGCCGAATTCACGACTGCCATGATCACAGTAGGATCGGTGCGTGGGAATGAAAGGTTGGAAACGCCGTTTCGCGTAACGCATGGTGGCCTCGCGCTCTGATCCACCACCTGCTCGGTGGTCGAAGGAAGGGCGTTACTAATGCGCTTCGTCGACTTGTCCGTAGGAGGGCAGGTTCGCTTGAAGCCAGCATTGACGCTCATTGTAGGTTGGCCACAGGATGCACAGAAGGGATTGCGAACGTTCCAGTCGAGAAGTTGCCGTGCCTCTGCGTAGACGGCCGCTTTGCGAATGTCAGCTTTAGCACTTCAGACCTCATTATTCCACTCACCATCTTGCGCTACAACATCCATGACACGACCCTTTGAGAAATCTAGTCCCTTTGCTTTCTGCGCCTCGATCAACTTCTCGCAAGCCTCTTTTACGCTGTTTCTCGGCGTAACATCGATCGCGAAGTAAGGGGCACCCATGTATTTGTTCTTGCCTTGGTATTCCAGTCCATTCTTATCCTTCTCGTCAATTCCCAAGAAGATCATCTGTGGAACGTATACATCGCTGTTATATGCCTCTATTATCTCTTTCTCGGTCTGTGCATATGGGTTCTCGCCGATGACAGGTTTGATATCCTCATACTTCACGTATGCAAGCTTGCCAGCGCCGGGTGGAGTGTTGGCTTGGACGAGAGGTTGGAGTTCGTTGCAGAGGAGGAATGATGTGCCTGAGTCTGATCAGCTTGGATATTACCATGCTTTCTGCCCATGCTTACTCGAGTGCTTCAACGCCTGGGACAGGAAGACATTGTCGGCTCGCAAGAAGGCCAGTCGATTCAAGGGTGATCCTGAGAAGTAGTTGGCGACCTCTTTGCCAAACTTTCGGGAGAGCATCGAATCTACGTCTGGGTGAGCCGGTTCCGGGTTGGCAGGTTGTTTTGGCATCGTCGTCTACTCTGGGGGAAATCGGTGGCTGGGGAGGTGTATTCCGATGCTACCGGCGGGCGAGCATTTGTTTAAGGGAGCGATTAGAATTGATGGAGCAGCCCCGAATGACGGCACCGGTGATAGCAAGGCCATGTTTACTAATGGCACTGGGTTCGGGCGAGGGGCGTGGTGGGGCTCCCTCGGTATATGTCTTGCCGTCCTTCGTCTTTCTCATCATCAACTTCATCAACAAAATAATGATGCCAATACGGGACTGGAGTGCCTGGTCAATCAAGTTACGGGCGAGGTCAATCAATATGCCATCAAGGTCGTCGTCGCCGCGTCGCAGGCGCGTGCGTTGAAACCAGCAGAACAACAGGGATGCAAAGTTAAAATCCGACCTCACCTCCTGATTTTCCACGGCTTCTACGACTGTCTGCGACAGAAGTGCCCCTAGGTACCATTTCGTCTGAGGCTGACTACCAAGTCACAAAATATTGGAGGCCTTCTTGATGCTAGACGCGAATGCGTTTTGGGCGCGTGATCAAGATGGAGCGCTCGCTTGCACACCTGGGGCCAAAACGAAGACTTGCTCAGGCCACTGCATGTACACTTCCAGGTTTGACCACCAACCAGGCACTATCGATTATTTGGCAGTAAACACGGAGTGCTCCCATATATAGCTGGTAGTGTCTTCTTCGCAGATTTGGGAAGCACGCCACTGGGCCGCATTGGGCTGTGTTGGTGTTACACGATGCCCTCGGGATTCAAGTGTGCTTCCTGCGCGATGCGAAGCAGCAACACTATGGTAGTATATCCAAGGAGGGCCCACGAAGACGTTCCCAAATGACCCGGTTCTGGAATGCATCTACCTTTAGAGGGCTCACCCAAAGGTCGAAAATAGCCGTCATGAACAATTGTAGCCGGCAAGACCTCATAGGCTACTGTGACTCTCAGCTGGCGTGGCTGATACTTGGAGGCGTGGCCAAGGCCGTCAAGCAACCATGTCCATGTCTTCTTTCGCTTGGCGACAGTAGGGCACAACAGAGTGGTCTCGAACGAACTCTCTCGACCTGAACACCTGGGTATAACTCTTTTTGTTCTCCCCTCAGCCATATGTGATGCTCTGACTATATGAACTTTGATGCTGATGCGACAACATGCGCGTTGAACGCATGTACAGCATTTGGATCTGCTTGCTTCTACTGTACTGCGGCATTGTCGAGGCGGAAGCGCAGTGGCACAACGGCACCGCAGGATCTAACGAGACGACTGCGCGGCATGTGCTTCTTCCCAGTACAGGCGCACCAGTTTTGTCGGCTTCGAGACTCGTCAAGGCCAACAATATAACGCAGCAGCTCACCACGGGATCTGGATTAGCGTACGCATCCGAATGCAATTCTGCCAAAATCGACTGGTACCTGTCTTGGGGATCTAGCCTGGTTTCCACCACAACCTTTCAAACCTCGACCCCAGATGTTGTGTTTGAGCGCTCGACGTGGTTCACTACGACGACCTCTCTCGCGCCGGGAGCAACGCCTTACACGCTCTGCGATGGCTACACACGCATCGACGGGACGACGAACTTCTCCACGAGCGTGTATGTCACATCGAGTACAACCATGTCGACTTTCGAGACAGCCACCGAAGTTTATGTCAACGTCACAGCGCCGCCATGCATGATCCAGAGCAGCGATTGCGCTTACCTCAATAGCTCCTACTCAAAAGCATCAACAGCATACAGCAAATGGCGATGGTCTTCAATAGAGGCAAGACTCTCAACACAGACGTTCACGGCGCAACCACCTCCCGAGCCCTCTGAAGCAATCGATCCAATATGCGGCATACCACCTCCTATTCACCGAAAGAGAATGAGTCTGATACCCCCCGTTTGTATTGTCAACACGGCGCATGTACAGCTTCTTTACTGGCCTGTCAAGACGGCCAGCGACTGCGATCTGTGCGATATGGACCACTGTGCCACTCAAACGCCGACTCCTACGATCGCTGGTGCGCCCAATACCGCTGTAGCCTTCAATGCCACACTGACATCGCCGACCGTCTACATCGCATTCGAAGGAGAGCTGATCGGCAAAAGCGACGGACAATCATTCTCTGATGTCAAGAGATTCCTTGTACCGCAGAGCTCAACTGCCATCTCCAGCTACTGTGGCAAGATAGGTGGAGGTATAGAAGGCACACCTCATTCGTTCAACTATGCGCATCTGAATGGCATCGTTCCAGCAGACGCCTATCGCTGTCAGCCAAGATGCTTCTCGAATCCACTTGGTGTGGCGGAGTATACCACGACATACACTCGGAATGGAAGTGTGACCACAGCAACGAGCGTCACTTGGTCAGACTATGCCACGGAAAACCTTTGCTCGACAATTTGGAACGACTATGACCCAATGCTATCTATCCCGCCAGAGCTCAGTACGATTCTCTTCTCGGAGGGTTCGTCCGGTTGCAACTTCACGGCCATGCCGGAGGGTATATTGTTTGATCCTCCATTGGCTCTGACTGAAGCCGATCATGCTGTAAAGCCCACTGCTCCTGCGCCAAATCCGGCAGAACCCACGCCTGATGCTACCTTACCAACAGCAAAGCCTGGTGGTACACCTGATACAACGCTCCCTTCTCCTACTGATGGGTCAGAAGCAGGGCAAGCCTCGCCAACGGGTAATGGTGCGCCAACCCAAGGAGGCAACGACGGCAATCCTGATGGGGCTCCTACCGAATCACCACCATCGCAAGATGACGGCGTCAACGTCGAAGCTCCTGCATCTCAGACGAACACCCGCAACATTGGCGGCATCATCGCGAGTGCCTTTGGGATGACACAAGCTCAAAATGACCCAACAGCAGACCCAAGCCCTGCTAATGCTCCAGATCAACCGCCACAGCCCACGGCGGTGCAACCGACACTCAATGGCGATCCACCTCAGCAAGACACTCAGCAAAGTACTGGGCCCGCTGCCCACGGTCCAGCACCAGTGGCTATTCTCACGAATTCCAACAATGAAGAGGTTACTGTCTTCAGAGATCCGACTGTACCCGTCCTCGTTGTGGGATCGACTACTCTACATGTTGGCGGGACTTTGAGCCTTCCTAATGTTGGAAATGTTGTCGCACATTCGTCTGCAGTGGTTATCGATGGGTCGTCCGTCGTCTTCCACAGCCCGCCAGCCACGCCAGCTCCAACTGTGGGAGCAATTTTACAAGGGCCGAGAGGCGATACACTCACGGTTGCTCAGATCTCTGATGGTCTTTCTGTTGTGGGAGGTTCGACTCTTGTAACGGGAGAGACCACTAGCATTGCTGGTATTGAGAACCTTGTGGCAGAGACGAATGCTGTAGTGATCGATGGCACCACGCATACTTTCTCTGCAATCGCTGAACCATCAAGCGCTGGAATCATCACTGCTGGTGGCAACACATTCACAGTAGGACCAGATGGCGAATTCACGATTGAACCTGGCAAAGTACTTCGTGTAGGGATGATGACCAGCGTACCCGGGATCGGCGTCATTGCCTTGCAATCGAATGCTGTCGTGATCGATGGCACAACACACGCCGTCACCGCGGGATCTGAGTTGTCGAGCCCGGCTACAATCACTGCCAATGGACACACCTTCACGGTGGGATCCGATGGCGAGCTCACAATTGCTCCTGGTCAAGTGCTCACCCCAGGCGGCGAGGTCGTCGTGTCTGGGACCACGTACTCTCTGGATGCTGGAGGTTTGATAGCTATCGTCAACGGCGTTTCGCAAACCATCTCTACGGGCAGGCCGAGCAACGGCCAAGCCTCAGCGACTACGGCAGTAGGGGTTACTGGTGATGGCTCGTCGTCTCTGCCTACCACCAGCATTGGATCTACAAATGGCCCATTGACTCAAACGTCAACTGCGTCCAGAGGGCGAGTGGACTGGGGAGTGGAACATATGACCTCGCTGCTATGTTTGTGGCTAATGACTCTGCTATCAATATAAATTCATTCACGATCACTCTAAGAGAAAACCCGCTATAACATTGAAGCCAGAAGATAATCAGAATGCTTAGACCATCACAAACCAATCTCATTCCACCACGCTGCATCCTCGACCGGATATCCAGATCTTCACCTTGCCCCCTTTCCATCTAGATTCTAAACCGACTTCGACCGATCCCTATACTCAGGCTTCCTCCCAATCCCCTTCAACCTGCGACTCAAATCCCCCACAGGCAACGAAACCCCAAACTCCAGCACCTCCAACAAATTCGCAATCAGCAAATACCAAGCCATGACACAACAAGAAAAGAACGTTCCGCCGACAAAGAACTGCATCTTCGCCGCTGCTTCCGAGTGGCCGTGGGCCATGGCGAAGAAGGAGCCGGCGAAGATGAAGAGGGCGATACTGACCGACAGGAAGCAAAAGACGAAGATTATGTTGGTGCGCAGGGCGCAGAAGCCGAAGGTTAGGGTTAGGAGGCCGAAGGTTATGAGGCCGTAGGCTGTGAGGGAAGACTTGGTCAGTGAAGAGGGCAGGGAGGGGGAGGGCTGTGCGTACCGAAACTTGCGTCGAATTCGGCCTCATTGGCGTAGACGGAGTGGGACCCTGATGCGAAGGGCTCTAGGTTTAGGGAGGAGAGTGCGAACCATGCGGCTCCTACAGATCGTCGTTAGGAAGCCGACAAATCAGTAGGCGAGGAAGGCTTACCAAACGAGCCAAACACCAGAAAACTAAACGTATTCCCCAGTACCCACTCCATAACACAAGCCAGAAGCTGCAGCATTCCCCCGAAATAAAAGCTCAATCCTACCGTCGCCGCTCCATCACCACCTGCGCGTCCCAAACGCATGAGCTGGAAGCTGACCGGCATGGTAGCGACAAGAAAGCCCACGAGACCGAGGGGCGTTGGGTTGGCCTGTCACTTCATTAGCTCTGCCATCACGTTTCTGGGGATTGAGACAGGTACATAGATGTTTCTGAGATCTCCTTTGACATCAATCGGAGGATTAAGGTAGATCTTCTCGAACGTCTGTCGGGGGATCGCTAACGTTTCCATAGAAGCGGCGTACTGGGGTTGCCAGCCGGCTTCGAGGTCTTCTGTGTGGCGTGGGGAGGGCGGAGCGGGCATGGTGGGTTGCCAGTCTTTGGTGGTTGATTCCATTGTGAGTTTGATGTGAAGGAGAATGATGAGAGATGGCTTGATGCTTCCTCAGGCTTCTCATATACGACATCGTCCGGCAGATGTGGCGATATCATTTCCTGATCTTCGTTCTTGTTCTTCACACCTCCGGAAGGGACGGCATTCGGTTGTGCTGCTGTGTGAAAGGGTAGAAGCCCTTGAACCCGGTCTACCTCAGACAAGGCTTTGGTTGTGCATCTCCATAATTACTGCTAGTCTTGTACTCGGTAGTATCGTGCCCCCTCAGGCGGAGTTTGCTCGGTTCTCCGGCATGGCTAGTGAAGCAAACATTGGAGGACAAGGACGATGGCTGCCACGAGTGAGTGAAGCGATGTTGCCCCTGTGCTGGGGTATGACGCATGCTGGCAAAGCTTGTAGCTCCGTATGGTGCTTGTCTCTCCAAGGCAGTGGAACGTGTATGAGAGACCTCTTTCTAGTGCAAAGCGAGTCATGTTGAATCACTAGGAGGCGGAACACATTGGCGACTCCGGACTCGACGGACTTAAGAATCGTGGATAGTCAAGGTGCGGTATGCAGTTTGCTGGTGATGCCAATGCTGTGAAAGGTTCAGTGGTGAACATGTCTATCAAGTTCTATCAGCAGGGTATCACTATCGCACAAGAGTATGTACACGCTTTCATCATCGTCTCAACCGAGCCCCTTACGACGTCGTCCACACAGCAACATAGTCAATAGACATCTGTACGCCGGGAACCGTATTCGCCGTGGGAGTCGTGAACCCAGCTATCGCGTTAGGATATGCGCCGCCCATGGCAACGTTAAGCACCACATAAAACCCCCGGTGAAGAGTATTCGCCCACTTCGTGCTTCCCAGCTGGGTCTCAGTGATGGTGTACTGCAGCTTGCGGTCAAGCCAGAATTTGAGCTGCTCGGGACTCGTCGTCCTATCAAGGACTACTTCGTATATGTGGAAGTTGCCTGGGCATCTGCTGCCCGTGCATGTGCCCTGGTGGCCAAGACCGCTGGGTTCGTTACAAGCGCCGCCGGGGTTTACGTCCTGGTGTGTTTTCAGTAACCTGATGATTAGAAATCGGTATCAGCAGTCCTACTTACGCAATGCAGGACCTCAGTGATGGTGTCTTGACCGTTGATGTTCTCCATGATATCGATCTCCCCAACCGCAGGCCAGTTGGAGTAGTTGCCCCTGAAAGCTCCGCCAACGAGCCAGAATGCCGGCCAGTATCCAAGACCATTGCTTCCTGTCACATCAGGCATCTTGATGCGTGCCTCTACACGCAGCTTGCCACCAGCTGGTGCAGCGAAGTCGTTTCTTCGACTCTCGATCCTTCCACTCGTCCACGCGCCGCTGCTGCTTCGCTGGGGAACGATCCAGAGATGACCGCTGTCGAAGAGACGTATGTTCGTCGAGCTGGTGTATGTCTCGACCTCGCCAGTGCCCCATTGTGCTGAATGATGGATTAGTGAAGAACATATGCCGGACTCCGACGTGCTATCTTACCAGGGCCGCCTGGGTACGATGTTCCGGTTTGAATGATCCAGTTTGAGCTTGATGGAAGGGAGCCAGGAGTGCCAGTGAAGTCGTCCAAGAGCTGAGTCTTCTTCCATTCTGTGCCCGAGGTACTAGGTGCGTCTCCCAGCACGGAGCAGACGCATAGAGCGAGCGCGAGTGGTGTGGTAGATGCCTTCATGGTTGCTGAATGCTATACAGAGCTCGCAAAGCGAATGACTGGGGCGAGGAGGGACAGCGAGATCTTTTCTCCGAGCGAAGAAGGCAACGAACGTTCCGCGAAGGAACGGCTGCCTGTATAAAGGTTTACTAACTTCCCACGGCCCACACCAGTTCTGTACGTCTAGTTCGCCGGCGCTGAGCAGCTAACGCTCTAGCGCAATGACAACTCCCTATTCGAGTTTCGTAAGGCTCTGCTGCGCCTATGGCTGGCTGGAAGAGATTCGAGGCCTCAAATCTGGGCGCTGCCGCGTAGCCGGGAAGCACTAGTTGGACGTACCTGCATTGGACGCTGCACGCATTCGCATTTGACGCCTCCACGTTCTTCGCAGCGGTCAAATGTTTCGTGCGTACCGTGGAGTTGAAATCGCTCAACCGTTGCTTGAAATGTCCTTGTCTATGAGCTTTGAGGGCCGTCGCGTTGTCGAGTGATCAACCCCATCCGCTTGAACATTGTCCAGAATCGCCGCCACTGTCCCTTTCTTCGAGACGATGAACAGAGTCTAGAGATAGCGATAGGTTGGGAGAGTGCATCGCGGAATTGCCGATCCTGTGGAATCATTTCGCTTGAAAGAACATGGCGTCGCCACGTGCTTGGATGCTCTTGATGAAAATCTTGAACGAATCATGCCAGCCGGAGGAGAAGCAAAGACGGCAAGACTCAATTGGGAGGCGTTTTGTCGCAAAGATGTGTCTTTGATTGGTCAGTGGCAAGTCTCGATCTCGAACCGTCTCCGCGACCGAGGCTTGTACCAAGCTTTGATGAAGGATCAATAGCGCTGCTCGAAAAGGGGCAAGTGTCAACGTTGAGTAGAAAATGATCCCCAACGGCTAGATATGTGAAGAGTCACAAGACGTGGATGGGCTTCGAGCTCCAGCAATGTAGTTCATGCGCCTCATCACTTAGGTGCGGACGAAAGAATGTCTGTCAGTTCTTCGAGCCAGCATGCCTCTGCCTCAATCGAACACCGATCAACGTGTTATCGTCTGGAAGATTAATACCGCCGATTGACCTGACGACTGGACGCTCGCTCAAAGGCTCGAAGTCATATGCTGTGAAGATGTGACCCAGGATCAATTTGAGCACATGCACGGCGAAGAAGCGACCGGGACTATATCATGTTAGCAACGAGACCGGGACGTTTGAGAGTCCACATACCAAGCGTGTCTTCCCAACGCGAATGGGAGGAACTTGTCACTGATATGGACTGCTGTTGTAGATGGTTCACCGACCTGCTGACGGTCCTCGGAGAATCGCAATGGTCGGTATTGGTCGGCATCATGGCATGTCTTGGTATCTCTTTGCACGGCTGCCACATGAGCTCCAACATGGGTGCCCTCTGGCAGGTAAAGTCCGCCTGGTGTTGTTACACCTCCTGGCTTTACTATCTGACGCATCATTCCGTGGTCGTTGGGCGGATGGATTCTAAGAGTCTCGCGGATGACTGAGTCAATCTTTGTCATTTCGGCCAAGGCACCAAGTGGATTCTGATTCAAGCGTGGCAGTGCCTCATCTGCCTCTCGTCGTAGCTGCTGGACCAGCATCGAATTGGGCGAGTAACTCAGTACGTCTATGAGTACCGTATCGAGCACGAGATCGATAGTAATCGCAGCTATGGCAAGGTTCAGCTATTGCGAATGATTCTTAGGACTTCAACACTCACCAAAAATGTTCAGGAAGACCATGGTATCCGCCACGTCTTGCACACCGACTGCGGATGATCCATATTTCGACACAGCTCGCTCAATGGTCCATTGCAGCATGTCATTCGGAAGCCCGTCTCTCGACTTGGAAACCTTGTATTCGTGCAATCGCTTCTGCACGGTTGGCATGTACATGGCCGATGCCCTCGTCAATGCCCATCGATACGGCTTCGAGACAGCAGGCATCACCCATTTTTTCAGACAATTCGGTATCAGAAAACGATAGACAATGCCAGTGAGTGCGAAAGTCATCACCATTCTCTGTACGGCGGACAGATATTTGTCGTCCCGACACAGCAGCTGTCCGACAGTGATTCGATTGAAAACGCCCATCGTTGCCGTCTTCATGGCCTTTAGGGCTTTGATACGAGTCCAAGTATGGGGCTGGCCGAGTGCACTGGAGAAAGCGATCTTGACTTCATCCAGAACTTCTGGGAGAGCATCGGTCATATGAATCTTGAGGTCACGGCGGATGTTACTGAAGTCATGCACCCACTCTATGTCAGGGCCGTGCGAGATATACCGTAGTCCAAGAAGCTCTTCCTGCACGTGAGTGGCATCGCAGACATCTTCTGGCAGACTGGCAAGCCACTTCACGTCTTCCGGGGGCAGAACAACCTCGGGCCAGTGCAAGCCAGGAAGAACGAAAGGCTTTCCATGCTTCGAGTACTAGATTCGACTTCAGCTTCTTGCTCGTATTTTGCTCTGGCAATCTCACCCGCTCGTAGCCCTCCTTCAAGTATTGATGCTCGTTTGTAAAGGCCGCAACGCTAGCACGTGCTTTAGCAAATAGTCTACTTCCTTCAACGCCAATCCATGGTATCCCTTGAGGAGCTTGAGCAGTGCGATGAACCGCCAAGAGAAAGCCGCAGCAGATTATAAGAGATGCTAGAAGGAGGCCCAAGGAGAGAAATGCAGCACTCCCAATGAATAAAGTCCAGACAATGCTGCTCAGTATCTGAATCATCGTGTCTGTATATCGGCGAGGGTGAGATGCGGAGTTTTTGTCCAACTCCCGCAATTCCTCTATTAAAGTTGGACATTCATTCCAGGCAGCGAAATTCATTGGGATACGGCAACACGAATGCGAATCCGGTTAGCCATTGACATCACGTTGTGGTACAAGGTCACGATCGTCTTAGGGTGCTCTGTTTCATCGTGGGCCTGGGAAGAGCCTCGTTGTGAGTTGACATGGACACAGCCTGTTCCGGCATTCACTCGAAGCTGTGCTTGCCATAGCGTAAGGGAATTGGAAGTGAATACTGTTGCAGGAGAGAAAGTCGTGTGCTTGGAGAAGAGGGGGAGACAGACTTGTAAGAAACTGTAATGTGCGCTGCGCTAAACGTATTCAGGCTATACTTGGTTATTCGGCAGACTTCCTCGTACTTGCCTTCCTTCTCTCTCTCACTCATCGCATCCAACTCCTTTCCTGCGAGCATCGCATCAATGACTCACTGAGAAAAGCGTAGTAGCCGGTATTCACAATGGCCCCACCTTCGGTCGACGGCGAGCATAGATGGATTCACCTCCGATCCCCACCGTGGACGCTCCGAGGAATACGGCCGCCTGGAACAAGACACTCAGTCATGCATCACTTCAACCCTTGAAAACGGTGTGACGGGGTTCAAGCATTCTTCCAAGACCTGTGAATAGCTACAAACGCTCAATCATGGCTGCACAACTTCGCGAATTGGCTCAGAACCCGCCCCAAGATGCCAACGAAAGACGCGAGCTTCACGAAGCAGCAAGGCTGTTATATATGTCTCTCGAGACACCATTCGATGCAATGCATCGGCTGTTCTGGAGCGTAAGTGCAGCCAACGTGGAGTCACGCATAATGAACGTGGTTGTTCAATGAAGGCGACTGACATGCCTGAGACAGATATATCAGCTTCCGGCAACTCAGATAGGCGTGGATATGGGATTGTTCAGAACTTTAGCAGAAGATGCAAGGGTAGAGTGGACGCTCGCCGATCTTTCCACTCGTCTCAAGGTGGACCGAACCCTGCTCTACCGAGTCCTCAGATACCTCGCATCCTTTGGCCTAGTCAGCGAGTCAACGGATGGCACTTATCATGCCAACAGTACGACGCAATGGCTCTCCACGCCAGGAGCGGAGGGAGGCACAAAACATTAGTGAGCATGAAAGAGCACGTTCTTTCGCTGATACGAGACTGATGATTAAAAGCCTAAAAACGATATCTCCAGTCGCCCACGCATTGCCAGAGACACTCAGACAGCAGGGCTATCAGAATCCAACTAACCACCTCGATACCGCATTCCAAAAAGCTCACAATACGGAAGTATCGGCTTATAGTTGGACACCTTCCGATCCAACTGTGATCCCGGCCTTCCTAGAGTTCATGAAGTCTCAGAGAGCGAGCCAACGAAGTTGGACGGAGAAGTTTCCACTCGAAACGTTGCGGCTTTCGCAAAGCGATTTGGAAGCCAATCGCGTTGTTTTCGTCGACGTTGGCGGTGCTTCTGGATATCAGTGCGTCTCTCTAAGGCAAAGCCATCCTGAGCTATCCGGGCGAATCGTCGTTCAAGATCAAGAACCGGTCATCGCTCGAGCGAACGAAGCTGAGCTTAAGAAGCATCAAATCGAAAGCATGGCCCATAACTTCTTCCAGCCCCAACCCATCAAACTGGCAAAGGCCTACTATCTGCGGAACATCATGCACGATTGGCCAGATGCCAAATGTGTCGAGATCCTGAGACAACTGCGAGACGCCATGGCCGAGGACTCTGTCATACTCATTGACGAAAACGTCCTGCCAGATGTCGGAGCGTCCTGGAAGCAGGCACAAAAGGACATGCAAATGATATCTGTCCTCGCAGCCGTCGAGCGCAGCGTCTCAGAGTGGCACCACCTCCTGAAATCTGCAGGACTCAAAGTGAAGAAGATCCACACCTACGACGAAGACATCGGAGACAGCGTCATCGAGGCGGCGCTGGCATGACGAAACCCCTTCACGAATATACAACATCTCAGCTCACTCAGATACCCCTACTCTACTCTAAATCCTGCTCGCACCATACCCATCCAACTCAATCTTCTGATTCTTCTCCGCATTCCCCTCCAAACCCACCAGCTGCTTCGGATCCCCGGGGATAATCATCTCAAACATCGCATCTCTCTTCACAACCACATACTCATGATACCCACACCTCGCAATCGGCATTGCCTTGCCCAGATCCACCTTCCCATCCGTCAAAACCCTCTCATCGATATGAATCCCCACAACCCTCCCCACCACAACATCCACGCTGCCCATCGGCGGCGTCCCGGGGAGGCGGATGGTCGTGTAGTAGCGACACTCGAATTTGATGGGGCTGGCTTTCACCATGGGGACGTTGACGGTCGAGGCCTGTTCTTTCTCCAGCCCGGTCTTTTCGAACTCGTCCACGCTGTCGGTGAACCACTCCGCAGAGGCGTTGACGGCTTCTCGTAGATCCCACGTCGCCATGTTCCAGCAGAACTCGTGCGTGGCCTCGACGTTGTCGACGGTGTTCTTGCGTTGGTGGTTGAGGTCTTGGTTCGAGGCGAACATTACGTAGGGCGGGTCGAAGGTTAGGTTGTTCTTTGAGAAGGTCAGATCTCCGAGAAGCCTCTAAGCTGAGATCGGTATGCATGTATGATGTTTACTCACAAACTGCGAAAATGGCGCCAGATTATCCACGCCATCTTTCGATTTCGACGAGATCCAGCCGATGGGGCGGGGGGTCACGCAGGACTTTCGAAGAAGAAAAGAAGCATGTCAGCAAGACTTGTGTTCCCTTTTCCAACAAGTTCCCTTCGTTATTGCATACCTTGAAGGGATCCCTAGGCAGACCATGCGAGGTCTTGCCCGGCTCGTAGAAGACCATCTTCTTCGTCCAATGAAATGAATTGGAACCACTCGAATGTGCTGCCGAGTCTCGCTGCGCTTGCTTGATGCCAGAAAGAGGAGAGGATGGATATGTGTATCTTTGCAGGCTTCCACGTTATATCTTTCTATACTTCAAAAAAAGAATAGACACTCTCCCCAAAATCGCGGTGTGAGACGAACATCACCCATTCAAATACCCTCCACCTACACAGCAGCAGTAGCTTCCAGCTTCCAGCTCACCAGCCCCGGCACCGAGCTCCCGCTCGCTGGTGAGGTGTCGTTCACCCTGCCGTTCTCGGCAATTGATGGCGGATGACTGAGCGAGCTCATGTCTTCCATGTTCCAGCTGCGCTCGTCACGCACTGCAAGACGTGGACTCGTATAGACGTGATTTGAGATTTGTGGGTTTCGTTCGGGAAGATGTTCCGGGGGTTTCGTTTTGTGATGGATGGATGGAGGGAGGGAATTGGTGAGACGGTTGGTTGGATGATTTGGAAGAGTGGATGGGGGAGTTGAGGCCGAAAAGGCGCGTTTGTGGTGGGTATGTATATACAGAGAATGGTATGACAAGATATGATCACGGACGGATTGCGGATGCCGGAATGATTTCCCGCTGGAAAGATCAAGTCGTGAAGCGACGAAGTTGAACCGAAAGGCGATCCGGAACACAAAATACCTGCCCTTCGCCAGAATGCATGCAACAGTCAACATCAAAGAACCCCTCTGGTCAAAGCCTCACTCATCTCCCTCCCTTTATCTCATCACCAGAACCAAAGCCACCTCAGCGCCCCAGCATGCCCATCTGCTTCAGCAACAAACTCCAGAACTTCCCCCAAACTCAAATACAACCCTTCCCTCGCCCCCAACAGCCTCTCCAGCCTGCACGAAAGCTGTTTTGAAAGCACATCGCAAAACTCAGACGTCCCCATCCTCTTCCAGTACTCCGGCTCGTGCTCAGGGATGCCCTGCACGGTCAGGACGTGTTTGGTGCCGAGTTGGGTCTTCTTGGTGGAGTTGGTGTCCTCTTCCGCCTTGGTGATCGTGTTTCGACGTGGATTTGCAGGCTTGCGAGTAAGATCGAGCTTGATATCGACGTAATCACTCCATCGCATCTCAAAGTGTCGGAGGAGTTTCACATTCGCAGTGCCGATGTCGTCGAGCCAGTTGATGAGGCCCACAGGTTGGATGGATTTGCAAACGTCGAAGCAGACCCGGACGTTGGCGAAGTAGTATGGGCTCGCTTCGTCACGGAGTTGTCGACACGTTTGCATGAGGGGTGCGCCATATTGTTGTTTGCGGTTGCGTCTTTGAGAAGGTGAAGTGTAGACGCATGGGTCAATGTAGACCCATTCGTCGGCGAAGAGGTAGGAGTAGATGTTCAGTCTGACCTCTGCGGGAAGACTAAGGAGAGTGGACTGGCTCATCGTTGAGGTCGTTGTGAAGGGTGCAACGGTCGTGCCGAGGTCAATATATGTTTGGTGGTAAGCGTTGGAGGTGAATCGAACATTGCAACGGGCATGACTGCTGCTGTTATGTAGTAGGCGTTTGGTGGAGTCCGGATGATCAGGGATGAAGCTCAGACAAAAGCACAGAGGGGAAAGAGGTACGTTGGTGACTTTGGCTTCACGCAAAGATAGCTTTGAGTTCGTCAGTAGATGAGCAGTACCTCTCTTCCCACTGTATTGTGGACGACGCTTTGAATCAGAGCAAGTCGGGTGCAAAGCAACACAACGGTCACTAGACGTCGATCGTCTTGAAGTCGTGGAGTTGTTTCCTGTGGTTCATGTAGCCAAATACAGGGGACAAGGTGGACTCGCAGGCGTTCGCGCAATGTCGATGCTGGAAAAGCGAGGGGTCGTCGAAGCAGAGCCTATCGGAATGAGTGCAGGCGCTGGCAGACGATGGACGAGCATGTGGTCTGCGAATCGTTCGGCTGCTGCCGAATACAAAATCTGGTTCAGCTGCAGGCCATGCAAAGCCTGCATCATCGGATATCCCAGGCCGGCATATTGCCCTGAGTAGTGAGTACTTGTTGTGAAGAGTCCGCATTAGCAGCCTTGAAGGTCAATACTGTTTCATTCTTTGTGGATTGTCTTGACATCAGCACAAGACCTGTCGCTTCACAGCCACTGCCTAAGCTCCGCATGCTCTGTGATGGGCCTTAGCGACGAATTGAAAGCGTTGACGATTTGCATTCCTTACCTGCCCAGTGCTCGGCAAGTTTGCGGCGAAATGTTGGAGGTTCTGGGTCTGTATGCACATCGGAAGCACGACTGCATCCGCGAGTCCATCGAGCATCATGTCTCCTCATCAAAGCGTCGTACCTGCATCGGCAAGATGAGATGCTGCCATGGTGCTCACGAAATGAGACGTCTCAGCTCACCTCTTTGAGATGCAGGTCGACCCCATTACCGATTTTGCGGGCCTGCTTCCACCACAATGAGAGTCGTCTGTCTCGTTACGGCTGCATTCGCGTGGTCGAGTGGCTCGCAGGAGGTGTGCATTGATCGCTTGCCACCAGGGAGACGCGTTCTTGTTGGCTCTCCTGCAAGAGATGCATCGCTTGAATCTGCTGCAGGAACTGAGTGTGGATTTGCTGGACCAGGTTCTACGCATCTTGTGCAACTTCTTGGTATTTCTCCTGATGCATGTCTGACCTCAAGACACGATCAATTTCCCTGCCACTTGAGGAAGCCATAATCTGGTGTTGATTTGAGTTCGGTACGACTTGTAGAGCTAGGCCCTGCCAACCTCTCTCCTGAGGCGTCCAGCAGGAGTATCGGCTTTTGCTTCAGGCCAAGAGTCGACAGCCTCGTCGATTTCTTCGAGGAAAGAGTTGCTGTTGTGGATGCCTGTCCCGCCAAGAACGACCCTGACACCGGGACTGCTCGCGTTGACTTGGGCCACCATTTTAGCTTCTTCGTATGTTGCGCCCCCGACGATGAAGACAATAATGTCTTGCGGCTTGTCTCTTGTCTGGCCCCCACCTTCCACAAATGGATAGCTGTTCATGTTCAAGCGACCCTTGATCAGGTCTTGTAAGGTGTTTTCTAGGCGAGGCGAATGCTGAGTGTAGACGTTCTCAACGCCACGTAGGCCGCGATTGAAGCGTGATCGAGCTTCAGAGAAGATGTTACTAGGCTGGAACAGGTCAGGTATTCCGCCGGTCTGTGGCATGGACTGCAGGGAATGGGCGTAAGTGAGAAGCTTCGGGATGAGGTTGATTCGATGTCTGCTTATGCCGCCGGCAACGGCAAGCAGATCCATCAAGGCAGGTGTGTTGTTGTTCGTGTGGCCAGAGTACCGCAACGCATAGATAGCAACCAGCCTGAGCTTGTTCATGGGCGGCACTTTGGGATCCTGAATGAGCTTCTGCAAAGTCTTGACATCCTGAGAGTGATTGTCGTTGCAGGCTAAGCTCTGTTCCAGTTCACTGACATCCAGTAGACTGTCTGTGCCGACTCGCCTGCTTAGCTCGGTCACGAGCGTTACATGCTTCGTAACGTTTCCAGATAGTCGTCTGAATTCGGGATACTCTTCAACAAACTTTTTCATGTCTTCGATGCTGTCCAGTTTCTGGCCGGAAGCTTGCTTCGATGCGAACTGTTCGACGTATTCCTTGGCGTTCTGACCCAGATCGCCGAAGTTCAAAAACATATTCTTGGCGAAGAACGGATCCTGGTCTTGCGAGAGAACGATTTCCTGTGGCAGGTCAGCTTTCAACAGGATTCTCCCGCAGTTGCTTGGAGGCCTACCTTGAACTCGGGGCGGACTTCTGGCACGTCGCTCAAATTGACCCTCCCATTGTCAATGCCAAGAAGCTCGTGCACCATCGCTTGGTAAGTCCACTGAGTGAGCAATGGAGTGACGGGATCATCTCTGCGATCGACTATAAGTAAGATGGGTGGCGTGTCTGGTTTTCTGAAGTCGAATAGTTGCTCTTCCTGGGTGATCGCATAGCGGACTTCGGTTGCGAGCTTCTTGCAGAGAAGGCTGTTCTTCTCGAGTCGGATCAAAGGCTTTTTCTTCAACGCCAACAGCATAGCGATGATACCCTCAACGCTTCTGGTCAAGCTATCTTGATTCCAGAGGTCCGCCGATGACGAGAAGATCCGTGTCGACAGCGGGACAGAGCAGAGGTCGGGATTGATGACCAAAAAGTCGGCGAAGTACTCCATGATGGACTTGACCACTTCATGATCGTCTGCTTCCGCAAGACGTTCCAGCGAGGACTTTTTTATGATGTTGCTGAAATCTGTGTCAGTCAGAAGTCGGTCCTGTGCCATTTGCATCAACGTTCGACGTACAGATGTGGTACTCGCCGTATTTGGGCTCTCTGAACTCGTCGATCAGAAACTGGATGCTGTCTGGTGAAGGCCGAAGGAAACAGAGACACCTCAGATGGCGCATCTTTTCCCGGCTGGTATCTTCGATACGGTTGGTCAAGTATACCGAATGATTCAAGAGGGCAGACTGCGTGGTCGCTGAAGATACGATAGGGACCTAAGTATATGAGCAAACGCACTCGTGTTAGGAGCGGCTCAACCTACCGTGTCTCTGTCCAGCAGCAGTATCTTCATGTTTGCAGCGCCCTGACCGCTCGCATTCTCGCCCTGCGAGACGATCTTGGTGATGTAGCCCTGGACGCTTTGAAAGATGTCCATGGCTGCGGTGTCCCTGTGCTTGTTCTGATCCCCTCGTGCCTGCTCTTTTGCCCGTGCTTCCTCGATCACAGCGCACAATTGTCTTGTACCAGCTCCAGTCCGGCTGCGGTCATGCGTCTGTCATGTGGTTGTCGGGGCTGTAGCATCGAATGTCGAGGGGCGGCATTCCAGGCGCCTGCGTTGGTTTCTTGTTGATGCTAGCGCCGATCCGGGCGGTGACGGCGAACGATGCAGCCGCAGCCGAGTCCCGCGATGACATGCTGGACCGGGAGCCTGGACTCGAAAAGCCTGAGCCCGCCGCCCACACCCACCCTCTTCATCACCATCAACCCAGTGACTCGACCACGCGCCACTCCGAATAATACGCAAACGCATCTTGTTCTTCTTCTCAGCGCGCGATCCTCCACTCGTTCACGGTCTCCCGCAATCTGAGTGAATTGTACATACGACGCCTGGACCACGACACACGTGCCGCATCCGGTGACCTACCGGCGTTCAACCTTGCTGTCCTTCTCACTTAACTCTCACTTCACCCAACTTCTGCTCCTACCACATCTCGCCGACCTTCGACACGCATCTACCTTGTCCACAAGTCCAGACCTTTCCACCTTCATCTACGTCGACCCAGCAACCAGCAACCAGCCGACTCCTCCATACCCCGAGTTCGCGTCACCTCACAGTCCCAACCCTCTGCTTCCACTTCCACACTCTTCGACACGCGCCGGCAGCCATGGCTGAGAAGATCCTCATGAACGAGTACAAGGCCCTGGCCAAGGAGACCTGGACCAACATCTCCCTCGTCAACGAAAACATCTTCGAGTGGAGCGTCGCCCTCATCGTCCTCAATCCCGACTCGCTCTACTACGGCGGCTACTTCAAGGCCAAGATGACCTTCCCTCAAAACTACCCATACCAGCCACCCGAGTTCGCCTTCGAGCGTCCACTCTGGCACCCGAACGTCTACACCAACGGCCGCCTCTGCATCTCCATCCTCCACCAGCCCGGCGAAGATGCCATGAGCGGGGAGATGGCGGGTGAGCGCTGGAGTCCGGTGCAGCGGGTTGAGAGCGTCCTCATCTCCATCCTCTCTCTGCTCGACGACGCCGAATGCAGCTCACCTGCCAACGTCGATGCCGGCGTTCAGCTCCGCAACGACCCCGAGGGTTACAAGAAGCGTGTCGCGGAGGATCGCGAGAAGAGCAAGGAGGACATTCCTGCAGGCTTCGAAATGCCTACTCACGAGAGCGCCTTCAAGAAAGAGGAGAAGGTCGACACGTTCAGCTGGAGCGATAGTGAGGCCGAGGATTTCGACTTCGATAACAGCGACGACGATGAAGAGTAAGTGAGTGTTTCTTCATATCATGCGACTCTGACTGACGTTATAATCTGTAGGATGTTTGACGACGACGAGGGCACGGATCAGGAGGAGGACGAGGAGTAACAGCTTTTCATCCGGTAAGACAGTTCTGCATTTCACGGCGTTTATGATACCTTTGGGCGGCACGACGACTTGGCTCTTCAATCGATTCAGCGTGGAGTTTGGGCGTGCAATCCCGGTTTCAGCAAAGACAGCAAGGCGAGCAGCTCCAGGACGCATGGCCACGGCAGCATTTGGGTATCGATAGAGCTCTACAGTTGGTGCAATGAACCTACCAGTCAACTTACCAATCTTCTCATCTTCTGCCACGCGTACCAGCATACTTTTCGCCATATCACCCCTGCCTGTCTTGAACATGACTGCATGTAGCGCTTGACTGTGAATGTTCTGGCCAAAGCTCTCAAACCATGTGCGACAAACAGCTCGAAATGACTGTATGATGCCCGCGAATCTCTCCAACCTCCAGACACGCGCCTGATTGTCATTTACTTCTTCTGCTGCTGAGCGAGTGTGATGTTGAATGTGGACTGCTTCCATGCATGTGACGTAAGCACAGGCCGCAAGATTCACAAGCTTCGTCCATCCCCAGCATGGGTCCGAAACGAGCACTCACCACGTACGGCAAGCAGCAGCCCACGAAGAGACGAAAACTGCCGCCTTCTTTCCTGGAGCTCAGCGCCGAAGACGTCTCCGCCATGAGCTTTGTGCCCGCCAAATACGACCCAGAGCCGCTCGTCCCCAAGCGACCAAACTCCCAGAGGGCCGCAACCATGGCCGTCGAGCCCGACCAGGAAAGCATCTCCACGCTGTCTAGCATCACAGGCTGTGATGGAGATACGGCGCGCAGATACCTCAGAGTGAGTATTCGAGCCTGTCCACTTGCGGTACGAGTGCTGAGCGTGGCTGACAGGTGGGTTGATGCGTGTAGGTCAAACAGAACAACGTCGAACAGGCCGTCAATGCCTTGCTGGACGGCGAGGACATTTCGAAGCTCGAGCAAAGCAGCATATGGGATGAGTCTGCATTTACGGCTGACAGAGAGGGCAATCAGAATCTGCATCCGCTCGGTACAAGTGCAGCGCCTACACGAGGACCTTCGCCTGCGCCGTCATTAGGGCTCCAACAGCCTATGAGCAAACACGACGAGGATGATGAGTTGGCAAGAGCTTTGGCAATGTCTCGGGGTGATGTGGATATGCCATTCGCGCAAGAGAGGGGAGTGGTGAAGCAGGACGGATCAGAGGTCAAATTTGGGCCAGCTACCAGAGACCACTACGATCAGAGCCAGTGGGCCCTGGTTCCTGCTTCTCAAGAGATTGTGCCAGATGCGCCGGCGCACAGGAGGAAATACGATGGACAAGGCCCACGCTTCCTCAAACACCTGCCTGACGGCGATTACACTCCAAACCTCATCACCATCTGCCACTCGATTGCCAAGTTGAGGGAAGCCTTTTATCTGCGTGACTATGTCAAGCACGATTACGGCAGTGAGCCAGACTGGTGGAGGGGACATCCAATTCCAATGCCGCGGATCGTTCACACATCAGATGGCACCTCTGCAGAGCCAGACTCCGACAAATACGACGAACTCATCTCTGAGGTACAACGATTGACGGCCTTCCTCGACTACAGTCAACGAACGTATGCCAGCATCGGAGGCATCACGCAGAGCGACATGATCAAGAACAACGAAGCGAGTTCCAGTAGGCCTGATACTCTGATGGAGTTGTTCTTGCAGGGTTGGATGGAGGCTGCGGGAAGTAGGCTTGGAGCAACAGGCGCGATCAAGAAGCTTTTCACCACTACCGTTGGGACCAACGCGGCGGCAGGCATGGCGGACGCAAATATGAGGGTGGTCGACCTCACTGTCAAACCGCGGGAGGGAACCACAGATTTGCTCGAGTTGCTGGACGATCTGCTTTGGGACACAGAGCCCAATGGCGACGAGATGGTGGACAATTACATCGAGGAACCAGCCGATTTCATTGTCATGAGAGTCCAGCACAGCAGTCAAAGTGCCAAGAGGCTTGGGTTGGACGTGCCGGCTTCTTTCCACATTGACAAGTACCTACAAGAGAATGTGGAGGCTACAAGAGGCATTCGACAACAGATGATGCAGGGAAAGAGGCGAGTGGCAAAGATTGATGAAATTGAGAGGAAGCTCAAATCCTGGCAACATCCCAAAAAGAGTACACAGGTCGAAGCCCGCCAGCTCCTGAATCACGCGATTGGTCATTTCTCTGGACAAAACCGCAAGGCCGTCGACACTGCAGATATGACCAACCACTCTGACTTGGAGCATGACGAACCTGATTACTACCCCGACGTCGCACAGAAATTGGAGCAAATCGTCGCCAGCATTGACAAGAAACTCGTAGTACTCGCAGAGGAAAGGGAGAAGACCTGTAAAGCCATTTCAGAACTTTCGAAAGCCTCACTGGACCTTCAAACACTCGAGACCCATCCGCGCTATACACTCAGAGGCGTCGCAACAAAACCGAACATCACCTACGTCCTTTACCCGACAGAAGGCGAAGATCGTGACATGAGCAACAGCGATGAAGACACGACACCGCCTGGTCACCAGTGGTGGCGTGTCGCGTATGAATCATCAGGCTCCTCCGCATCGTCTATCAGGACCAGGGCTGGCGACTTCGACGTGTTGCGGGCTGTAGAGCTGGAGCATTCCTCGGCCTTGCTGGTCTATGGCAACGATGAGGCATGCGACAGGGAAGATTACTACAAGCCGACGGTACCTGACGCACTGAAAGAGTTCGTGGAGAGAGACAACATACAGTTCCAGCAGGAGCTGCAAGACGCCGAGTTACCGTCTTACAACATCATCAGTAACGACGTTGGCGAGATCCCACGCAAATCGATTGAGCGGACTTCGATGGACAGTTTAAAGGTCGGCAGAGGTGATTCAGACGATGAAGGACTGCTCGAAAACGATGAGCTCACGCAACAGCACCATGCTTTTGGCTTGGGATACGAGGTCAAGCCTGTCGGGATGGATGAGCCTGATCGGCCGCGAACACCGGTGGATGAGATTCATCTTGATGCCGAGGAGGATATCCTGCCGCACAGCAATGTGGAGATGGTGCAGAAGCCGGATCACCAGCCTTTTGTGCCGCGCCCAGGAACGGGTGGAGATACCGCGATGGGTGGGATGGAGAGTCAGGATAATGGCGTTGGTGGTGCGGCGCATGTTGAAGATGCTGATGCTGCCGGTCCGCGGTGAAGAATCAATATTGGGGCTACTGGAGTCCGATGAGCAAAGTCACCAAGCCTTCAACCGCTTCATCGAATGTGGCAGAGTAAAGCAAGCCGCGGGCTGCACCGTGTTGTGCAGACTGCTTCACGCGTATTGCTAAGATATGGGGACTCAAGACCTGACGTTATCCATACGACTGGTGAGCGAGTGGATCTTGCATCGCATGTGCTCGGGGTGTTGGTCCGGACAAACAATGGCGAGGTATTGCAGCTCATCTCAAGCAGCAGTCCAGCGACGGACTTTCTACTCACAGCCCAAACAATTCGACTCTTTCGCGAACGATTCTCCTTCCAATCTCAACTTCCAACCTTCCAAACGGGCTCAGCCAACTCTCGCGAACCGGCTATTCCATTTCCTCTTTCGTCCACCATTACCCGACCATCTTTCGCGAAAGCGACATTTCACGCTGACTGATCTTACTAAACATCAGGTAAGTCTGCAGCCACAGTTCCACCGCCTGCATTTCTCGCGAAAACGTCTCATCGCGAGCGGAAAGCCCTACGCGACCGTCGAGGGGATCAGACAAAACAGAGAGAAAGAAGCAGCGTCATATGTTCCATGTGAAGGAATCAAAAAGAGGAAGGGTTGCAGGCGATTGATTTCGAAGCACAAGCAGCGAAACAAGGTTAAGCGGAGTGGCGGTTGATCCGAGTGAGTGAGTGACGTCGCCGGAGACGGTGTTTACTGATCGCGTTTCCCAAGGAATACTACACACGGTCTAGGCCGCATTGCGAGGTTAGCAAAGCAACCCACCGTGACATGCAGGTACGCCTGTTGCTTACTACAGACGTGCTTCTCGCCCTACGTTGCTGAGATTGGTTGGGACTTTGGAGAATATGCGACTTACTGACTGCTTCTGGAGAAGGGTGTCTTGCTGCTACCGAACTACGGGCGTTGTCTGCTTATTGACGTCTCCCCACTAGGAGGGGAGGGCATGAGTCTGGGTGCGCGGATGATTCAGATGCATTGGTCAGGTTCGCACATGTTTCCGGTTCCGTGGTGGCTGCTGGGCTTCGTGTGCTTTGGTATATAGGAGGTTGGCCTTCGATGTTGTGGTAGGTTGGACTGCTTTTATTTGTATCTCTCAGCTTGTCGTCGACTGTTTCCTCAACACCGGAGCGAGGTTGGATCTTCAGCACCCCATCTTCGACAAGTGTACAGATTCGACGACATTTGAAAGGAGACAACAACAACGACCATGTCAGACCTCATACGAGACGCGCCCATTGGGCAGCTCATTCGATGGGTGACCAAGAACCGAGTCCTCCTCTACCCAGAAGAAAAGCCCGACTTCCAATGCCCAACCTGCTACATCGACCCCGAAGCCGCAGCCAAAGCACAACACTCCCAACTAACCTCCCACGCCAACACGAACTCCTCTCTACCCGAGAAAGAAGACCCGGAAAAAGACGACCCCATCGACGCCGAAAAGGCCCACCAAGAAGCCGCCGAAGACGACGCCGCAACAGAGCAGCCACACGTCCTAGGCGTCGACCGACCAACCCTCCAATCCCTGCCCACCGCCCGCTCCGACCTCGAGCGCAACATCACCAACAAATCCTCCCTCGCCGAACTCACCAGCACCAAATCCCGCATCTCGCGCATCGGCACCCGCGCCACCCTCCAACAATCCAAAACCCGCGAGGAGCTCGAAGAAGCCTTCGCAGCCTCCGCTCTCGCCAAGGAGCCCACCCGCCCGATCATCCCGCAGCGCACGAGCGAGGGCTACATCCTCGTCGACTGGTACACCGAGGGCGACCCGGAGAACCCGCAGAACTGGAGCGCGGGCAAGAAGTTCCTCGCCAGTTTGATGATCTACCTGTACACGACGGCGGTGTACATGGGCTCGTCGATCATCACGGCCGGCGCGGAGGGCATCATGAGGGAGTTTCATGTGGGTCCCACGCCGGTTAGTCTGGACCTGGCGCTGTATACGCTGGCCTATGGATTGGGACCTCTCCTCTTCAGTCCGCTGTCTGAGATTCCGAGTATTGGGCGGAACCCGCCTTATATGATCACCATGGCCATCTTCGTCATCCTCTGTGTGCCGACGGCGTTGGTGGAGAACTTCGCTGGCTTGCTCGTTCTGAGGTTCCTTCAGGGCTTCTTTGGATCGCCTTGTTTGGCGACAGGAGGCGCAAGTTTAACAGACATCTATTCCCTCATAAAGCTGCCCTACGTTCTGTGCATCTGGGCTTTTGCCGCGACATGCGGTCCTGTAAGTCACCCTAGCCCCTGAGGTGTGGTATCAAACAACCCCTAACGAAAACGATCCAGGCCCTCGGCCCCGTCATATCAGGCTTCTCCGTTTCCGCCGAGAATTGGCGCTGGGCAATCTGGGAAATGCTCTGGCTCTCCGGCCCCATCTTCCTCGCCATGCTAATCTTCCTCCCCGAAACCCTCCCCGCGAACCTCCTCCTCCGCCGCGCCCAACGCCTCCGAAAACTTACCGGCGACACGCGCCTCAAATCGCAATCCGAAATCGACCAAGCGAACCTCAACCCGCGCGAGGTCGCCTTCGAAGCCCTCGTCCGCCCGATCCAGCTCATGATCATGGACCCGGCCATCGGCTTCACAGCCTTGTATGTCGCGCTGTGCTACGGCATCTACTACTCCTTCTTCGAGGCCTTCCCCTTAGTCTACATCGAGATGTACCACTTCAATCTGGGCCAGCTGGGCCTCACCTTCCTCTCCATCACCGTCGGCGTGCTGATCGCCATCGCGGCGTTCTGGGCTTACCTCTGGTTCTACCTCGAGCCCAAGATCCGGCGCGTCGGACTCGGCGAGCCTGAGGAACGCCTCATTCCCGCGATATTCGCGTCCTTCCTGTGTCCCATCGGCTTGTTCATCTTCGGCTGGACGAGTAATCCGGATATCTACTGGATTGTGTCCGTCATTGGGATTATGATTTTCACCATTGGGATTTTTATCATCATGCAGTGTATTTTCGTTTACTTGCCTTTGTAAGTCATCCCCCTTCCCCATCAACCAAACCCACGAACTAATATTCCTCCCTCCTAGCGTCTACCCACAATACTCCGCCTCCCTCTTCGCCGGCAACGACTTCGCGCGCTCAACGCTCGCATTCGCGGCGGTGCTCTTCTCCCGACCGATGTACATCAATCTGAATATCGGGCCTGGGTGTAGCTTACTCGGTGGACTGACCGCCGGCTGTATTGTGGGCGTGTTTGCGCTGTACTTTTTCGGGAAGAGCTTGAGGGCTAGGAGTCGGTTTTCTGCGAAGTAGGAGACTTGCAGGGTAGGGGATATGGCGGAGCGGGGATAGAGGGAGAGTGGGTGAGTTGGATGAATTGATGGTCTGATTCGATTGGTTTTTTGAGCGTACCGAGCGAGGCATAGAGAGCGTGGAGTTGGTGGTTGGTTTGTCTTTCAAGCAGTAGCAGTAATGTTGGGGAAGAACCCCTGAGAAAGAATGAAGTAATCATAACACAAAACCCGAAATTTCTAACCAAAGATATGTTATATCAAACCCCACATTCTTTCATAAAACTTCACTACAGTCTGATGTAGTCCATCTACAACTTCGACTTACTAGGCTGCCTATCCAACTGCAGCACATCCCTCACCTCCAATCCATAAGCCCTCGCCATCTCCTTGGCCTTCTCCTTCTGCCACTCAATCTTCTCCAAGCAAAACTTGCCCCGCTTGTTCTCGTTCCGGCCCATCTGGATCAAATGCACCTCATCCGGTCCATCGACGATCCGCATCGTGCGGCCCGATGCCCACATCTTGGCCAACGGCGTCTCCTGCGAGACACCCGCGCCACCGTACGCCTGGATGGCTTCGTCGAGGACCTTCATGAGCACCTTGGGCACGAAGATCTTGGCTTCGGCGATTTCCTTGAGCGCGAACTTGGCGTCCTTGGTGTCGATCATGATGGCCGCGTTGCAGACTGTGAGACGGGCTGCATCGATTTCACAGCGGGCTTCGGCGACACGGGTCAGCATCACGCCGTGCTCGCTCAGGAGCTTGCCGAAGGGCTTCTTGCGGGGGTCGTTGAGGCGGGCGATGGTGTATTCGAGAGCACGCTCAGCGGCACCGACGCTGCGCATGGCGTGGTGGATACGGCCGGGGCCGAGACGGCCTTGGATGACCTCGAAGCCACGGCCAGCGCCCAAGACCATGTTGCTGTCGGGGACGCGGACGTTGTTGAAGGTGATGTGGCCGTGGCCGTGTGGGGCGTCGTCGAAGCCGAAGACGGACAACATGCGGTGGATGGTGATGCCGGGGGTGTCGTGGGGGACGAGGATGACGGATTGTTGGCGGTAGACGTTGCTGTTCTGTGGGTCGGACTTGCCCATGACGATGTAGATCTCGCAACGCTTGTCGCCGGCGCCGGATGACCACCATTTCGAGCCGTTCAAGATCCAGTCGTTGCCCTCCTTGTGCATCGTCAGGCCGATGTTGGTAGCGTCTGAGGAAGCGACGTCTGGCTCAGTCATGAGGAAGGCACTGCGGATCTTGCCCTCCAGCAATGGCTTGAGCCACCGGTCCTTGTGTGCTTGTGTGCCGTACTTGGCCAGGACTTCCATGTTGCCAGTATCTGGAGCAGAGCAGTTGCACGCCTCTGACGCAGTACCGCTCTTGCCCAAGTATTCAGCCATCAAGCCGTACTCCAAGTTGCTGAAGCCCGCGCCCTCCTTGAAGTGGTTCCTGGGCAAGAACATATTCCACAGTCCCAGCTCCTTTGCTCGTTTCTTCAGGTCCTCGATGACGGCCGGGTGTGAGGCGAATCGCTCCTGGACGCCCGAGCCGATCTGTTGGGCGTATACGGTATCGGCGGGGATACATTCCTCCTCGACGAACTTCTCAATCTGTCATATTCGTCAGCGTGGTGGAGGGAATGGAACAGGCTGATTTCGTCACACAATGTCCAATGTCTTCTTCGCCCGGTCTGATACAAACGGGCGTGCAATGACTGGGATCTTCTCGCTGGCCTTGCCCCCCGCCTTGCCGCCCACGAGGAGGTCCTCGCTGGCCTGGATCTTGTATGGTACCGACATGTCTGGGTTATCCTTCCTCTTGCACTTCAATCAACAAACACTGTTGTTATCGTTGTTGTCGTCGAGACAATGGGATCCGAAGAAAGGCGGGGAAACGGGGCGGATATATGTACGCAGGTAGGTGGTGATGAGAGATCAGAAAGGGAAAACGAGGTTGCAGACAGGATGTCCCTAGAGCTGCTCTTACGGTGTCGACTAATCGCTTCTTTCTCCGCAAAGTGGGAGCTTCCCCAGAGGTGGATGTGTCGCGCAATGGCCGCTCTCCAGCCGAGGGTAAGGCGTTGGAGATCGACGTCCACCCTCGGCCGGCTACTCCCAGCGCACGTGTCGCTGTAAGCGAGTCAACCAGGGGTGGTGTTAGTCAGCGTCGACTGCACTTCAACGTCGTCGGGTCGCTTCACCATCCAGTTGCAAGCACAAATACATAGACTTCGAAGATTTCGACGAGACAACGTAAACGAATCCGTCGATGATGTACTTCCAGTCCCCTCAAACATTAACGACAAGCCAGAATGTTCATTCACTCGCATCACGTGCAGAGCTGGTCCAAGCGTTACGAGACACCTGTTTCAGGGAGTCAAGTCGCGGAGTTCATGCACCTCGCAAGTCTTCGAACCTCCACGACACGCTCTCATCAACTCCCAAGAAAACGTATCATCGCGAGGTTCAGAACCGGCAGCCAAGGCGCGAGTATATCTGCAAAAGTCTTGGGCGCCTAATATTCCGTTTCGGGATGCATTCAACATCAGCCCTTGAAGACAGGCTTTCGTAGCGAGTGGATTGGGTATGTATTAGGTATTTCTAGACCGCAAGAAATCCACGCTCTGTTCCAAGACAGGACATCAATATCCACTTAACGAAGCTCGACGCCACGAAAACCAACACATTCTGTTACCAACCCCCAAACGGACCCGTCAAAGTCTCAACACCAGTTCCATCGGCGACCATCAGCAGTGGCGACGTTGTTTGAAGGAGGAACTCGTGGCGTAGTGGACCCCTACAAGAAGAAGCCCGCAACCATAAAGGCAGCTCCGGCACCAGCATATGGCAGAGCCGTCTGGACCGCAGCACCGCCGTTGAATGGCTCGACCGACGTCTGGTAGTTTGTCGGAACGGTCGTGGTCTGGCCATTGACCCCTGTGCCGACGAGGGAAGTGTAGGTCGACGTTTGCAGATTGCCCTGGAACGAGGTGAGTGATAGGTTTGACGGTGAAGAAATGGATAAATCTTACATTGTTGTTGTTGAACACAGACGTGTATGTCGTGGTGCTCCACGAGGTACTGCCGTAGTAGCTGTTGTAGCTATTATAGCCGTTGCCGCAATACACCGAGCTGGTGGTCGTGGTATAGTATCCGCCGTTGTTATTATTGTTGTCGTTCTGACATCGTGTTAGCTGAATGTCCCAAACACAGACTGGACCCGAAGGTTTCCAGCTTGAGGCAAGGAGATCGTCTTACGTTGTAGTTGCCATTCAGCGTCGTGGTGTAGTAGTTGGTCGAGCAGCCTGTTCCACCTGCGTAGTACGACGAGGTCGTGCCATAAGGGTAGTTGCTGTAAGTGCTTGATGGATTGATGTTCTGGAAGCCGCAGGTGTTGAGCCAGTTGTTCACGACTTGAAATAAATCAGCAGACGAGTCTTGAGAAGACAGATAGGTGGAAGATCTCTTACCATTATTGCCATTATTATAGTTGCCGTTGTTGTTGTTGTTGTTGTTGTTGTTGTTGTTGTTGTTGTTGTTGTTGTTGTTGTTGTTGTTGTTGTTGTTGTTGTTGTTGTTGTTGTTGTTGT